GGGCGCCCCGGCTGAGCAGCGGCGCCGCGGGTTCGAGTCCCGCGGGCAGCGGCGGCTCCTCGTCCCCAGCGAGCTAGGAGCGGATCGGGGAGGGCACCGTCCCCTCCTGCCCAAAGCTGCGCGCTGTCCTCCTCTAGGCAGCCTCCAACCTGTGTGCTCCCTCCTGTGCAGGCAGCCCTGGGCTCTGGTGGGGATCCTTGGCGGGGACCCGCTTGCAACAGTAGAAGACAAGAGAGACTATCATGGAAACGGGACAACGGAGCTAGCTGTAGCCCAAAGAGATTTCCAGACCTATGATGGAATCCGTTTCACTGTCACGGCTTTCAGCGGATGGGTGAAAGGTCCGGTGTCTCCCTACAGCTGTCCTTCTTTGGTTGCTTTGCTCTGTTCTCTCTCCAGCTGCTGCAAGCCTAAATGACGGGGTGATGATAGTGCTGTAGAATTTTGCTCATGTGCCTAGTGACCAAACTAAGCCACAATGCTCATAAAATAACGTTAGCTGCCTAGAAAGAGATGACATTGAAGTATTTAGTGGCCAGAGCTCTGCTCTCACGTTTTCTAGATAAAATTAAAAGTTTATGCTCTTTGGCTCATTGCATGGTGGTGTCATGCACCACTGTAAAATAATCAATGGCTTCATTTTTCAGGAGTGCCTCATAATGGATTTAAAGTGGAGGTGTCCAAAGGAATAGTTCTTCATTTGGCAGATGAGGTTACAAGTTGGTTACCTGGTGACCGAATAGTCATTGCCAGTACAGATTATTCAATGCATCAAGCTGAAGAGTTTAATCTGCTTCCTTGCACTGAATGTCAAAGTAATCAAGTGAAAATTGATGGTATGAAATCCTGTATTAAGCTATTTTTTTGTGGTAAATGTTTACATTGTCCCTTCTCAGCTTGTCTTTTTAGCTGCATTCTGTGCTATAAATGTATGGGCATGAGATGTGTGAGAGCTGAAGTTCCCTGATAGTGGGACTTCACTGTCTGATTCCTTGGAGAAGCAGAATAGGTTTCTGGGATCAGATACTAATAACTGGCTAATTCCCCCAAACTTAGTGACTGAGTAAAGCAAAGACTTGTTTAGAGCAATGTGACAGCAAAGACACCATCGTCACTCTGAATAAGGAGACCTCTGTTTTTTGCAGGCAGCCCGCTTTATCTTCACATTGGAGAAGTTATAGATGGCATAGACATGAGGGCGGAGGTTGGTCTTCTCACGAGAAATATACTTATTCAAGGAGAGATGGAAGATTCCTGTTACGGAGAAAATCACTGCCAATTTTTTTCCTTTGATACGTTTGGAGGACATATTAAAGTGAGTGATTTTTAATGCATATGCCTACAGGAGGTTCCAGATAGCTGCTTTCCTGGCTTGCCCATAGCAATATAATGCATGAAACCACCACAGTGGCAGTGGAAAGAAGTTTGCTTTTCTACAAAGGAGGGCAAAGTTGGCTGGCCTAGTCTGTAAAGCCAGACTCAGATGAGGCTGTGGCATTTTCTTCACTGTGTGTGCAAAAACCCGCTCTTTGCTGGGCCAGAGGATGCTGTTTAGAGCCATGGCTGTCGGTAGGGTTGGTGCCAGGCTGCACACTTCGTGAGACATCGCTGCAGACGTGGTTCCTTCAGGGCAAACGCCCCTCCTCCTGCCTGGCCCGTGAGCTCCTGGCAGACGGGCAGAGCGTTGCTGCTGAGAGGCCGCAGATAACCCTAGTACACGTGCAGGTAGCTGCAGATGCTGCCCTTCCTGCGCTTGCTCTGAGTGCGGGCGGGTGAGCTCCTCCGTCACCACCACCCAGATGGTGACCACGGCTGGTGGCATTTGGTTCTGCCCTGAAGTCCCCCGGCAGAGAGAATTTCACCAGCAAAGAGAGCCTGTTGGCAAATACTTCGCTCCTCGCTTTGTCCGCAGCCGTTTCAGACGCCTGTGCGCTGCTGTCGGGAGACGCCGTAGCTGCTGCTTGGCAGCTCTCGGTGGCCGGGCTCGGCTCCTGGCACGCTCCTCTCCAGGTGCTGCGCTGGCCTGGGGCGCAGCTCCGACACCTCCTCCCGCTCTCGGGCTCGGCTTTGCGCTGCAAACACGTTGCTGCTGTTAAAAAAGATTTCTTTCTTTCTTGCCTCATGTTCTTGTATTGCTAACACCTTGCCTGTATCAACAGATCCTGAGGAATTTTAGCTCTGTTCACATGTCGGGAGTAGAATTAAAAAACATGGGGCAGCAGGTCCTGGGCAGCTACCCTGTGCATTTCCACTTGGCTGGGGATGTGGACGAGCGAGGAGGATACGAGCGCCCGACTTACCTGGATAACCTGGCCATCCACCACTGCTTCTCGAGGTGTGTTGCCATTCACGGAACTCACGGCCTTCTGGTAGGAGACACATTTTATTAGCACCAAGCTAATTTCTTTGCTTACGCCTTGCTAGGCAATAGCAGTATGTGAGATGTCTTGCTGCTTTGTGGTACAAGGGGAAATCAGAATACAGCATCTTTCTTTCCCCTGAGAAATGTCGTGACTTGACAGTTCCATTCAATGGGCTTAAGACTGTTGCTGTGCAGATACTGCTTTTTGAAGTGAATTTCACATTCTTAATATTGCTTTATTAGTATTACTGATTGTTTGATCAGGCATAGTAGATTTTTTTGCCATTGCTATCCTGAACTATTTGTGATAATAGAAATACTCATTTACAATGTTATGTTCAAAGCTATAGACCTTTAGCTTGCAAAGGAGATATAACAGACGAGAGTTGTCCAAGTCAGGGGCTGTATGTCAGGAATCCAAAACCTTCACATGACAAAGGGAATGAAATATGAGAGAGACAGACTCAGTTGGCCACCTCAGTGCCAGAAAAGCCCTCAGGAACTTGGCTTTGACCTAGATACTAGCAAGGGCATTGCAGAGAGGAACATGTTTTCAAAAGAAAAAAAAAGGTGCTTCCATTGGAAAAGATAAGTCCAGGCACGTCCAGCACCGTGTGCTCTGCAGGACCCTGCATGGTGTTTCATGGCCCAGAGGCATTTCCGCACTCGTGTAACGTGTGCTTAGACAGAGACTCTCCCTGAACTGTCAGGGACTCTCTGCTTTTTATTCCTGACAACTTTTTCCTGACTCCAGACATAAGCTGCTGTGCAGTGTGACATCAATGAGCATTGGTGGACATTGTGTAAAATGGTCCACTTAAAAGAGTATATTCATGAAAGAGTAATGCTGGAAATGTGCACCTGAGCACACTTTCCATGCATTCTACACTGTTTATATTGCCCAGGTCAGCCAAAATTATGTATTGCCTCTCTCATACATGATGATTTTCTCTGCGTATAGAACCTGCTTTAGTTTACATAGCTCTCAGGTAGCAGGAGATGTGCCCAAAAGGTATGGAAATAGTGTAAGTCTCTTTCTCCTTCCCTTGATATTAAACCTCTTGAGCTGAAGGAACCTGCCTGGGATGAAAACTCAGGTCTTACATGGATGCCCTTCCTCAGAAGATGCTTGTGCTCTTGGCCTTTATCGGGAATGAGTCAATTAAGGGTTTATCTGGGTATGTGTGATCCCATACGAATGAAGTCAGTATGAAGTCAAGTGCGAGGTCGGTCCCCCAGCACGTGGCTGCTGAAGGCTTTGAGTCCCTGAATCAGTGAAAAGATTCGATACCAAGGGACAAATACGTGATTCTGTGGAAGAATCCTGTGGTTTCAATATAGTAATTGCAATACAGAGTAATTGAAATTCATTAAAAACCCTGCTTTAAAATAAATTACAATAATTTGCAACTCCAGAGAGCAGCGTGCAAGGCTGTTAAATAATACAGATGAGCCCTGCCTTTAGCATGAGCTTATGAAACTGTAGCCTTGGGGCAGATTCAGGCAGCTCGTTTCACCCCCCCGCCCCGTTTGCAGCGTGGAGCAGATGTCCTCCGTGCGTAACGTTGCGCTGCATAAGGTCACATACACTGTGCTGCCGAGCTCCGCGCAGCTCCACGTGTAGCGACAGGGCAATAACCGCCCTGTGCGGACCGCGCGGAGGGGCCGCGTGCGGGCGGCGCTCCCGCTGCCACGCGCAGTAACGCGTCGCTGCCGGTGCCGCCGGGCCACGGGCGGGCTCTCGCTTCCCAGCCTTTATTTTCTATCGGAGATGCGGCAGAACCAATGAGTGATCATTAGCGATTATTGCTGTTTTGCCCTGATAACTTGGACCCTCTTTCTGTGCACATATAAATGATCTTTAAATTACATTATGTCTGTCCAAGAGGATGGTCCGTTTATTTGCAAGCTGGAAAGTTCTCAGGGTTGTCCATGCATTTTCAGGACTGTGATAAATCACATTAACTGAAGCTAAAACCTATTGTTGTGTGGACTTTTCCAATGCATAATGCAGTCTGTAGAAGCACAGGTTATCTAGACTTCAGCTGAACTCAAGCACGAAGCTCTACAATGGAAATGCTGTTTCCTTTTTGGCAGAGAGGTTTGCTTTCCAAAACTATTCTATGGCATCCTTAATGCAATTTCTGCCCCAGAAGGATCTGAGTAGTGGGACTTGCAGCTCTGCAGGTTGGCAAGGAAAACATGCATCTTCAGGTAAATTCAGGCCCTAACTGTCTGTATTTCCAAACCCAGTTGATAGGGATGCTTTCCCTCAGCATGCAGATTCTCTGTATGTTCCTCCTAGCTCATGTGGGCTCTTGCACTTGTATTTTGGGTCTCAGCTGATTTCTAAAAATGTGCTAATTGTGGCTTGGTTGCCTGGCTGCATTTTGCATTATTTTTAACTATTTCTTGAACACCTCATTGAGTAGAAACAAAAGCACTTGATGACATCTGTGAGGGGCGACTGCCAGGAAAAAGTCCAGTAGACTTAATCCTATGGGATTTGCACTCTTTGTAACTCCAGCTGCTATGTACAGTGGCAGTTCATGACAGGGTAGTTGTAGGATATGACACCAAAATGGATTTAGTTCAAATCCCCTCTGTATATGGAAGTAACCAAGTAGGTCAAGATTAGGTAATCCTGCAGTCTTGCACAGGCCTAACTCTAATTGACACCAGCAGGAATTTTGTAAGAAAAAGAGTGAGTAAGTGTGCTGACATGAATCATTTTAAGCACAAAGCTACATTTCAGGAAGACTTAGTAATACATAGTTGGTATTTTAACTAGCCTGATCTACTATTCACATATAAAGGACACATTTCTAAATTTGTCTTCATAAGACTGTACATTAAAGGAGACTTGTGCTAAATCCTCCTGGTCGAATTATGGTTTAATGCAGTATCTCTGCTCATGTCAGTTAATTTTAAATAGGCTGAAGCAATGCAAGGCACTCTCTGCACAAGCTGGTCACTGCAGGGATGAAGTGGACCTGCAGCTTCTGAGAATGGAGGAGAAACAGAAACTTTGCTAATATAAATGATTTTGCCTGGCACGTTTTTTTTTTTTTTTTAATCTTGTTTTATTTGGAAAGAGTTACAATCATGAGCATATCTGGATTAACCAGGCTGGTGTGTTGGATGATCATGTAAGACACATTTATGCAGATAATTATTCCGTGGCACCAACCTGAATATTCTCTCCTAGAACTGAGGACATGTTTAAATGCAATGTTTTACTGTATTCCTTTAATTATGCATGTGATCTTCCCCCAAGTGATGTTAATAGGAGCTCTGCTGTATAACAAGGTCAAACTACTCTTGTGAAATCTTCATATAGTTTGAGTTAGCTCCAGAACTGGTGCAAATAAGGCTCACTGTCCAAAAACCTCTTCATGAACTTTTTGGAGGTTATTGATGAGCAAAGCATGTCATTCATGGTTGCTGCTACCATTAGCATTGCAATCTATGGCTTCCTTATTTTTTCCAGGTGAAAGACAGTATTGGCTATGACACTCTGGGACACTGTTTCTTCCTTGAGGATGGGACGGAGCAACGCAACACCTTCTACCACAACTTGGGCCTCCTCACGAGGGCGGGAACCATCTTGCCTTCGGATCGCAATGAAGCCATGTGCCTTGCCATCCGTAGCCACGTCTATGGGAGTTACATTCCCACGCCAAGCACGGACTGCATGTGAGTTCCCCAGCACCTTGTTTGCTTTAGCTTAAAGAATATTGTGCTGAAACTGAGCTTTTCAAAGGGGGGTGTGCATGATTTCCTTTTTATATAATGCCATTGGATGTTAAATGAAAAATTATGGCTTTATGTATCTTTTCTTATTTTAAAATAATTTAGCTACTTGACAGTGTTCCACATGTGGAGTCACCTGTTAACATCTGCCTGAATCCTACCAATGCATATCTGCTACTGGTTATTCCTTTTTTTGTATTTCTGGAAATCAGAAATATGTTAGAGCATTTCGTTCATTTTTGAACTATTTTTCATTCTTTTTTAAGTAGGATGTTGAAGGCTTCATGAAATCTGATGAATGTAGGTCGTTTTAGCCCTGGTGTAAGCTGGCATAAATACTACTTTCTTCCAAGGGAGTTTTTTTGCTGATTTTCATTGGGGATGAATTTAGCCTACAACATCCAGAGCAAATTAGTCAGTAGTACATGAGTACATTAATGTGTAGAGCAAATTAGAATATTTAGCGAGAATGTAGAGATTAGCATAAATTGCAGTGAGCCTCATTTATAGCATGATAAGCAGTACCCATTATAACTGGCTAGAGTTCACTTCCATTTTGGAGACCAGTCTACAGTGTGGGCAGTCGGGTCACGTAAGTGCTGACCTGGAGGGTGTTTGCAAGAAAGAACATAGTCTAGCCAAGGAAATTTGTATTGTCATGTTTTCTGGAAAACAATTTGGTGGCCAAACACTGTTTATTTTTATTTATTCAAATAACCCTACTGAATGAGTTAGAATTACAGTTGTCAAAATGCTGTGGTTAACTTGTGGCTCATATAGATTTACTGTGTATCTATTCAGTGACTGAGTTCATCCAAAGAAGTGTGGATTCTTGAATATGTAGTAGTTAAGATGTATTTTAAAATGGTATTTTTGGCTTAAAATGATCAAATTAAATGGTGTGATCATTAGAAAAATATTTATGATGTTTTTACATCAGCTCATGCCAAAGATGTTATCAATTGAAGTAAGAAAACAGATTATAATATTTTCATAACTACATCTGGCTTCTGTTTGTACCACTACTGATCTTCTGTTTGAAGCAAAAATTCTTTATTTAAACAAACATCAAAATAATATCTTCTTAATCTCCCACTTAACAAGATGTTTGCAGCTTCCAAGGATGTTTGTTTTGTTCCACGTAAAAGCATCATAACTCCATGGAGATCCCACATGTCCTCCTCCTCTTCCCCCAAAGTTCTAATAAGCAAAAGCAAAGTTTACTTTTCAGGCCTTTTCAAATGTTTTAACTTTTGGGGAAAAAAAAAAAAAAAAAAAAAAACGACATCAGGTTTCCTTAAGCTTTTCCTTAAGTATTTAACGGAGCATGGATTTTGCATTAATGGTCTCCTATAGTTTACAATACTTCCAGCATGTGGCTCCATAAATGAACATGTCTGACATCACTAGCTGCCTTTATTTTTTTCCTTAAAGAATATCATTAAAAGGTTGTGTGGAGTTTTTAAGTCAATGGGAGTGTCGTGGCTGAAGTCCAGTGCAGTGCTATGAAAATGTATCCCTTCCTGTTTGGTAACTGCTTAGGATCATTTTGATTTTGATTTTTCAGGGCTGTCAGCACATTCTGGATTGCAAATCCAAACAACAACTTAATAGAGAATGCAGCAGCTGGTGCTCAGGTAAAACCATTTAACAGCAAGAGCTATATATTGCCTCCAGTTCCCATATATTCTGCTCTTACCGATGTCATTACCATGAGGGCAATGAATTTTTAGTGCATTGTTGTAAAAGCGGGATATATATTTCCGCAAGAGTCCAAAAGCAATTAGGAAATTATAGACCAAATATACAACATCATAGAATATAATCTGGAAAGTCCTGTTTGTACCTAAAGAGCAGCCTTGCTCCCTCATGTGCCTTTCTCTCTCTCTTGAGAATGACTGTTTGCCTCCAGGACTCACACTGGTATCACAGATACAGTTTTCCATTACAACTGTGCTTGGAAATGGTGTGTGGTGTCTCTTAGCAAATGCTGGGGTTAATATCCCCAGTAAAATTACATATATTCATATGGTGGCGATGTTATCATCTCTGTTTAGTCAAATCACATTTAATATGCCGTATAGCAGAGGCTATGTTTTCTAATAAACCAGCAGTATGTCACCCATGATATATGTATTTTTAAAATCCATGTGTGTGTCCCAGGGCCACACTGTGCATGCCACAGGATAAGCTGGGAGATGTAAGAGCAGGGGCTGGCCAATGTCCCAAGGACTCACACATGTTTTGCAGGCTCAGTTTAGAAACTGGGCCAGCACAGTGGGCTAATCTATGTCTTTAATTGTGCTCTCCTGCTTCTGTGACCTTCTGCTGTTCTTCAGGATGTCGGGATATGGTATATCTTCCACCGGGTTCCAACTGGGCAGTCCGAAGGGCAATATCCAGAGGGACAGGCTGAACACACCCCCCTGGGCGTATTTTACAACAACAGAGTCCACTCCAACTTCAAGGTATGTGGATGATTTTATATGTTACTACCAATGTGATAGCAAGGCTTAGGGTAACCGTGTGCAGTGCTCCCGTATCTGATCTTTGTGGGTGCCGTGTGTTTTCTTCCAAGCTGAGCAGGTGTTTTGTGCTACTCCCTCGTGGTGGAGGTGAGTGTTGATGTTCCGGCTGCCCAAAACACAGGCAGTAATCTGCTCCCTGGAGTGTGGTGCAGCGAGACAGCGAGCAGGGTGACATCCTGTCCAGCTTTAGCTGGTTTACTGGATGCCTTAGTAAAGCGCATTTTTGTCACTGTCACCAAGACTCAATCAGCTCTTGGGGATGCTGTTTCCACTGCTTGCAGAGGTTGCTGAGCAGAATGAGGTTCATGATTTGGGGCTTCGGGTGGCTGCCTGAGCTGGGTGCCTTGTCCAGGCTATAGAGGCGAGATAGAATCATTGAATCATTGTGGTTGGAAAAGACCTTCAAGATCATCAAGCCCAACCATAAACCTACCACCATCACCACCATGCCTGCTAAGCCATGTCCCTGTGTGCCACCTCTAAGCAAGTGTGGGCTGGACTGAGCACGCTGTGGGCTGCAGCACCGCAAAGGAGATGGGGCGAGCGGAAGGAGCTCGTGCCAGGGTCTGCTCATGGCCTTTGCAAAATGAGACAAAAAATTCCAGGGTTAGTTGCAAGAAAAACTCTTGCAAAATATACTGTTGACAGGAAAACGTACAGTGTAGGCTATAAAAAGCATTTTAAACTTATTTCTTAGAATTCTAAACTGAAAGCAGTGCTGCTTCCTGTGGCTTGCCTATATTGTAGCTACTCCGTGACAGCTGTTGCTCTGCAGAAAAGTTTAACTTGGCTACAGCGGCTCCTGTTCACAGTGAATGTCGTGGAGCTTGGTGCTCCTCAGCTAAAGCCTCGCTTCTTAACAACGCTTTTTCCAAAAAGTTATCAAGAGCTTGGCAGCAGCTCTTGCTGCTTTCTGTGAGCGCGAGCAGGCGAGTGGGAGTTCAGTGCTCTGCGCTGGGTCGGAAGGCAGCCCGAGATGCTGATGTACAACACATGTTGGGGCAGCACTGAGGCTACACTCGGACACGCTGCATCCTGTGCTCGTGTCCTGGTGCCAAGGGACACGGAAAAGTCCGTGCATGTCTGGGCTTGGGGCACTCACGGCGTTTGAGCATGCGGGCTGCCCCATTCATTGATAAAACCCATGACCTTGGGTCTCCAAGGTGCAGTCTGCTAAAATAATCGGAACTGCTTTGTTTCCAGGCCGGTTTGTTTATCGGTAAAGGAGTAAAGACGACGAGAGCCAGCGCTGAAGATCCCAGAGAGTATCTCACTGTGGATAACGCCAGGTAAGCACAAACTGCACGGCTAAGCCGTTTGCTTCCTTGTATTGCTGCTTGGCGCCTGTGTTGTGTTTAGCACGTCATTATGCCTCGTTATGGCTGAGCATCTGAAAATACACACAAGCTATCTGTGATGTCCAGAGGCACCTACTTCATAGCTATTAATCATCTGCGTTATTGCCGATCAAAACTGACCCACGTGCACTTGGGGCTGCCAGCAATAAGCAGGGAAGCACTCGAGGAAGGATAGAGATTCCATTATTCCTCTAGCAGGTCTGGAAACTTTGGCACCACTTATTAATTATTTAGAGGACTTGAAATCCAAAAGATGACATAAGAGATTGCTGAGACAAGCCTCTGATTAATGAGGAAAGTAAGGCATAGTTAATGTAGTCTTGATGCTTTTTGTCAGTATATAAACATGTCTACCGAAATTTTCTGAGCTTCCTTTCACAGAGGGGGAACAGGTAAATTAATGCCATTTTCCTGCTCACCATGGTCCTGGGAGTCTATGTGAGAGGGACATGGCACAAATCATCCTCTGCTCTCAGCCGGATCTCTGCTTTTTCCCTTCTCTCTCATACATTGTTAATGCCACATATGATTCTCCCCTATGGCTAAAAGGTCGACTTTGCCTCCCCATTTACGACTTCTTTCCCAGAGCTTGGGCTCTAAGATGTGTCTCAGTATTTCAGTTGGAAGAAGTAGCATGTGAAGGTGGACTGAGAATAAACGAAGTGTTTTTTTTTTTTCCCCAAACACAACACAAGTCTCCATTAACAGCCAGTGGGGCAAGAAATATTCTACAAGTAACTGAGAGGCATCAAATTTATAGGCTGAATCCTTTTCTCATCTGGTAGTTTCACTGTTGGCAGAGCGAGGAGCGTATGAAAGTACACATACATGCAATGTAACCATTTCCAATTACTCAGTTATCTTATAGTTATCTATATTGAAAGCATCTAATTGATTTTTCTAGTCTGAATTGAGAAGTTCTCAATGCATCTTGGAAGGGAAATTACAAAAGGACCCAAGTGAGCGGGGAAAAAAGGCATTCTCTGCCTCTAAATCACATGGAAGCACATCAAGGGATAATTGTGGGTCCACTGAAGCTCAGTCAGGCATTACCTGTTGGCCTGACTGGGGCCAGACTTTCACCCTGATTAAGGTTTATTATTTTCCACTTTATAAGAAAGCTCCGTAATGACATCAAACATAATATTACCTCTTCAGGCCCATCCTAATCAGAAATGTTATGAGCTCTGCCTGGCCGGAGCTCCTGTGTCTAAGGTTGTTTCCCATTTTCTCAGCGCCATATTAACTAGGCTCCTTGCTTCAGGTTTCGCCCACATCAAGATGCTGATCCTGAAAAGCCACGAGTTCCTGCCATAATTGATGGTCTCATTGCTTTTAAGAATAATGACCACGGGGCCTGGGCCCGGGGAGGCGACATTATTTTCCGCAACTCAGGGTAGGTTACTGTAATCCTGGGGTATTTCACACTCCTCATGATGGGTGTCAGGAAGTCTGTAGGTCGGCTGTACCTCCAACTTGCCTGGTGACTCATACTGTAATGTTTTTCCTGTCTTAGGTTTTCCGACAATGGCATTGGACTCACTCTAGCAAGGTAATTTCTTAAAATGTGCTTTTTTTCCCATTTTTTCCCGCATTGTAACATTCCCATGATAGTTACGGCAAGATGCAAGCAAATCTCATGCCTCCTTCCAAAGCCACATCAACTCTACCTGGTGCAGCAGTCACTGCAAGGGGCAAGTTGGCCTTTCATTCTCTTTGCTTGGGGAACATGTCCTTAGAACTGGTTATTGCCTTTCAGCCCCTGGTCCTGAACCTGTAGACTAAGTGTTTGGCCATGCGTTTGGGCAGATTTTCCTTGCAGCACTTGGCCGAGCAAAGGCCACCTCCTTGCAGGGGACCCCCAAGGAAGAGCTGCATGGCCAAAGTCACGCAATGGCCAAGTTATTACCTCTGTTACTGGTGCTCGGTTGCTGCTTTCTAAAGAGGTTTTAAACCACACCGTACAGTGGTGGATATGCTTTTTTATTTCCAATTTAAAAAATTCTCCTGACTTTAGAAGTGTAATTAAAAGCATTAATTCACACTGCGCTGAATAGTTGTTGTGTATTTCTCTGTCTGATTGTAGTGATGGGACTTTCCCAACAGATGACGGCTCCAGCTTGGAGGTTTCACGCTCCATTTTTGTTGGAGAAAGCAGCAACCTTGGCTCCCGAGGAGGCCAAAACAGCTATTGGGGAAGAGGGGCAAACGGCGAGTACAGAACCCTGCCCAGAAACCAGTAAGTTGTTTATCTGCTATTTCTTCCTGGTATTAGCATACGCTAGAAAAATAAAAAGCTCAGGAATGGATGTGAATAGAAAAGACTAATTTATACTGGGTGATTAAATTATTGTATGGGCCGGAAGTAATAAGCATCCGAATAAACTCAAGGCAACAGTTTGAGAGCTTCCCCAACCGAATGTGTTTGATTTAATTTTCTGCTTAATTTATTCGTCACTGGAGAGTAGATTAGAGAATCTGAGAGATACTAAACTGCTTTTCCTTAGTGCTTCAGGAACACACAGCATGTGAGCTGACGGGGCCAATTCACTGCAGAGCAGATGCTAACAGTGCCTGGATGCACCAGCCCGGAGTCGCCGGGAATGCTGTGCAAGTCCCGGCGGGGCTGGAGCAGGGAGTGAGGAAGGCTGCTCCCACATCTAACCTGCAGCCTCCACAGAGAATCAGCCTCCCTGTGCAGGGACATGCAGAAATCCCTGGGTGGAGACAGGACCAGCTCCACAAAGGGCAGACATCTCTCTGTTTTGCATCTCATCCCTCTTTCAAAATAATTTTCTCTTTTGATAGCACCGCAGCTTCCTCTTCAGCAACGACTGCGCCTACCCACTCTCCCAGGCTAAGCCAGACTTCCTCAAGCCTGAGTTCTAGTCCAACTATGTCTGTGTGAAGGTCATCAGTTGTTAAACCCTCTTGTGAAGAACACAAAGTTAAACAATAAGCAGAGTTTGGCGGACGTGTCTTGAGCAGAGCCTTGACTGTGCATGTCCAGGCCATAACTGACACAGGAATGGGAGCCTGGGTAGGACACCAAGAATAATAGGGTGATTCTCAGCTGTTAGTGGTGTGATGTTTTAATTGCAATTACAAGACAGCTCCTCTGCAGTTTAATCATCTGTGATATAGTTGAGCAACCTGCTTTTGGAAAAGAGGAATATGACAAAACGTCTGATAGTTGTACTCTCCACGCACCACGGTGATAAATGGGATATGGAGGTGGTACCCGTCCCACCAGAAATTACTGGCAAAAGGACCAAACAACAGAGCAAGCAGGAACGCTGCTTTCACCCTCTGTTGTCAATTGGCAAAATGTTTCTGGGTCCCTAGAGCCAACTAGCAAGAAAAAAATTGATTTAGGAGAAATCTGGGCCTCTTATTCACAGACCAGAGAGACGCTGCAGAGCCCTTTGGAGGTTCATGTTGCTTTGTGGTTCCTAAGTCAGAGCAACTCAACTGTGTTTCTGCCAGTGGGCAGGGAGAGCTCTACCCTTCCAGGGCTCTGCTGGCCACTCTGCTGTGGGCTGCAAAGTCCAACTCATCCACCCTTTCCTCAGGCAATGCCAGAGCCAAATGAAACTTGGTGCCGTCTCTAAACAAAACATGAAAGAGGCAAGTTCTTACCTGTGGCTCCAGTGGCGTCTCCCTCAGGTCTGCCAGCCTGCCAGTGCATCTGTGTGGCGGTGATGAAGGAACCAGCTTTCTGCACACAGTGTGGTGCACTAGGTCCTGGGCATCTGCTGTAGCTGGTAGGGAGAGGAGAAGCTGTGCTGTGCCACCCAGCAATTATTTCCAAGGAGGCATTTTGGCCTCTAGGGAGTGACTGCTACTGCTTTCCCAACCCCACTTATGTTTTCCTGATAAACCAGTCTTCCCTGGAACAGGAAACCCAACAGGAAGAGCCGACACAGTCTGTATCCTTAGGGGTTTCCTCATAGCAGGAGTCCCCGGAGGCAGAGGGCAACACCTTTGAACTGTGTTACCCCAGCTGATAAGCTGGGTGTTTGGGTCTTTTTTTATTAGACATTTTGTCCTGTGGAGGATGTTCAGAAAAATTTCACCTTTCCTTAATTGCGCAATGAGCATCCAGATCCCAAGTTCAGGAGGGAAAAGTTTTAGCTCTTGTTAATACCTTTCTATTCTTTGGGAAGAGGACTCAGACTTTGCCCAAGCTTTTTAACACAGATTAGTGTTTTTGTTTTTTTAATTTCACAGGACGTTCCCTATTCGTGGATTCCAGATTTATGATGGACCTGTCAGGATGACAAAATGCACTTTCAAGAAGTTCACCCCGACTGCTGACAGATACTCAAGCGCCATTGGGTTCTTCATGAAGAACTCCTGGCAGATCAGCCCCCAGAATAATGTGTCACAGATCCTGATAGAAAGAAGCGTAAGTAAGAAAAGCAGGAATACGTGCTGTTAGATGTTCAAGTTTGCAAAGCCTTTTAATTGGTGAGGGATTTATTCTAGAGCAGGAATTTCCAGGCTACAGTACATATTACTTTGGTGCCTAACCATTGATTCATTTGGCAACACTTTCTCTTCTTGATGAAGGTTATCCATAAACCATCAAAATACTCATACAGAGGTATCTTATGCCTGGGAGGAGATAAACAAAAAAATCTGTAGAAGAAGAAGATTTTGCCTTGTAACCAGACCTTCCAGAGTACCTGCCTTAGCTGGTGAAGCCTTGTCTACTGATACACACCAAAGCCCTAGCCTCAGAGTTGAGAAGGGTATAAATGAAATGCCAGGTGTGAGTGAACAGCAATTCAATTCTCATAAAGAAATCAGCTCAGGCAAGTACAAACAAAGACATGGCCCATATTCAGGGGTCAGCAATGGAATTTTGGTTGAGCACAACAGGGATTTTTCTTGAGAAACGGCAGCAGAATGGGGCTCTTTATACATGCCTTGGCAGGAGTTATAGGATGCTGAGCAATTCCAGTCTTTGTCCAGGATTCATGCAGGGATCATGGCCCCAGACACATGGCCTGGGAAATGATAGATTCCACCTGGCTTACTCCCAGAGATCGCAACCTCTGCTTAGCTTTCCTGAAACAAGGTCCCTGCTTGTTAGGATGTCCGTGAACTCTAGTAACTTTGGCTTGAGGTTTGGCTTTATCTTAAGGAAAATTTCCATTGCTCTGGAACTGACCGATATCACTACGTCTGGCAAACAGTCGGTTTGTCTGTCCCTACTCTGTTACACTTAGACCAATAACAGGAGGGTCTTTTATGCAAAGATGATATCAATTGCAGTCACTTGACTGCTCCTTTAGAGTCCTTGCATTTGGTAAAGAGGTCCTAGGTATCCTACATAGTGTAGGGATCATCAGAATGAGAGTAAGGACTAATCTGCTGTACCTTTTCTTTACCATCCATAGGGAAAAGGTTACAAGATGATTGTGGTGATTGTGAATGATACAGTCAACATGGAAGAGGAAGGGGGTCCTTAGAGAAAAATGTAAAATGAAAAAGCTTGATCCTCCAGTGGATCTGAAGAGAGTGGAAATTTTCTTCTAGTAATGATTGTAGAACTGTGTCCAACAGAATGGTTTCAGAGAGGTTATATCTGTGCACATTAGCAAAGGGGATAATTACCTGTGGAATAGTTGAAAATGCAGCTCTTTAATGGTATTGCACCATTTGATGCCAATGAACCTGTTAAATATCCCAGCATATTTTGTGAGACAGTTTAATAACGCAACACCTTTAGAATCTGATGTTTTCAAGGCAAAAATGAACTAAAAGCTTCTGTAATGCAAATTAAAATATTACAGCTTCAGTCTATTATAAAAAAATGACATTATCCAAATAATTATTACTTGTACATACATTTCCAACAAATGTGTCTATTTCCAAAGTTGGTATTTTGCCAGCTTAAAAGCCATTTATGCTTATAACCACCTGCATCCCAGCATTTTTCACTTTAATTCTATTTTATCTGGATTGAACCCAGATGTGCTAAATCTGGTTTCAGTCTTGAAGGACTACGGTTAGTTCATTGTTTTGTTGCTAATTGCTACATGGGACAATATGTCTTTGACTAGTTAAGATAGAGCGTGTAGGCTGTTTTAATTAATTTTCCATCTTCAGGCTTAATTTTATTACTTTTTAAAGAGTAATTTTACTTATTCCCTAAAGGACAATCATTTTACAATTGTTTTCAAGAAGAAATTAACCATTACTTCAAGCTGTATAGTCGTAGTAAAACGTATAATTATTCAGACTATTCAGCTGATTTGTTAGACAACAAAATAATAAACCCAGTTGCTTAAAGACCCACATAAAGTAATCAGTCAGGCAGAGCAAAAGAACTAAACCTCATACCCTGCAGAAAGTATCTTGGTCACCTTTCTGATGATATTCTGATGAAGATATTTTGCACTTAACAGTAACATCATTATTGCTAGGCTTTTTCAATTCAGATGCTCCTAAAAGGTTATTTCAAAGTAATGGCTTTGAAATACGTCTATTTTTATTAGTCCCAAATATTTTTTGTTTGTTTGTTTGTTTTTGCTTTGAAACCAGGAGGTTAGGATAGATTTAAACCTATTTTAGCCCTAGTGGCATCTTTGGATTAGAGAATCTTGACCAAAGGAGACTTGCAGGATCAGGATTGAGTGTTTTGCATCACTCAATTAAAGTAAAAACCGTGTTAACTCAGAGCTCCCAGGTTATCAAGTAGAGGATACAAGATTCAAGTAGTAGATACAAGTAGAATTGGTTAAAAATGGTTTCCTTAAAATGAGTGCAGTGATAAAACTTGAATGGGCAGCTTGGGCCACCACTGGAGTTTTAGAAAAAGCTATGAGTTGTTACCATATTTTACAGTGCACTATGAATTTTTAATCTAAAGAGAAGTTACTAGGTTCCACTGCAGTCCTGGGGACTTTTCTGTAGGTGCACTAGACGTGTTGCCTTTGGAGAGGTTTAGCTTCTACATCCCTCCCTAGAAGATTACGGCCCCCGTAACCGTCATCCATCAGGTGCCACTGCCAAGCTTCAGACAACGTTCACGTTCCATATGTGCTGTGTTGCTCACAGAGAACCCATCTCTCTACTCTGTTTATCCATTTATCTCCTTCCCAGCCACAAAAGGCTATACTAGCTTAGCTGGGTCTTTTCTCTGTCCATGGGTGTTCACTTAGAAAGAAATATGCTGCCATAACTCAAGCTCAGTGCACACCCTATGGTTCAGCGTAAGGATAATCTTACCCTCAGATTTGCAAACAAGTGGCCTTGCTCTTTAACATTTCCACTGCATTTCTGATTTTTCAGGCATTTTAGAGCAGAATGTTAGAAATCAGATTAAGGTGTTAGCACCAAAACTGTTTGCTCCTGAATGGGAACACTGAATGACTTAATTGGAGGTAAGCTGTACAGGCTGTACCTTACTTTGTTTGGAAGCACAGCTGAGTTTATTCTCTCCCCGAGGGAAGTGCCCCCTTTCATGTTCAACCCGAGAAGTGCTCTGTCACCAAGTGTTTATAATGCAGATTGGAGCTATGGCACAGTGTGCATTTTGTTAATATTTCCTCTTTTATTAATGAAAAAAAAAATCCTTGGGGATCTTTCTTCTTTGCCTAATAGCCCTTTGGGCGAAAAAATAATCCTGCAGTGCAGTAGAAAAAGGTTTTAAAACACTCAAAAATACATATTAAATTTCCATATGTTTGAGTCTCCTTTAAATGACACTCCTTTGGGTGTTTGTTTATACGACTAGTACATAGACAAGGAAGTGGCAGAAAAATGGTTCCAGGGTCTAATTTAGTTTTAAAATAATAAAAACTTAACAGAACAGTTAAAGTTCTGGCTGTTTTTACTCTTCGAGTAGTTCTTGCTACAATGATCATTCATTTTAAACCAATGGGACTTTTCATCTAAATAAGAGTAACAAGGAACCTCCTATTCTCCTAAGATGTTCTATTTAGTATTGTGAAAGTAAAGCCTTTAAAACCCTTAGGAAACTTGCAGCCTAATCCTGCTGACCCTAATTCTCATGTGCAGAGTCCAATTAAAATTAGTGGAATTAGGTGGAACAAGTTACATTCCTTTGGTTCTGCACGATCGGGCCACTATTTGTGCTGTGTCCTTAAATACATATTGCTCATGGATTCATTCAGAGTATTTGACCTGGAATACTTATTGTCCTGAGTACCTTAGATCTTAATCATTGTGCACTGTAATAGCCTTCTCCATAGACATTCAGATATTTCATGCCTTTTTTGCTGAGCATCTGCAGTTTTCCCTGTTTTCCTGTATTTTCATATCAGGACGGATTGTTTCCCTTAGCTACTGAGCAACTTTGAAAACAGAGCTATGTATAATAAGGATAATGTTGTTTCCTGTTATTTCTCTTCTCTAAAAAAATAAAAATAAGTCTCCAGCGGATATAGCAGAACGTGAACAAGAGGCAGTTCTGAGAACAGATGTCAAATACATGAGTTTTATAAGGGTTAGGAGGAATTAGAATATTAGAAAAAATAATGACACTTGCAGAGCTACTTAGGACAGCCTTTGAAAATATGCAAGAAAATTCACTATATAGCTATTTTTTTTTTCTTGGAACACAACTGTGAGAGAGGCTGACTACTTCATAACCTTCTGGTACTTCCTTACCCTTTGAGTCATCCTGTTTGTTTTTGACACAGCACCATTTATTACTGCATGATTTCAAGGAATAATGCCTGTATGCATGCATTTAGAAGAACTGAAAATCTAATTTTTGTGAAAATATCTCCTGGGATTAAGAAATGAGAGGGGAAACCAGAAATGTTTCTAAATAGAAGAGGCAAGAGACTGCCTTACTGAAACAATAGGGCTTTCTAGTTAAAGCTGTATCACTGGCTTGGCTCTGGAGACCCTGCAAATCCAAGTCCTCATTTAGAGCTAACCAGATTTTTATTTCCTCCTCTTCTCTTCTGCTAGGTCGGACTGGAAGTGTTTTTTGGCAGATCAGGCCAGTGGTTTGGAAACAACGATAATGATGGTGACAAAATGTCTATCTTCCATGATCTGGATGGCTCTGTGACAGGGTACCCGGACACTTTTGTAGGCAGAGCTGACAACTACTTGCTTCATCACCCTGGATGTCTCACTGTGCCCCGGTGGAACGGGATGATCTGTACCGGGAAGTTTGCCCAGGTAACGTGGGGAGGCTGCATGCCAGGGGATGGATGTTCTCACACGCCGGCGAGAGGTGCTGGAGTGCAGCCTATTCAACATTGCATAAGATGAGAGTTGGATAATGAATTGAGTATAATTTAACTTTTCTTTGTGTTATCTGCCTATCTCCAAGGAGTCAATTGATGAAATCAGGTGGTTGAGACAGACATTTAGTTCTGCTTCCCATCCAGAAACCGCTGACAAGTTGGTCTAGGGCAAGGTAGTCTTAAACCTCAGCTGTTTTCTTCAGTGCGTGTGGTTAGAGGCCTTAGTTGTGATGTCAACACCTTGATAGAAAGGGCTGTGAAAGAATGAAAGAGGAGAATAGTAAACTGAGGGGAATAAGACCTCAAAATCAGACTTTGTCTCATTATACGCTGCTCAGATTTCCACAGGATTTTTGTGTATGAGATGGAGCACGCTGTAAATATACCACTCTTCCTTGGTCATCTCTGAGAGACTTCAGCCGGCTCTGCTTGCTCCTCTGCTTCTAAAGGTTATTTGTACAGTGACACAGAAAGGTGGCAGGGCCTGTTTAAAAACTCCAGTTCCTTGGAAATCTTGCCAGCCCTTCTTCCTCCTTCTGTTCAAGAAGATGAATTTTAAGACTGTGCATGGCAGGTGCACCCAGCATCACGTGGACTGCGGCTGGACTGCATGTCCTGAGAGCCCGCAGGAGATAAGGGCTTTTGAAAGGGGCATGATGTTCTCCTTACTCCAAAGAACAGCCCTTCACTGCTCAGCAGGGAGTGCAGTGGGTGAACTGCGGGGTCTGAAAGGCAAGAATGGAATATGGAATAATCTTAAAGAAAAGATCAGAGTTCATTAGATACAGCTGGTGCTTTTTCTGGTTTTTGTTTGTTTGTTTTTTCTTTTTTTTCTTTTTAAGATTCTTCTGTGCATTTGGCAGCACACTGCAAACATATCTCATTGGGAGTCAGTAATCATTACCCAGACATGAGTAGGGTAAGATAGCACAGGATAAAACACAGCCTGAAGTCATCAGAGTAGTATAAAAATTGACCCCTGAGAGGAGCAGACGGTGAGGTTTTGCTTTTTCACAAGCAGCTCTGTGAGTATAGGGATTAGCAGAGCCTGATTCTCTCAAGTTACGTCTGGCAATGGGTTGCAAACGCAGACTGATGGTTTTCCCACATTGGGATTCCTGAAGGCTCCCTCTCTGTGGCTTCTCTGATGTGTAGCAATGTGTGGGCTTGTGCCTCCAGTGTCGCCTCAGGCCAACACTCATAACTCTTTGCTCCTCTTTCTCCAAAGCACTTGTCTGCATGAAACTTTAAGGAATTTATTTATCTTTGAGACCTCTATGCATTCATAGTATATGCACTCATAGCCAGCTAATGTGTTTCTATGCATTGCTTTAATTGCACAGCAGAGAGCAGGAATTGCTATTTAAGTTCCTAGACACTGTACTGATGTCCCCTATTTTACTAATGGCAGGTAGAAAAAAGACTGGGCACCTATGAAACCACCCACTGAACTAGGGGTTTGTGCTTGGCACCTGCATTTTACTCTGTCTCTAGAGAAAATAAGTAATAGGCTGTGCCCTGGCAATCTAACAGTTAAATTCAGAATTGTAAATAAGTAGGCATTTATATTTTTTATTTCAGTTTTCACCCTCCCACTCATGGCCCTCTACATCGTGAGACAGTTTTTCCGCCATAGAAAATTGCCTTGGCTAAGTTCAGGCAAGTGTAAACATCAGTTTCTCTGGGATCTGTTACTTACCAGAGCTTTTCATTTAATCAACATTCAACAGGGTGCTCGAAGTTTGGATTAAATGCTTCCCTTTATGGGTTTGTGTAGGAAAATGTATCTGCATGCAATGTGGAGGAAATTTGTCCTGTGCAACAGGACTTAATTAAATTTGCAGGGTATAATTGTTGGAGTACTTGAGAATAACCCTGATTCTCAGCATTTTGACAAACTGATGATTTGTTTGGGTGCTAAATTCTGAGTATCATATTTCAGACCAAAAGCCTAGAAGACAGAATCCAATTATAGAGAAAGATGGGTTTGCTTTGATCTTCGCAGCTCTATTGCAAGTTGTGTTTTCCTTTCCCTTTTTGCATAGCAGTGCTAGACAAGAACTGTTATTCTTCCCTAGCATGAGCAGGTGAAAATGCCCTTTCCCTTCAAGGAAAGAATGACTCTTACATTGCCCTAGAGCTGGGCCCAAGATGCTGATACTAGGGAAGGGCTACCTGGCATGGAAAAATGAGCTCCGAGCCCTCCAGCTAGTGGTGCAGCCAAATCCTCTCGGAGCGAAGTGCCTACGGTTCAGTGAGTTCCTTCTGCCTGTGTTGTCTCATTCATTTTCTTGTTCTTATTTTCCTGGATTTGATTTGCCCAAGAAAGGAGAAGTCTTGGGAAAGCCCATTCTTTGGGCAGACTCTCCTTGAGGTGTTTCGTTCTGACATCTTGTGCCCTCTTCTTGCATCTGGTTCGTGTCCCTTGTACCTCGGAGCCGCATCCCTGTGCTCTTCTCCCATGCTTCCCTTCGGCAGGGAGCCGGGAAGCGCTGCAGCGCTCAGCCCGCCTTTAGCTACCAGCCAAACTCCTGGGGTCAGCTGGAAATCACCAGCTTTACACATGTAATAAATGTCAAGTCTTCCTTGTTCTCCCTTTTTCACTCAGGAGCCTGTGGGGTTGATGCTGTCAAAACGGGGCCAGCCTCTCTCTTTTTAAGGCAGCTGGAGCAGCCCTGATGCAATATAAATAGAGCGAGGCTCTAAGGAAGGACATCAAAGAGGCCAGACTGGCGGGGAAATCACAGGAGTTGGCAGCACTGCATCTTCTGGCAAGTCTGGATGACTCACGCAGGCTCTGTCAGTCCTAGGTGTCCTGTCAACCTGCCATTCAGCTGCTGCAGGGGCCTGTAATGAAGGAAAAATGCAGGGAGCGGCACATGCCATAATTACCTCCATGTAGGTGGGTGAGGTTTCCCAAGGCTGCAAGCGGAGGCTCCTCAAGGCCTGTGATCCTGCAGAAAACACAAACGAGGTTCTCAAACAGTGCCTGATTTTGCACCAATCCAAAGGCAAGTGCCTGGGCTCCCAGTGGACACTGCAGAATTACAACTTCCTCACTGACTTTGCAGCAGTTTTTCAGAAGAGGCTGTGCAACTTCTCTTTTTTGCTACTTCAATAATATAGGCAGTGTTCTGGGCAGTCTATGCTGCTCTCTCATATAAGTACAGAAAAAAAGATGTTAGATATTCATGAGAGATTGCTGCATAGCTTAATTAATTAGCGCAAGTTTTGAATTACGGAAAAATGGATGCATTGCTACTACAAAATAACTAAAGGCCAAGTTGCTGATTTTTCATCAGTTTGCTCCACTGGGTCACTACCTTCTTGCAGGTGGTTAAAATAGAAAGTGTTCCATTTCTGTTAATGCTGTTTCTGCGGGGAGTGTGATCACACGGATCCTGCATCTTCTCCGTGCTAAATTCTGTTCATTGGGCTGGCATCCACTTGCATATCCAGCACCTGCTTAGGATACACATCACAAGCTGTGCAGAAGGAAAGATCTGCAGGATACATTTCTGCTAATACTGTCCCTGTGTGGACAAAGAGGTCCACTTTTGGTCTCTGATGCACACCAGTAGAAATTCAAGGTAGTTCTGCTGACATCAGCAAAGATGCTGTTGCTTTTAGGGCCAGAACTGATCCCAGCATGTCTTGCACAAAGGAAAACATGCATTTGCTTTCTGAAGTATTTCTTAGGTCTTCATTTGGAAACCTCTTAGAGAAAAAAAAATGCTGTACTGGGAAATAAGTCTTCATTGAACAGGCAAACAACCAGAAGAGCAGAATACCTGTTTTGAGCTTCTTGTTTTTAAGATCTTTTGGCTCACTTTGACAGCCAGCAGTGCAGTCAAGCAATGTTAAAGAAACTAGAAAGCAAGCAAGAGGTGTCTCAGAAACCAAGACTTTCTGTTCCAGTACAGTACTTTGCATGTTGCTTATCTTCATATTCACTACCCAGCTGAATAGCAAATCCCATATGAATTGTAAAAGAACTTATCTTCTCAGTTTCACAATCTACTTGGGAAAATTTCCATGTAAGCAGAGGGAAATCTGACACATCTTTCCAGCATGAGGTGTTAAGCAGCTAAAATGACAACTATGTCCATTAAACCATCCAGGCAAGTAGTCAGATCACATTTTATAGCATTTTAACTAGCTCTTCTTCTCCTACAACATTAAACTGTCACCACTTCTCACATTTTAGAGTATCTTTATGACCCCCTTTCTTCTTTTTAATAATTTGGTAGATCTAATGAAAAATCAGATGTTACTGGGAAGATTGGGTTCTTCACCTAGAACTAAATACTCCTGTTAGACTCCTTTTTGCTCCTATTCACTGGTTTTGCAAATGTAGATGCAAAGAAGAAAAGCCATAAAGTTCTCCAAGATAGTTCAAGTGAGTGGAGGTGTGATGGTGTAACAGGTTAGGAGGAAGGGGGCTGTGACACGTGGCACCTGACACATGCTCTTTGCCATCTTTTTGTTGCCACATACGGCAAGCTCTTCGGGGGCTTTATTGAACCCTATAGTCGTAGTAGGCAACGTGGGCTGTGCATAAGGGTTTTGTTCTTCTGTTTCTAAACACAGTCAAATGGCCTGAAGTATATAGGAATCTTTTATTCCCAGTAGTCTCAAATTTAGGAACATTGGATTGGCTTGAATGTGTTTTTTTTTTGCTTTTTGGCTTGCTTTATCATTGTTGTTTTAATTTTCTAATAAATGCACTGAAGCTGCTACCTTTAACACCTTTAACTTTCTTTCTTTTTTTTCTCTGCATTTGAAGGAAATAACATTAGAGTTTACTGTGACAGGGCAGAAATTGTTGTCTTTTATCCAGAAAGACACAAGGAGAGTGTTATTTTGCAATATCGGACATCATTTGCACTGTTCTTTTTCATAAAAAATGATGTTTTGATTGAGAATGATTAATGCATTCATAGGCTTTCAGATCAGAAGGGACTTTTCTGATTGTCTTTTCTGACCTCAGCACTGTACCCACTGGGGAGCACAAATGAGGCTGAAAGGTGATTTATTGCATCGCACATAACTGACTTTCCAATCATGGTTTGAATTTTCAGGGAGAACAGGCTTTGCTCTTTGGTTTCCTAGATAAGAAGGTCTTTTATCAGCTGGTAAAAGTAATTTCTTCTTTCCTGAGCCATGAAGAATGAGCAAATGAGCTGCTACTCAGAAATTGTTTGGGGCAAATTACTTGATCAATAGTTTTCAGCCTTCAAGAAAATCTGGTGTTCAATACAATTTTGGGATATGAGTTACTCCTAAAGGATCTGCAGATATTACTCAGAGCAGTGTTTCACCATTAAAGATTTGCACTGCTGGAAAAGGAGAAATGGACTGAATATCCAAGAAACTTTTACAACCACTTTTGGATGACTTTTTCTGACTGCAGCCCAGGTTCAGGGGCCAGGCAGGGATTAGGCAGAAGTGACCTGCCTTTCATAGGTGCTGAGGAGCCCAAACTCAGCAATGCCAAGGGCAGACTCAAGCACAGGCTTTTTCTGAGCAACAAGCGCCTCTGTTAGAGCACAAAACTGGAACTGGGAGCCAAACTGGCAACTTCAAGGCAGGAAAATTGCAGCTTTAGATCCTAAGCTGAAACAACTCCAAAAACATCATGCCATAAATAGACTTCAAGTTAAATAACCCCCATGCTGGAGACTCCACCTCTGTCTTCTGTCAAGTTAATTTGCTGTTGCCACGAAGTTACGTTCCAAGGAGAAAGGGGAAAGAGGCTGCTGTTTTGGGGCTTACGTGGGCCATGGAAAGACAAACCAAATGTCATGGCAAACACCTGCATCTTGGCTGTGGTTTGCAGTCAGGAAAGCAATTTCTGACCCTACAATGAGTGTGCAGCTGCTGGACACCCCAACTGAAACAGCCCTGTACATAAAACAGCAAGAGATGGTCTGTTCTGCAGAGCTTGCAGTCTAAGGAGACGAAACAAGGAGGAGAAGCAGATATGGGGATGTAAAGGGCCAAGCACCACAGCAAGGTCCAGAGAGAACTTGCATGAGCACACATATATGCCAACAGGCTGCTAGTCTTGGCTGTGCTTGTATCCTTGCCCATGGTATTAAAATCTGTTAAACAAATACTGCATCCATTTTGACTTGTCTCAAGGACAGAAACTGAGTTTAAAATTAATTGTGCTGGCTAGAAACTTAGATATTTCAGAACTAATTTTGCTTTTTATGTTTGATATTTTAAGCTCCTCATGCACTTTTTGCACTGGAAGAGAGAGAAGGAAACATCTTCCCCTGGTGTAGCTGAAACATTTCAGGAATATGACAAGAAACATCCATGGGCGCCAAACCAGATTTATATGTGCGGCTGTGCATCCTCCTTTTGTGCAAGGAGGATCCTCCTTTTTCTCACTGGCTATCATAGATGCACATCATGTATTCGGCCCCAAAGATAACAATTTCCACATAAATTGGCCTTCATGTGAGTTGATGACAGGGCAAAGGAAAACATATAGTTGGGATGTAGTTTTGTAATTGGTCTGTAGCGTTGATCTCCAAGCCAAGGGCATTTTCTGGTCCCTGTACCGAAAAGCTCTCTGCTGAAGCCTGCGCAACAAGTTATTTAGCCATTGAGTATTAGCCCTGAACATTTCAGTCTCGTCTCTGCTTGAGAGTGAAGATGTGGATTCCATTAGATTAGATTTGGACTTCATACAAAGCCAGTTGAAATCAATTAAGAGTTTTCTTCATTTTAAATGGAATAAGCCCATTTTAGGAGTGCACTGATTTGAACTCATAAATAAGAAGTTCTTTTTGTGATATTTCCGTGATTACCTTTCTCCCTTAAGAGTTTGAATAGGGAGCATTTTCATGGTGCTGCACAATTCCTATCTCACTTCATGGTGTCCCTACAAACGGCTGCAGATGCTATTTCTGTTTTACCTTTGTATTTGAGCTGGAAACTTTTCAGTGACTTTCCAAATGTTCTCAGCTCTTTGCTGGCAAAAACGGTTTACAGGCAATAGTGATCAAATGCACATGTTATGGCCGAGCCTCGCTGGTTTAATGGACGTGTTTGTCATTTTCCTTGCACCCTCAGCTTTATATTCAGGCCAGACGCCCTGAGAATCTGACCTTATCCATTGCCAGAGCGGCGCAGCCCTCCCGGCCCTCGCGGCTGCAAGGCGTGAACCGCGGTGCTCCGTACCAGCAGTACCAGCCGGTCGTCATGCTCCAGCAGCCTTATATCATCCAGTGGGACGGCAGAGCACCTGAGGATGTCATCCTGTACCCCATCAACTTCAACAGGTACCACCCTATCTTGTTAGAAAACGTTGGGCTTTCAGCAGAGCTGGGGCTACAATGATTTTCCACCTTCTCCACCACCAGCCTCTTAAATGTGTCAGTGATTTCTGAGAGCGTCGAAGTGAGGTGCTAATCGCTGGTACTCATCCATGCAAAGAGATGCCTCTGCTTTCGCTTCATTCCAGGGCTTTTGGTGTGCAGAGATGTTTCTCTTTCCAGTTAGTTTTGAAACGGAATCCAAGTCGGTCCTGGCCTAATGTCCCTGAAGTCACTCCAGAGGAGCGCTGGCTGTAGTTTGTTTGTACTACTGCACACATAATTTATCTCCCATATATATAAAGTGCAGAAATACATCAAAATGTGCACAGAGCTTTGCATTTTCTGTAATCCAACAGCACTGCAACCACTGTTTCTTTCTGACATGAATTTTTAAAACATTACAACTCAGTACAGCAGAAGCGTAGGCTGTGCTGCTTTTATTTTCCATGTTTCCTTCCATGTCATCTAGTGCTACATAGATGCATGACAGACCCATTTTAGACGTACTTTTTTCCCTTGCAAGTTGTTTCACTTTGCATAATTTCATTTGCAGCTTTCAGCACTGACTCAGGACCAAATTTCTTCTTACGTCAGTGAAATTGCTTGTTCTTTGCCCTGGTTTAACTATCAGGAGAGTCCTGCAATCGCTTCAGTTTATTGGTGGCAGACCTTGTCGTAGCTTACACACATACTCTGCAAGGGATGAACAGCACAAAACACCAAGGCAGTGGCACAGCAGTGGTTTTTGATTAATAGATATAGGTAACTGTAGAGCCATGACCGAGTTACTGGAACATTTGGACAGTCCTGTCACAGAGGAATTATTAGAAATAAATGAGTGTTTTCTGTGTTAGTATAACTGATTGCACTTTAAGGAAGAGGAAAACTCATTAGTCACCCATGGACAAGCTGAGCTTTGCAATTATTATCTGTCATAAAATAATTAGCTATTTCCTTGCGATTCAAGAACAATTCCAAATTCAATTCTGCTGGTGTTAAATGGTCATTGCACTATCACTAGGTCTATTAATAGTTGTGGAATCTTTGGCCCACTGTCTTCAAGGATGGATTCAAATTTTAAGGTAGCGGTGGATCTTTGATAGAACTCAACTTGATGTTTACCCCTTATTCAAGCAGCAACGTAAACACATTTCACTCTTGAAAACCACAATGTGGTTGTGGTTCTCTTTGTCTCTTATGAGACCAATTAAGTTATTTGAACAGGGCAAAGGTTTGTAGATTTTTCTGATCCAGAAGAAGTTGGCAAGGTGTCTGTTTTGTAGGACTATAAATAAGAAACATGCTGTAGCGGGAGAAAAATGCAGTTTTGCTTCATTTCATTCAAAAGCATCTTACTAATAAAAAATTGAGAATGACATTTGTAGCAGCTCTTTAATGTTGACCGCGCTGGACATTAACTACTGCGAGACTTAAGGTGATGCAATGGTAATGATGAAATGTCCAGAAGGCATCTGCAGCCATGGGCAAATGTGAGTCTCATGGAAGGGTATAGCAATTGAGGTGAAAACAGGATTTAAGAGTATGAAGAAAAACAAGTTCCAGCTTAAGCAATTCCATATATGACCTTTATTAAACATTGTGTTCCAGCCACTTTTGGAATGGAAGAAACTCCAAGTTGTGGAGTCCAAAGCAGTCAGAGTTAGAAAATCAAGGAAGATTTTACCTGTCCCAAGTGGCCTTATGCTTCGTTTGTTCCTTTCTATTCCAAAACACTGCATAATCTGCCAAAAAAAGAGCTCTTAACATAGTAACATCTGTGCAAAATATATATATATATGATGCAAAGCAAAATAGTTTGATGAGCTTGAATAACAGAATTCTAGGATTAATAATTTGAGACATAGCTTTATTGAACTATGAAACTATTTTTAATTCTGTCATTGTAAATCGATGGCTAGATATATGCAGAACATTGCTTTCTCAGCAAGACAGCCCTCATGTTTCTGGCCTGAATGCTCTGCGCTGGCTAAAAGAAGGTCAGAGGGGAAATAAGGAATGTGACAGGGAGATGTGTACCAGGATTTGGATTTCTTTGGAGATCAGACATGGTATTGACAGTGAATATTTGTGTAGTTAACAATTTCACTGCCTCTCAAGTGCTGTTAAAAGATCCAGTGGAGGAAATTCCAATTTCTATTTAAAAGGCTGAAACATCCAGATTCCTCAGGTAGGCAGAGCCCCGCCGGGATGATTTTACATGATTCATCTGGAATTGGCAGCGCTGCTGATCTGAGCCCATTGGAAGGTGGACACCCTCAAAAAACCAAACCTTCCCTATTTAGTTTATTTACTTCCATGAAAATATGTAATTAAATCAAGTAAAAACGCTGTATCATCTCCACTTGCTGTTAGTTGCAACTATGCAGTGCAAACTCATGTGAACAAGTTGTCTGATGCAATCCAGCCTCCCTTCCAACGAGAGAGATATTTTCTTGCAGTTATCTTGGTAGTTGTGCCACTAGCTGACAGAGGGGAAAATTTAAAGCCACGGCTGAGACCTGCAGGGTGTTTTTGCAGGCCACTGAGCCTAGAAAAACTGCCTTTCTTTACCAATGAGGGCTTGTCTAAGAGCTGGGAGTTTCGTTGTGAGGATGATGAGGAGGATGCTATTGACGTTCTTGAAAGAGTTAATGCAGGACAAGCGTCTTCTGAATGTTTGGCAGGGGAACAGAGGGCGAGTGCCGGCTGGAATTTTAATTACCAGGAGTAAAGTGTGCTCCAGAACCAGGCCAAACCTTCTGAAGTTTGTTCTCTGTGGGCGAAAGCTTTATGAACTGGGACCTCAGACCTCTCCACGGTGGCCTTCGGCTCGTTGTTGGAGCAGTTTCTGTCCCCTCAGGGCTGTTTTCTGTGTTTTCTTGGATTCTGTGCTTTGCGGAAGAATGGGGATTATCTTTAAAACCAAGTTAAGAGCTTTAATTAAAATTACTATCCCCTTCCTGAAGCACAAGGACCCACAGAAAGTGTCAGGCTTGATATGAGAGAGGAGAAGGGCTGCTAAGCCAGGAGGAGAGTGTGGAAAACATTATTTGATTGCAAGGAAGCAATTTATTTCAGGGGTTGGAAATGGTGCAAAGATCAGCACTTTGCACAGTAAGAAAAGGCAGAAAATAAACTCTTCAGTTTAATGACCTAGTCTTTGTATGTGTGCAAATTTTCTAATTGCAGAAGCAGCTAAGGAAAATACTGTTATCAAAGACATAGGGTAGTAAATCAGTCCAGGTTATTTGTGTTATCAGAAGATCTAAAGATAAGAATTAAATCTCCTCAAAGCACATATCTGGAGTATTGTGTAATAAATTGCATTGTGAAAGTGGCCTGAAAAGCAATGGCTGTTAGATTATTTTTTCCATGTGTTTTATGAGCACCGACAAATATCTGTAGGCCTGGTCTATTAAGGCTCAGAGGGAAGCATTTTCCCTTTTTAGGACTCTCTGCTGTGGGTCAAATAATCTCACATAATCACAAGTATCTGAAAATTCAAGAGCCTGAAATGAGCTTGTGTCTAGAGTGAAAGACAGTGGGGCCTTTGGGTGCTGGGTGATACGAAGCCTCCGGGATGTTGTGACCCACTTCACTCCCAAAGTGAAGATTTTGGTGTAGGCAACCAACCTACGGACCCTGGGTCCCCACTGCAGCGCCAGGGGACGGGCTATATTTGTCCTTCTCAGGGCTGTGTAGGTGGGCGTTATTTCTCTGATTTTTCTTCAATGCCAGTATGATTCATACTTCCATGTACTTGTCATTTTTGCAATTAAATTCTTTAGTGGTGATAAGGTCTGGAGGGAAAACAAAGATTATGAGATGAGGCTAGAATGTGCTTGTTGCAGACTCACCCAGCTATGATGTTTCCTAAATTATTTCTTTTTCTGCTTAATTACTACCTGAGCTTTTGCCTTTGCTTCCTAGATTGATAAATGTACAGGAAGGTGAAATTAGTGTTTTAAAGTGGAGCAAACAGTTTAAGTCTGGGGCTGCTTTCTCGTTATTCATATGTACAGGAGTTCTGATCTAGATCCTCTAGAACTGGGTGTAACATCAGTAACACCAACACTATTTCCATGATAATAGGTAAGGTCTATTTGGGTCTCATAGTTTGCGTCCCCCCCCCCCCCACATAGCATCTCTATTTCAAAATTAATCATTCAGCTACCACAGAAGTGGACAGATAAATTTATATTCACTTCTGCCTTTTTTAATATCCTTCGAACCACAGGTATCAGTGGATGGAAGAGATTAGGAAAAAAAAAAAAAAGGAAACTAAGCTAAAACATTTGCCAAAACACTAGCTCGCAGTTTGCGTTGTTTTGGTACAGAAGGGCCTAAAGCGGGGCTGGCATTTCTGTGTTTGAGCGAACCTAAAAGTCCTGCCTTTGCCTCCTGGCATCCGCAGTCCTCGCTGCTCTCTGCCCACCACGGCCTGTGCTCACAGCTGCCCGAGCGGCAGGGGCACCGTTAACAAGGTGACCTGAGGAGGGACATCCCTGTGGAGCAGATCGTTTCACAGGATGAATTAGAGCAATCCAAGCATCAAACAGGCCCAGGTGTCTGAGGCAACCCCTTCAAAGCCCATGAAACATGTAGGTTTTTCTTGGGTTTCACCCTTCTCCTGACCCAGGGACAAGGCCTCTGGGCTTCTTCGGGCCACCAGCCTCCCCTGACCTTATGCAGGGCTCTGAGGTCTGTCAACAGGAAAGCACACGCGATAACCAGCAAGGTAGTGCTTGGGAACTCGTTAAGGAAAGGGACAAATAAAGTTGTTGTGCGATTCCCGCAAGAAAGCGGGTAGGGTGGGAAAGAACATGAAGCGTGATAAGATGCTGTGCTGTGTTTAAATATGGGAAGTTCTTATTTTTGCTTGAATTCCGTTGTCTGTGAGCCAAGTGCCTGATGGAGAGCTTGGTTTCATGAGGAACAGTAGGAGTATGGATACCTTGGGGCAGGATCTGTTATATAATTTGTTGAACTTTGGAAAGCAAAAAAGTCCCTTTTGCCTAAGGAGGCACATGAATAAAAACAACAATTTCAGTTTATATTTAAAAATGGGCTTTTTTTTATTTTTTTGGCCATTTGGCATATCCTAAATGTTACCATTTAGGAAAGACATTTAAATCTCAATATACTCAACTCTCATTAAGGAAACAGATACCTAACTTGTTAGTAGCCCCATAGCAAGCTGTCTTCCAGAAGTGTCTAGCCTGAATAACAAGGTCCTGGAAAAAAAAAATGTTGGGTGTTTGCCCAGTAGCTGTATTTGTCATTGTGGGGGATGTGTTTAATGGGCTTGAGTTGAAGGCAGAACCTTAAAAAGCAATGTAGCAGAAGAGGAGGAGTGAGCGGTAGTGCCCGTGAGCTGGGGGAAAATGGGGAGCAGAGAAGCAGAGCTTGGACTGGGAGAGGACACAGGGATGTGATCCTGGTCTATGAGGCCACTGCTGCTGTCTCAGCTGCTGTCTCAGCAGCAGAGAGAAATGGGGGCATTTCCTGTTCTGTTTCCCCCACGTTGGGCTGGCATGCTGGTTTGGACGAAGGTGGCTTCTTGAACAGGAGTTTTGTGCCAGAGGAGGTTCTGGTGCAAGGCAGGTCTTCGTGAGGTCAGGAGATGTTGTAGGAGATAAAAATCAGAGTTGTGTTCTTGAGAGCACGGAGCAGTGACCGCATGTAAATGGTTCTTAGCAGGAGCTGGAGGTTAAATGGTGGCCTTGGCATATTTTCCTTGTTGAAGCGCAAAACTTGATCTGTGGGAGACAAACGTACAGAAGCTACACATGAGATCTTAAGCTTCCTTCCCATTTTATGAAAGGAAAAGTTTCAAATTCTCAGTTTTCTCATTCGGCTCACATAGGTCTGACCAAAATGTCAGAGGAATTGTTTTTAAATAGTAGCAATAACAGTTGGGGGAAGCTGACTCACTGGATGAGAGTCTCTTGTTATTTCAAGTCCAAGGAAAAAGTAAGTAATTTTTCAGTTGTACGCTGCATTCCCTCACTGGTTTACCCCAAATTTTCATCAGTGAGATCAAGACTTGGACTCTGAACTTCCATGGTCGTCAGCTACGTGACGCACCATGTCAGCAAACACGGTGGGAGTTGTTTTCTAGAATAATATTCCTCAGCTTTAGAAGTTCCCTTGGCTAAAACACAGCTAGGATGTTGAACTGTCTAACTAGCAACCCCAGCACCAGCTCATGCCCGTTTTCCCAAGCCTGATGCTCCATCCTAGACAGTCAAGGGACACATTCACAATATTTAACTAGTGTTCGTTGGTTCTCTCCTTGGAAGAACCAGACATATGCTCTTGCTATGTTTGCTCTAGCCAGCTCCCATCTCCAAGTTGTGTGACTCACTTTAGCCCCCGCCACTCACAGGAGGCTCCTTCCTCCTTTGCCTTCATCACTTTTCTTTGAGTATCTTTGCTTTTCAGAGCTTGGGGTTTAACCATAGGGGTTGTTTTGAGACGTATAGATGAGGTAGACATGTGTCTGCACGTACACACATATATATCACATGTCTAAGAACAGGAAACCTCTTGCTTGTGTTTTTTTATCTTTCCCTCTTCTTTTCTTTTGCTTTCAGTTATCCCAGGAAGACTGATCATTGACAAAACACAAGGACACTTTCTTAACATTTTGCTTGGTATTTTTGCTTCACCTGAAGGAGCCAGAGCTGCAAATGTCAGTATCCTGGTGAAAAAAGAATTGCTTCTTGGGTTAGTTTCATCCATCCATCTCCAAAAGGGAAAAAACAGGCTAAATACAGTCATTAAAATACATGAAATGCACTGTAAGGATTGCTGAACCACAGTAAAGAGAGCAAGAGTATTAGGTCTGATACAGGCTGGTTTCAGCAGACCCTTGAACATTCTCAAACTGGTACGACTCACTAAACAGTGACTTTGTGTTAGCACATGTTTAGTTTTACTTCTCCAAATGTCACTTTTTTGGTAGGAACACATAGGAAAATGCTGGTCTGATTAAAAGCAAATAGGAAAAAAATATATTCCTTTTGTCTAAAACAAGCGGAACTTTTTCGCTAGGAAAAAAAATTGTGAACACAGTTATTTAGTTTTGTGATGAAAAATATCTTAGAAGCTCAGAAGTTTTCTATACATGCTAATATGACTATAACTTAAGGTGACAGCTATTTCAAAAGTAGGGTGTTCTAGCTGAGTGTATTTTTGTTTTTCTTTCAAGTAACTCCCAAGAATGAAAGAAATAAGACTCCTACTCATCACTATATTTGACAGCACTTTGTATGTTGCTTAATGTGACTCCTACCCCTTGTGTTTTAAATGATTTTTTCCACTTTTTATGTGCAAGTCTTTTAGCATAAGATCAGGCTACAGATGCTCCCAGAGGACTGAGGCAAGGGTCTGAAATTACTCCAAATTCATAGTTTGGGATGTATTACGATTTCAGTGTTTTCTCTTACTGAAAACAGAGATGTCTCAAAAAGTGAGTGGCAGCACAAGCCTTATCAACTGCTAGTGCAATTTGTGTTCCTAAGTCCCCTGGTCACCAGCCAGAAGGTCCTCCGTGGCCAGTGCCGTGGTTGTGGAGAGCAAGTGTCCCTTTGAAGGCAATCTTCAAACCCTCTGTGCCTGATTACTGCTCATAGCCTGGGGTTGCGTTTCTCCTTCGGTCCTGGCGGTGGCTGGAAGAAAGGCATCGAAGCCCTGTCTGGCTGCCAGATGCCGGGCAGAGTCCTGCAGGCCACCTCTAACCTTGCTTTGCTTTTCCCAGCTATAGTGGAACCCAATTCAGCAGCACTGCCAGGTATAGCTACAGGGGAGAGGGTTTACAGCACCTTCTGTATAAGCTGAAAAAAAAATCAAGTAGAGAACTAAATAGGAAGGTGCTTAATAACAGTAAGACAGAGAGAAAACAAACCCCTTCTCTGTATTTATTCTGTATTTATGTAAGGGCTAAATTCTAACACCAAACCCTCTGTTGGGGGATGTACTTATCCCATCTCATCCTCCACTAGCTCTAAAGTAGGTGCTTTTTATTTGATCTTCTCTATCTTGATATAAAGTATTTCAATATTTCAATCTGCTCATGTGCACAATAGGCTCTAGCAACCATATTCCCAAGCACAGAGAGACTCAGGACAGTCACAGCTGTGTTTTTTTCTTTTTTTTTTTTTCCTTCATGCTTGTTTTTTTTCCTTCAGCCTCCAATTTCCTTTTCTAGTGCCTTTCTTGACCTCTGGGAAGGTGGCAGTCAGCATAACACTGCACTGAGGCTCTTTCCCAGCATTGGAGGGAGATGACAAGGTTTTTTTGTGACAGCATCTTCAGGGGATAAAATGTGCTAACTTGATGCAAATCACCCTTATGAAACAGCTGAGTGTCCTGGGACTCTTTCCTAAAAATATTCTACATGCATGGCTGCGGTGCGTTTCTTTAATTTCCTCTAGTCAGAGGCCAAATCATCTGAAAATATATCCATTTCTAGCTGTCCTGTGTTATGACACAGCTGGAGTTGCTTAAAATCTAGAAGGCAGCATTTGGCTTAAGCCAATAGGTCTTTGTATGGCTTTGATTTTTTATTCTAGAAGAGCCTATCCCCTCTTCCGTCCTATAGATATTGTTTTCTTTTGTTTTAATGGGAAAAACAGAAGAAGACTGATGGAGCTTTTCTCTTGAGCTGTTCATGTATAATGCATAGTAGAGCATGCCTAGAGTACATCTAGGCATGTAGACTCCAAGTGTCTCCAAATCAAAGGGGTTTCCCCCCTTTACTGCTCCCTATGGATGGCAAGTCATTTCAGTGGAGCCTTTGGAGAAACCTTGCATTGCACAGCCTTGTAGGACCTTTCAAGACAGAAGACAAAGGTTTTGTTCATCTATCTCTGGCCAAATTCATATTCTCGCATTTTGACCAGGTGTTTAAAAGGATGCATTTTAAGCCCGGGTGGCTTCTGGTAGTATGAGCAGGGTTAGCCGCAGGTCCAGACACCTGCATGGGGCACACTGAGCCACTTCAGAGGCTGAAGAGAAAGAAAATGTTGAAGCTGACTACCTCGGTGTTCAGTTTTTATTTGCAAGGGCAACCCGCTTGTGGCTTTCTGCTGTGATGGTGCTGTAGGGAACGCTCTCCTCCTGGGGCACCTCACACAGGAAGGACAGGGCCTTGGGAGCCATCAGTGCCAGGATCGTGTTGTCCCAACTCTGCAGCTCTGCTCCTGGTATTGTAGGTTCATAGTCTGGGGCCAGTTCCCCTCTTGGCAGGGCTGGCGATGCAAAGTGTAGGGCAGAGGAAAGCTACTGGGCAGTTGTTTGGCTGAGGTAAACATGTGGGATAAAATTCTAGTAGACAAGAATTAAATGCGCGTTTCACTTTGGCCTCAGTTATTCTAAAACTTTGAAGAGAAAGCGGGGGAGAGAGCAGTTTTAATGGGAACCATCACGATGCACATTGCTGCAAAGCGGAGGAAGCAGATCTCTCTAAAGCATGGCTCTAGTTCAAGTCAGAGATTACTTCCTAATTCCTGAATTTCTGCCCCTGGGAAACGTCTGCTGGACTCCAGTTCCCTCTCCTGCCGTGGTTCAGGATGCACTGAAGCCAGCCCAGGGGTGCTGCGGAGATGGGACTGGTCATAGCTCAGCCTGAGGGGCCGGGGAGAGAAAGTCTCCAGTTTTAAGCAGCCCTGGCACCTGGCTCAGAGTCCTCCGGGGTCAGCTGGGGTCTCTGGCTCACGTCTCTCGTAATAAGCAGCCGTTGTCTCCAGACAAAGAAAATAAAACTCTGCTTTTCTTCGGCTTTGAGGATTTTTTTTTTTTACTTTTTTTCAAGGAGGAGGAGAACATCAAGGGGCATTTCTTTGTTTTTTCCACTGAAGATTAAGCTCTTGGCTGAAGCCCCTGCCCACAGAGGAGACTGGCTGCTCGTAGCCCTCTGCTACCCGCGGGAGGCCATTTTCCATGTGGTGGCGGATGTCTACCAGCGACGCACGGGGACGGTGCACAGCGTGACGCACTACACGGCCGTTGCCACCCGCGACCATGTTCTTGGCGGCACCAGCGAGAGGCTCTTCTTCTTTGACCAGGCATCAGGGTGAGTGCAGCCATGTGGCCAAAGCTGAGGAACCTCCTTGGATACCCCAGCACCTCCTTGACCTCTCTTTCTCCGTTAAAGTACTGTGTGGCCCTCTTACCTGCTCGTCTTGCTGGATTTCAGCCCAAAATGCAGACAGGAGCCTCTGATCAAGGTCCGCTTCTGCACCCCTGAGCAGAGTCTTGCATTCTGTTAAGAAAATGACTTGTTTTGTGCCCAGTCTGATGTGCTTGGAGGCATCCCGGCTGCTGCTGTTCGTATTGCTGGGGCTGTGGGTCTGGTGTAAATATTTGGCAAAATCTGTTCTTGCCAAAGGACCCTGTCAAGGACACCTCTGGTGACTCCAATCAAGAGAGTTTGGGAAACTGCAGCTGCTTTTTGCTGATGAGAGACTTTTAAAATTAGCACTGGCTAAAAATAGTTTGTTTTGTTAAAAAAGGGAGAGCATCTTAGTGCATCTCTTTTCTGAAGTCATCAAATGAGTGCTAGAGAACACGTACCAGTTGCTTGTCAAGTACTACTCAAAGAAATCCTTAGGGTAGAAAAGACACACTTCCATGTCCGAATTCCATGTGAGAGTCTGGCAGGTGCCATTCTGCCCTTGATGCCCAAATGGGACATGGTGCTGCCTCGAGCAGGACTAAAGCCTCCCCTGAGCTGGCTACTTACCCATCTACTTATCTCCTTGTCTCTGGGGCTTGTTATTTGCAACTCAAAATGCCAAAAACTCAGCAGTACCAAAAGTGAGTAATATTAATACCACCCTTGAAAGAATCAAGAACACCTTTGGTAATAAAAACATATTATGAAACTGTTTCTCGGTCAGCTAAAATAGTTGGGGAGGAAAAGACTGTTTTTGTGGTCTAACCGTGGATCCCATGATGCTTTACCTAACCAAACAGCTCATTTGGAAATCAATCCACAAATGCCAGATTTTAAAATAAGATGGGGTGTTTATTCATTCAGTCATAACATATGAGCAACTAGGTCCCGGAAAGCCTTCCTTGCTCACCAGGCCTTGGAGATAGGCAAGTCTTCCCTCTCATGACAGGAATTGTGAAACAGCAGTTTACTAGTTAATCCTCCTTTTCGGTCATAAAATGTCACCCAAGTTCAGTAAATGGGTTGTTTACTAGTGAAGAGTGGGGTAAACAGTTCCATGTGTGGGTCTGTGGGGCAGAGCCAGGGGCTGCCAGCAGCCATCTGGACCTGGGATGTGCAGGCCGATGGGCCTAACCTAACTGCATTCTGGCAGTATCAGCCTTTGGGTTCTTTGTTTAATTCACTGTTGCTTTTTTTAGCTTTTCAGAGGATAGGAGTTAGGGGATTGGCTTTTTTCTTTTCCTGTTGTTGTTTTTTAGGCATGATTTCATAATAAGTGGCATGTTTCCCCCCCTTCTTTTTTTAACCCCACGTGCTGGGTCCTTGGCGAGGAACCAGGCTTACTCATTCTTGCTTCCAGAAAATAGAAACAAATATTTATTTTCAAAAGGAAAAGAAAGGAAAAATGCTTTTAAAGCTCAGGCATCTTTTTGATCCCAAAGCCGAGCTGAGCTGTTTATATAACTTCCTCGGCCTGAACTGCAAACTGGACGCGACTGAAAACAGCTTAGAACAGCTAGGAAAGAGCTTGGAGGACAGAGGATCTGGCTGCCTGCGAGTGCTTGGTGTGCGTGTGAGGGCTGGGCAACGGGAGGGTTAATGCAGTTTAGCAAGTGCAGACCCTGCCCCAGGTCCAGTTTTCCTCTGAACGTGCAGCGCTCTGACCCCTCCGTTCGCTCTCCTCTGCAGGTACCTGTTGGTTCGCCTGCAAGCCCACGCAGCGCGGGAAGGACACAGCTACTGCTCGGAGCGGGGCTGCGAACGCATCAAGGTCATGGCAGAGATGTCTGGAGCGGGATCCTGGAGCTGTGCCCCCAACCCCTTTCCAGAGTCCAGCATCCGACCAGCACCTCCCCGGAACCTCGTGTTCCAGCGCCGGACCGGGCCGTGCAGGACGTGCGGGGCTCCTCAGGTACCTCCTGGCAGCTTGCGGAAGCACCTGGGTGCTGCAATGGTTGTGCATCTGCACAGAGCCAATTCATTCCGTAGCGTCCAAGTGTTCTCAGTCTTAGGGAATTCCAGCCTGCTTGCGAGTCTGGTCAGCATTCTGTAACATAGGTGGAAGGTTGTTGAGGGTGTAAATCCTGCAGATTGCTTCAGGATCATACAGATTTTATAGGCAGGCAAAATATCTGAAATTCAGATTCAACTTTTTAACTTATTTTGTGGGAGGATGGACTGATGACCTCCAGAGGTCTTTGCTGACAGATACTGCCATGACTCTTGGATAAAAGCTGTTTCACTAAGGAGCACTTATATGGGAACGAGAACCACAATCTAAAGAGTGAATTCTTAAAGTTTTGCAATCATAGATATGAGTGTTGGTACTTGATATCATTTGGTTGATGAAATCTAGCTAGCAAGCCAGTTTTTAAGTTTCTGTCTTTCACATAATTGCAGCTCGCTATAACTAGCAAGCCCTCGATCAAGTATGTAAGAATACAGATCCAGTCTGTCTGCACAGCTGATAAACGAAACCACTTGACGACTGCGTTCATTAAGGTACATGTTTTACCACATTTGAAATGGTGATTAAATAGAGGAAACTTTATCTCCAAAGAAAGTTATTGCAAAATCTGCTGAGCCTTGATGGGAGGAAATGGGATGTTCCACTGGAAGATCCAGCTGCATTGTTCTCCTCTGTAATTAGCTCCATTAAAGCAGCCCGGGAGCTCGTATTCTATTCACATGAGGATTTGAGCCTTTAGGAGAGGAGAAAAAAGGGATTTTATCACCTCAAAAGAAGAATTAACGCCATGCCACTGCTCTAATATAGAAGAATGAGGAGAAAAAAGCACACCAAGAGTCACTGTTTGCAGAGGAGCTGGGGACAAAAACAAGTTTGTTTTTCTGATTTTCTTTGTGGGTGCTGCACTAAAAAAAAGAAAAAATAACTATATTTTCACTACTGAAAGAATTTGGACTTGTCAGGTTGTCCCTGCACATCCCTTACCTGTCTGCCTAGACAGAGAAGGGTGACTATGAAGCCGCGTTTGCCAAGTTAATGCTACTGAACTGCAGTCATTGCTAAGAGATGCCAAGCAAAGCTAGTACAGCATCCTTAAGGAGTTGGAGCAGCCAAGATTTCTTGCCATGTGAACTGGCTGCATTGTCAAAAATTAATTCCAAACCATTAGCAAGTGGGAGTTATTTGTGGAAGCATCCTCCCTACCTGCAGAGCCTTGCACGTGCACCTCGCACTCACAGGCACTTTGTTCGTGGCAGAGCCTGCTCAGCGAGGTGGCAAACCAGGGGCATCTACAAAGCCTCTTTGCATTTTCCAAAGCTTTAATTCAAACTATTGTTTTCCAAAGGAAGTTTATTTCGGACACATGTGCTCTTAGCTGAATCAAAGGCCGGTCTAGGAAAACAATATGGACCAGTGTTCGAAAGAGGATTCTTGTCCTCAGCCTAAAATGGTTGAGGAGATATAGAAAGAGCGGGATGAGGGAGAGAAGCCCCACACTACTGAGACAGGTGTTTGGTTCATGTTTTGCCAGATGAAACTCAGATCTCAAATAATATTTTAAGTGTATAATCCAAGATCCCACAACACTCGAAGTAATTTTCTCTTTGAGAAGGAGGGGCAGTCCCACCTTCCCTGATCCTGCCCTCAGCTACATGCTCCCACCTTATCCCATGTGTTGGCACAAGGGCTCACGCAGCTGCGGAGTGATGGGGAGCAGCCCCAGGAGGCTGAAGCACCTCACGGTGCCCTGATCCTTCTCCTGGTGCAGGGCCCAAGCTTTGGGCTGGTGTGAGGAGGCATTTGGAGCATGCAGTGGACAGGTAGACATGCAGCAGGCTGTTTTCTTGCCATCTGTGGCACTGATCTGTGCCTCATCTACATCTAGAATTCAACATGTGCGGCTTGCTTCCCCAAGGGGTCTGGGACAAGCACCACCGCCGTGAAGGATTTGGTCCATCTGCATGTCCTTGTCCTAACTCCCTGCCACCCGCCCATGACCCAGACACTCATATTTCCCTTACCCTTGACCCTCTATTGCTCTCACCATCCTGTTCAGCCTCCATCATCTTGCAAGAGTCACTTTTTAACATTTCCCTTTCCTATTCACTCTGGCTGAGTGTTCCCTGGAGTCATCCCCATGTCTTCACATGGATGGGATGCATTTGAGCTCCTGGATGTTTGAGGACTTTGAAGACTACGTGGAGTATATGGTGTGCGGCCTGGGGTGAGGTTTCTCACTGCCATGGCTGGGCTGGGAGGAGGTTGTTCAGTGTCTGTCCCGGCAGCTCTGCTGGGCCCTAGGGATCCCCTGGGGATGCACCAGGGCCAGGCATCTCCGAGAGCCTCTGCCTGCTAAACATGAAGAGCGTGGGGCATCATGAGAGATGAAATTTGAGCAAGAGCCCTTGCTGTAGGAAGGTGGCAAGTATGAGCTGCTTGTGCTACATCTTCCTTGAGGCACTCGGAGAGTACTACAAAGAATAAATAATTCTTTTTTTAAACTTTCTGATAGTCATGCTTCCAGGGAAAATAAACGTCGTCTTTGTAGCTCCTGTTCCCCATCCACTGTCCCACCACATCTCCTTTGTTACTTGGTCAAATCTGCTTTTTGCTGAGCAGCGGTAATTTCAACCCACATGAAAAGAATCTGTATTAAGACTAAACCAAGCATTTTTCTCCTGGGATTCTCAGCTTCTCAACTTTATCTTCCTAATACACAAAAAATGTAGATGACTTTATTTCTCACGTGTTTATCCCCCATTTGGCTTAGCAGAGTCAGTGAGAAATAAGATTTTGCCTGCCTCTTGTGACTCATCAGTTGTAAGTGATTTCATTTCATCTGTACCAATTACACATTTAAAATTAGGGGTTGTAAAGGCTTGGTATTGTACTTGCTTGTAACTTCCATCTTATGAAAAAGCTCCCTTGTCATTTACTGTCTGCCTCCCTAAAACTTACCTCTGTTTTCGTTGCAGATAAATGATAAAGTTTTCCTGTTCAATAGCCACGGGATATTCTTCGTGGTGCTAGATGCATGTTCTGGAGCAGTCGTGAGTAGATGGCACTTTGACACAGTTAGTGGTGAAAATGCTGCCAATGCAATAAGTGACTATGTTCAAACATTTATAAAAGACAGGTAAGCAGAGTGCTGAAAGCCCCATTCATGTAGCAACATGTGGGTGACAGACAAAGAAAAGAAAATTCCCTACTTTCATACCTGAATCCGTGCTCTGAGAAAATCTGGCGAATGTGAAATACATTCAAACACCAAAAATTGATCAGATAGAAGAGAAGCACTGTTTCTCTGACACCCTTTCCTGAATTGGAGCAGACAGAGACAGATTTTCCATAAAACGGGCAATTCCTTCTAAATTAACAATGCATTTTCCAGTATGGGGTAGGTAAGGTCCTTGCAGTGGCATTTGCAATTCTGTGCACTTACCCTGATGTCCAGCGATTTCCTGGTGGCTGATGATGCATTTTTCCATTTCAGAAGTAAGCTGGCTTCTGTTTATTCTTGCTGATTGTTTTTGCATCTTTCAGCAGATGAAAAAATCACAGGCGCCGACTTTGCCAGTACGATTTTCCTGGCCAGCCACGAATAGGCCTGCCTGCCTGCCGGCTCTGTTGCCTTGAATGTGCGCTGGCAAAGGTCTGGATCATCTCTGTTTGTGTCTGTTCCACATTCCTTGTGGTTTTATGTGTCGCCACATAAACACGGAACAACAGAGATTTATAGATAAATTCTTGGCTGCTGACAGAAGCAGGTCAAATAACCAGAACACAAACTTTGTCCAAGACATTTCTGAGCAATTCATGACCAGTGATCTGAATGCTCCAGAGTTGTTATATCTTTATTTATGCACATGTCTATTTACCTGTGTGTAAGTGCATAAAGTGACAGCTATCCCTGTCATGGCTGTATGTTTGGCTTGATTTTCTCCTATTTTGCAAGCTTGGGCATTTCACTGCAGGTACAATTCACTGAGGGCATAAAGCCCAGCTGTGAGGACCCCACTCAGTCTGAGTGTGATTCAAGTTTAATTCAGGAACATACTTAAAACAGATTTAAAGTTCCAGGAGCTCATGTGTGCTTGAAAGCAAAGGAGGTTTAAGCATGTCCCTGGAGTTGAGCATGTTCTTCAGGGCTTTTCTGAATTGGCACTTAAAAGTCTTGCAGATTATTAACAAAAATCACATTTTGTGATCATGTAATAATTCCTGCCCCTCTTTTCAGATCAGTTGTTCTCGTGGGCTCTAGAGACATCACAGAAGTGACAGGGAATTCTGCAATGTTTGTCTTCACCAGGTTAGGTTCTGCAAAGCCTATTACCTTCCATAAAAAAGGTAAATATATTCATTCCGCCATATTATTTTTTTCCCCAAAGTTACTGATATGTTTCCGTAGCCAAAATGTACAGACAAATTCCATGGTGTTTATCAGTATACTTGTCACTATAAACTATACCAATGTAATCTGCTAAAAACTTCTTGCCTCAGGGATGGTCAGCAGCAGAAAAGTTATTTTAAGTTTTTGACCCTAGTGCAGCAATAAGAAGCTGCATGCTGCAAATTTTTCATCCTAAAAAGAGCCTATTTTTCCAATGAAAAATAAATCATTTGGCAAACATTTGATAAAGACTCCAACTCTAAAATTTAAATGCTTTGCATGGAAAAACAACCATAAACGAAAAAGGTTGATGAAAAAGAAAATAACCTGAAGTGAAATAGGATTTTTTTTTTTTTTATGGAAGGAAAGTTTAATCACTGGTTTGGGAAGGTTCTTATCATATATTTACCTTGAATTGCCAAAACTTCTTGTGGCAGCTCAGGGTGCTGTCCGTGCATTGCCTTTACCATGCTGGGTTTCCTACTGGAAGCCGGGTGGCTGCTGAAGTCCAGGTTTGGGAAATCAGCTCATACAGTTGGTAAGGAAAACAGGAGAGCAACCAGCCAGCTTGGTGAGGATTTGTTTGTTATTTCTTAAGCAGAGATCAGATACGGAATTGGCAGTATTTTGAGCTCCTTTATATATCTTTTTTCTTTTTTTGTTTCTGTTTTACTAAATTGTGCATCAGTTTTTGGCCCAAGGTCTAAGGCATGTTCCTATTACTGTCCCTGGCAGAGAAGAGCAGAAGCTTTACAGCCAACATAGTAATTTCCCTTTGGTGCCCACTCTGTTTCCAAGTAGCTGATTTTTCCTTCATGGTTTTAAAAGCAAAAATTTGAGGTTTTCTTTTTCCCTTTTTGTCTCAAAACTTCATTGCATCATTCTTTCGTGAAAGCCCCGAGTGCTTTTGGAAGGAATTTTTTGATTAAAAAGTAATCTTGTTTTGTTTGTTTTGTCAAACTTTTTTCCTCTGAAACACCTGTGCCGCTCGATTCGCGCAGCACTCGGGGCGCGTTTTGTGAGCTCGGTTCTGCCTCCAGCCCTGACCGGAGCAGTAAAAGGAGCAGCCAAAAAACCCAGTGCAAGGGACAAGGCAAGGAGCTGCCAGTGGCCTTCCCCTTGCCCAGGGTGATGTGAGAGGAGAGGATGTGAGTGCTGGGCTAACCCACTGCAGGCCCGTCAAGTGTTGCTCCTGTTAATGCTTTTCGCAAGAGTATGGTCTGCCCCGATTCCCATTCTGGTAATTATGTTCTGATTCGTTAGCATTTTTCTGCTGGTTCAGGTATGTTTGCTGATTGACTTCCTAACTTTCAACATGATTTTGTGCTGGACTGCGTAAAGCAGCCGCTACAGCCTGCCCTGGGGATGGCTGTGCGTCAGGGGAGGTTAAAACAATTCTCCAAAGTGCATATTGCTCCTAGCTAAGGTAACACAAATAAATAAATAATAAATAATGATCCACTTGACACCAGTGGGATCAGGATTTAGGGTCCTTTTGCCCGGTTTTGCATGAACCATATTCAAATTAGATGTGTTTACAGGAATAGTCTCGATCCAATCATTTGCCAATAGCCTTGGGAGACTTTGCAATGAAAAGCATAATATAAACACAGGACATTATTATTAAAATCAAAGAAGATATAACGCCTTTGTACTTTGTGATGACAGGGAATGGTATTGGAGATGACATGGGGAACTGTTTAGCCATAGCTGGAAAAAACTGACGTAAACTAATAAAAGATGGATTCAAAGCTCCTAACCATTTTCATGTAGTCAAATATGAAAAAGTATCAATGCTTAAAAATAAAAAGTAAAACAATATTCCTGCTTACTCACATCTGAGAATCTAGCTTAGTTTATTGAAATACCTGCAGATCTGTGCTGCAGTGAGATTATGGCTTCAGCAAGGCTTATTCTCCTTTTCATCATCCTTTTTTGCCTCCTAATGTTCTGTTATTTTAATCCAAGAAAAAAAAAAGGCCAAGAAGTTTCTGTGATGTGAGGAGTGAGTCCATGCTGTGCAGCTAATCAGTGAACTGATCCATGCAGAGGGTCACTCTCTTTGTGTCTGTTTTTCAGGGAGTTTTGCTATGCTGGGCTATAAAGGGCAAGCCAAGCCCTCCTGGATTAAAATCCTTAATCACGCTGCTTATCAGAAAGCTGCTTCTCTGCAGCATTACATTCCCCTGGAGCTGAAGGAATATCAGTGTTCAGGTAGTGCTGACGAGCCTCCGAGATGGGCTTTGTCCCAGGGGCGCTCGCAGCACAACTCTGCAGGGACTGCAGAGCCCCGCGGCTGAATCCCCCTGCGGCCCTGGCACGACATCAGCCGGGCAAATCCTACTACTGTCACCAAAGCCTGCCAGGGTTTTTATGGAATTGTACCAAGCCAATGTTGTTTATCTGTGTATTTTATAACTAATAAATATATATTCTCAACTTATCGTCTGTGGTTGAGTGTTATTTTCAAGCAGCGCCCCGGAGGGCAGGGTAGGACAAGCCTGCAGGCTGCCCATCTCTAGGAGATGAGAAGTATTTGGACATATCTACTATATGATATAAAAACAGTAAGTTTTCAAGGTAAAAAACAACTCTTCAGAGTCTTAAGAACTGGAAATGAAACTTGGCATGGAAATTTTAGAAGCGTCTGGGGAAACAGATGAACTGCAGCAGAGGTAGGGAATTCTCCCTTCATTCATCCCGTTTTTCCCTATGCTAATGTCTGCATTTAAAAAAAAAAAAAAAAAAAGGATGTGTGCATCTGATACTGCTCCGTAGGTGAACTGAGGTTAACACTGAGGATAAGCCTGCACTGATCTTACAATAATATCTTCTAATCAAATTGAAAATATGTGGCAAAACAAGGACTTATAAATGTGTTTCTGTCTGTAGCTAATGACTGGTGAAATGATATTTGCTCAGCTGATGTGAGTATTTAATTAAAGACCAACAGGAATGAAAACCAGGATAAAGCACATGCTGTGTAGGGCAAAATCTTGCGTTCCTCTTTCCAGACAATGATTATATTGAATTCCTTCTGCCTTTGAGGACTGGACAACTTCTGGTATTAGTAGTTTACATTCTTTCTTCTTCATTTATGCTGCCTTTTTTTTAAGTAAAGAAACGTAAAAGCTCTTTGAATACAAAATAAGAAAAAAATAACAACCTCACTGACTAAGGTTAAGGTGCATAGTTATCCTGGAAGGATAATGTACTTGTTTTGGTTTGAATACGATGTTACCTGGAAAGAGCAGTGAAGGAGAGAGTGATTTCAAACTATCCATGTTTTTGTCACAGACTTCTTTACAGGCACATAACAAATTTCCAAAATGCTCTGAACTATCAAAGCCAAAGAGATTGCTATATGAAATGTATTTAGGTATTGCTGAGTGCTAATGGAAGTGGCGTTGTATGGAAAAAAATCTCCAAAATCTTACAAGAGGGAAGATGTCTTTTTTCTTTCTTTCTTTTTGATTGGAGACAATGTGCTTGCTATTTCTATATTTGACTTGGTATGAAGAGCAGGATTGTCAATAGAAGAAGGAAAAAGGTGCTATTTATTAGAAATGAGGAAGAAAAAAGAAAGCCAAAGGCAAGTGAAAAGATGAAATTCCATGATATTCCTTTTGTTATTGTTGACTTGCCTCCTATTAAACCAGCATCCAAAATCTTAGATTTGCTTTATTTGTACAGAAATCAAAAGGATTTCTGCCAGGAAAGGACACGGTTGGTTTTAAATTGAAATAATTTTGTATTTATATAGAGGAGTGCAAGAAAATTTGCAGGTGGGGTGTATCTGCTCACAACAGTGATATTTGGTCACTTAATTGAGCTGATGGTGTTTTCTGCAGAGCATTTCCAGGAGGAGCTTGATGTTACCAGAGCTGCCAGCTCTCCAGCTGGCAGCAGGAGTGACTTTGTTAGTGGTTTTGGCAGAAAGGCTGAAAATTAATTGGGACGTGCCAGCACACAGGCTAAGTGCCGCTGGTGCTCTGCTTCGAGAGGCTGGGCAGGCTGGGGTGAGGGTTGCTGCTGTCCTGCACCTCCTCCGTGACGCTGCTTTCCAGTTATCAGCTCAGATTATATGATCAGAGAAGCCTAACTGAACATCTTTACTTCAAGACGACTGGTGTAAAGTTGTGTTGGATTCCTTGCTGCCATTTGTTTGTGTCTGTGCTTTTGGCCTGACAAGTTTGTAGCATTTTAGCAAAGGTTCAGCATCTTCGTGGTCACCTGGGCAATAGTTTGTTTTCTTGCTTGCTCTAGGGCTGGTGCTGTGGCTTTGATTGATTGAGCATCCAGCTGGAGGGAAAGGTAGAACAGAGACAATGGCCAAAGTTTTGATTCTTTAGACAGGGAGAGCTTCATTTTTGTCTCATTCTTTTTTTTCTGCACCTGAAGCAAACTGGTAGGTGATAGATCTTGTCTAGCAGAGAGAAATCTAAAGGTGAAGCTGTTGGTACACTTACTGCTCTGATATTAGGTGAATGTGCATCCCTACGTATGCCTTCATGTCTGTAACGGGTACATGCAATCCATGTCTACATGCAGATCAGTGTAACATTATGAACTTTTCTTTATGGAGTGACATGTTTTTTTCCAGCTCTTCTACTGAATGTAGTTGACCTTTTCCTTTCTACATGTTGTATAATGGGAGCCTTGCATTTCAAGGCTAACCTTTACTTCGCTTGAGACTTACGTGACCAATTCTCCTTTCCTTTGAATTCCTGACAGCTGCGTGCAGGTTCTTCAACAGGTAGGTGACAATTTTGTTACTAACATCCCGTTGTTGCTTTGAAATTCTCAGAAATGGCCAAAGAAGTTGCTGCAGAGAAAGGTTAGAGTTCTGCTGGCCAGACATTTGCTCCCTGGTGAGTAAGTCGTTCTGGCATCCGCGTGTGCCGTCCAGCTGATGCTGTGCCACAGAGCTGGGTCTAAGCTCCTTTGCTGAGACGTTTACCTCCATCAGATAGTTAATGCTCTTTGGTCCCTGAGGACTGGGAAGTAAAAGGACATCAGACAGGTTTACAGGGACAGGCAGAGGAGAGGAGCAGCCTGCGGCTCCATCTACACAACAGGTAGGAGAGGTGGAGCTTGGTCTGGCAAGGGGAGAGGTTCTGGCTTACTATGAAATGTGAAGAAGTCAATGCTGGTGCTCAGAGAAGGTAACGTGAAGTGGGATGTGGTGGGCTGCTCCATCTGGAGCAGGCACCGCGGGAGCCCTTGGTGAGGCAGGGAATGATAGAAGAGCTGGAGCAGGCTGGTCCAAACCCTCCAAGTAGCCCTCTGAAGTCCTTTTGAACTCTTACTAGTACCTAATTGTTATGATTTCTGAGGCCATTTGAGGGAAGGAAAGCAAGATGTTTTTGGCTGTGAGCTTTAGCCCAACGTTGGAACAACTACTTACAGAACTGGCTCTTTATTTTCTTGGAGATTTATTTGATAATCTGTGACAGGTCCAGACCCTGGATCCCAATAAAACCTTGCAGAGCTCTAACCCCAGCCTGAGACTAAACAATCGGCGAAGGAAGACCTTGGTGAAGGAAGGCGAGGAATGTGCCTAAACTTCTGAAAAATCTGGCTTCTTCCTCCTGCCACAGAATGAGAGCAAATGGCAAAAGTCCTGCAGAGGAAGGCATGGAGCCGTGGTGAGCCAGAAAAAAACAGCAAAGTACCACAAAAGCAAAAAGAAAAATATTTACATCCTGATGCAGATATTTGAGTAGTTAAAAGCAGCAGTTTGAAGAGGATTTAGGATGCTGTGATCCATTTGAGCCACTGCACACATTTTCCTTACCTGGAGAGGGAAAACAGACTTCAAAACTCCAAAACATTCAGCAGAGGGTACAGTTCCTCCGTGGATGCTCAGGACGATGCCTGCAAAAGCTGCTGCTGAGTTTGGGTGCCCCAGGTGTCCGTGTGTGTGAGGCTGCGGTGGTAAGTGCAGTGCGGGCATTGCCCTCGTGTTGTGCCATTGTGTTGGGCTCTGGGGTTTCCTGGCTAGGAGCAGGCACTCCTGCATGCTCAAGTCCACGTGGACTGTGCGTGTGTCCTGTAGCCCATCCAGGCATGTTAGGTAAAAAAATGCATTGAGGACACGCTGCCTTCCTGATTATCCCCCAAGCATTTCTGCATGGATACCCAGTAGCTCTGGTGCTTCCTGAAAGCGTGAGACCCACTGTATCTTGAACTTGGGCATTGTAAATTCAGTGTGTCCCGAGCTTCAGAGAATGGGGTTCAGTGTCCCGTCGCTTTGATGCTTTGAAAACTTGATGCAGTGGGCGAGAGTGTAGTGCAGTGAAATGCGGAGCACTTCAAAAGCATTTGAAACTGGAAGTCAGTCAGCCTCTAATGGGCAGGGTGATGTGAATTGCAAATGATTTTGTTTTAGCCCAGCCAAAAACTTCTTCCTTTCCTTTCCAAGGGCTGTAACCTGTGAAAAATGAGAATAATTCTGGAAAAAAAAAAAAAGAAACCAAAACAAAAAACTTATAGTTTAATAATTAAATGCAATATATTTTCCTTTATGTCTGGTCCAAAATTGTTTGCCAGTGTTATACCAGATTTGCAAACACTTTAGTTCTCTTTAATTTATTAATTGTAAAAACCTCCCTCCAACTCCAGTTCCTTTTTGATTTTTTTTTTTAATGATATCAGGAATTAGGGAACTTGCAGCGATGCTTATATATGGAATCTGTGAGCTGAACCATCTGCCTGGTAGGGAGGGTGTTGGAAAAATTGATAGGGAACCCTTTTTTGGGGGGAGGTCAAGTCAGTACTTTGGACTTAACAATTATTTTTATCGAAAACTAAGGTCCAATGCTGAGCTTAATCCATCTCCTCCCTTAGTCAAATGCAAGCTCAAGGTGGCAGAGGCAGCTGTGCTGCTCGTGCTGCGATTAGGAAGGTGTTTTTGTTATGGATCCCTAGAAACATGTTTGTTTATTTGCAAGGCTTTACCCGTGCTGGCGGACCAGTGGGCAAAGGCTGCCCTTGCACAGGAATGTCCCAGTAACAACCCGCTGACGTTTCCTCTGGTCAGCAAGGTAAATGTGCCAGTCAGATGGGTCTGCCCAGCTGGGCTGAGATGCAAAATTCCCCATCAGAGGCAGAGCAGAGCCATGAGGGAAAGGGCAGTGGCTGCCTGTGTGGTGTCAGCAGGATCATAGTAGAGGCACTAATTAAACACCTCCACCTCTCCTCCTCCTCATTATCTCCAGGGAATTGGCTTCCTAATTGACCTGGGCTTCTTTGCATATGAATGAGGAAGCATCTAGCAGCACTTCTGCCCTAGCCATCAAGCCACTAAACTCACAGTATCAGCTTCCATTACTCTTTTTCTAGGGAAAGCGTGGAGGAGTCACGGTTTGGCCCCCAAAGTGTACAGCAGTCCTGACCCGGGGCTCCGGGAGCACCAGCTGCCTGGGCAGGCCCTCCCTCGGGATAGCAGATTTTACTTGCAGGCCCTTCAGGTACCATTGTGGATGCATGGCTGCTGAGAGGAGCTCATCCCCGGTGCTCACCCCAGGTTAAATTAGACCTTTTCCTTTTTTTTTTTTTTTTTTTTTATTTAAGTGGAGAGTAGGGGGCTTGCCCAGTTTGCAAGTTACCAATGACTTAATTCTCTCTTTCTGCTCCTCTTGACATATGGGAAAGGAGCCTCATTTCAACAAGGCTGAAGGCACATCCTTCAAAGCATATAAAGACGGGCTTAAAAAGCCCTTTAAAATACCCAATAATGAGTTTCTTTTTTTATATTTTTGCTACGGGCTTGGGTGATTGGCCCCAAGTCCTGCAAATGCGGAGTGCAGGACAGAGCCTGGGGTTTTCTCTCCCAAGTCCTGCTTTGCTGTGCTGCTCCAAAGCCCCAGCTCCAGAAAAACATCCATGCTACTTCACCATGGCACCTTCAGGGAATGCTGCTTTGCCAGGGCATCGCTTTTTGCCCTTCATTATCTGCTCTGCATTGGTTCCGGCATTAAACCTGCAGGAACCAACATGGATCAGGCTGTGCTTTCTAGTACAGCGTTGCTACTGGCACCTGCAGTAGTAGCCAGCTAAGTGCTAATGGTTTCCTGTATCTACTTTTAGCGTTGTCTGCTGCTATTGTTCTCTCTCTGGTGTGATCCAACAGCTGGGAATCATTTTGCAGCACACGTCTTGCCAGAGCCAAGGCGCGTGTCCCATGGGCCCTTGTTGGGCGGCTGTCCATGCCTGGATGAGGAAACTTTCCTCACCCAACAGAGGCTTCACAGAGCATTTGGGAAGGCTTTGAGATGGTCTCAGAGGACCCTCGTGTGGCCCCTGGGGTGGCAGGGAGCCCAGGCCTGCGAGGAGAGCTATTGCCGGGAGCGGTTACCTCAGAGCTGAGCTCAGCAGCGCCATGGAGCAACAGCCTGGTTCCCTGACGGCACCGTGCGCGGAGCTCACGTGGCGGCTGCTGACATGGGGTAACCAGCTGCTCCCGAGTCCTCTCCAGCAAGAGACGTTAATGAAAGGGGTGACTATCCCATCCTCCTCTTAGATGAGGGAAATTGAACACTTTACTGCCTATATCTTGCTTGGCGGGGGAGGGGAGCGAGGCAGACGCTAAATGAATTTTTTCAAAAGAAAATTCCTGAGCTTATACTTTCAGCAGAGCTTTACCGGCACTGTGTTGGCCAGGCTGGGTCAGAGGAGGCAGCATTGGTGGTAGCAGCCGTTCCTGGCCCACTCGGCTCTCAGCCTTCCCAACCCAGCGCCAACATGGCCCATACCCTGCAGAAAGCTCTGCTCTGGAGAGCTGTGTGAAGCGCCCTACCTCACCCATAAAGCAAGCAACATATAGCAGGTCATACACATGCTGGAGCTCAGCATAAACCTGACGCCTCTGTAAATGAGATGGGTTTTCAGTGTCTCAGTGCTTGTTTTGATCTCTGTTAATGCGGGCGGGTGCCATCAGGGAAATGTCCCCCTGTGAGTAGCATGAGATAGCGAGAGCCATTTGGAACCGACAGCACTGGGCAGCTCTTGACTTTAAAGGAGGCAAGGACTCTGAGACTCCTCATACTCTTTTCCTACCAATTTGCCTACTGATTATGGTCGGAGATGGATTGGGAGCTGGAGGGGTTACTGTTCTGACCTGGCAGGGATATTCCTCTCAGTTCACAGGTTTTGTTGGGCCGCAGAATTCGCTACCGACAAAGTAATGGGAGAGCAAAGGCATGCTGTCACTGTTGTAAATTCAGTCCCTTCTCTTCATTTCTATGGACTTTGGCATCATATGATTGCATTAGAAAATCAACACCTTGCAAGCTGGAATTTGGCTTTATGCAATGCTAGTAGGCACTTATGTCCACGTTGTACAAACCTCTCTTATCTATAATGACTATCCTGTGATACAACCAGTCTTACTGTTTTTTGCTATCATTAAAGCAGGGTCTAGTGGCTGGGTTTACTGATTACGCTTTGCAATAATCGTTAGCACATCGTCATGTTTTAATGGTGGCTGCTGTGTTTTGGGAATAACTCCCATAATGTTCTCTAAAAGAGCACAGCTTATCAAATGCTGATGGTTAATACTGTTAAAATGTCAAGCACGTGCAACCTGGTTCTGGCACAAATTCCACAGCGACGTTATTGCTCTCTGATAATGTATATCATTTGAAGTTATAGCATTTCTAAGTGCATTCCTCTTTTCTGCTGCTCTGTAAGAGCATTTCAGCACCTGATAGACTGTCTGCACTGATTCCTGATCTGTGCCGTATCCAGAGCTCACAGCTGTCAAATGCATTGTACCAGTGCAAGCAAACATGTTCCTGCTGCAACATTTCCTGGCAAATCTGCTTCTAATGGTATTTTTAATACCCTGGATGGTGGTTTGAATGTGTTATTGCACTTTGAACTATATCACCTTTGTGAGAGTACAGACATGTTATGCTTACATTGTAAAATTTGTTCCAGATCAAATCCTATTTTGTATGTCTTTTTTTCTGCCTTGTTTGTTTGTATGTTTTATTTTAAAAAGTGTCATGAGAACTAATATATGGGTCTTATCCTGAAGAAACTGGACATGCTGCAGTTTCTTTGAATTACTTTCTTCCATGTATAATTAAGCCATGCGATGCATACATTCATGCTATTTGAGCATGGCTACGTGACATGACAGTTACAAATAAATTTCTCCCTCTTTCTCTGGCACTGGCTTCAGTGATAAAACTTAATGGACCACATGTGAATTTTAAATAGTGTCTCATGAATACAGATCATTGAACACTTGCAGAATTGGATCTCTGGGCCTCAGTGTGCATACGCATGTCAATAAATGGTCACCAGCATGGGGTAGAGTTGCAGGATCAATCAGTTGAGAATGTTGGGTAGAATCACATTAATCCTAACTTTGCCTTTCATGATACTGCTTGCTTGGTTTTGATGGGCTGCTGTCTAATGCAGAAATAAAAATGACATTGGTAAACTGGTTTCAAATCTGCTTTTGGTTTTGCAACAAAGTTCTGGGCTGCCAAATTAAATAGAGTGTTTCTTGGATCCGAAGTCTTAGAAACTGAAAGTGCAAGTGCAAGTTTGGCTGGATGGGCCGCAGACCACATTTGATGAAAACGTGTGGGTGGAAGTAGGGGAAAAAGGAAGAGGTGCCCTTGAAAGACCTCTTCATGCGAACTTGCCACTCTGCAAACTCCTTCCTAGTTGTATTTCATTACTCTTTTGCACATGTGAATATTCAGCTCTAGAGAGTCTTGACACCGGACGTGTTTATGCTGCATTCCTAAGAAGTTTTTGGTTACAACTGGTGGTTGCTTTCTGTGTATATATTTGGATTCCCAAGTGGTTTTATTTTAGACCTAACAAAGGGTGAGGAGCTGCCCTGGCTTTGTTACTCTGCCCAAGCTATTGCAGAAGTGGCATGGAGGCCTTAGCTACTAATCTGAGCAGGAGTGGATGTGGCCTGTCATAAAACTGGATATAACCTTCTTTGCATAGTGAACGGGTTTGTGGCCTGAAAGAAAAAATCCATTTTTCTTGCTATTCTGTCTTCACAGGTGTCCAAAGAGTTAGAAATACTGAAGAATGGCTTTGCCTACCTCCTTGCGCCTGGCGGGAAACTTTGTTCTTCTTCTGTTTGTAATCTTCACCATAAGCACAGGTAAGTTTTCTAGCAACGGCGGGGAAAAAGCACATGGTTCGTAATAGTGTTCTTAAATAAATACATTGCTGGTATAGGTTGAGTGGTTTTGCACTGTTTAATGCAAGTTATAATGAGATGATAACATGGATGAGGTGAGGGAACTCAGGAAGAAAGATATTTTCAGACTTGCCCATCTTTGTAAATTAGAGCAGCAGGAAGGTACTGAGCAGATGCCCTCAGGAGTTTCAGACTGTGCCCCACAGCAGAACAACCAAACCAGCTACTGCAAAGAAGAAACACAACCAGCCTCAGCTCCGAATAGCTGTGCTGGTGGGAGGTGGTGTCTGAGCAGCTTACTGTATGTCCAAGTACATGTGTGGAGAGCAGAAAGCTCTTGGTAAGACCTGCTATCTGTGCTGGCAAAGGACAGACCCTAAGATTTGGTCCCTTTCAAGCAGTCCTTCTCCAAAGTGTTTAGTGTGAAAGCGAAGTGGTAGATGGATGGTCTAAGTAGAGCTGTTTTGGGGTTTTATTTGTTTAAAACAAAGAGACCAAATGTTTTGCCCCAAATGCTGCAGCCACATGCCAGCAGTAAGTAATGCCAGTCATTGCTTGAGCCCTTTTGGTCAAGAAGCAAAACATCCAGCTTATTCCTTGTGCTAGGTAGAAATGGGGATGTTACTGTGAAAAAGACATGGAGAGCAAGAATCCGAGTTGAAACGGGAACCTTGCATGGGCCAAGTAGATGGTGTATAGCCCTTTGATGCCTGGGGTGCTGCTGGTGCAGGAACATGGGTGCCACAAGTGGGACATGGCCAGGGTGGTGGCAGCCTCAGCTAGGAGTGGGTCAATGAATTCGGGAATCTGGGTCCTTTGATCTGAACTGCATTGACTTTTGCTAATGGTCATCCCAGTTGTCAAGGTAAATTCCTTTTGATTTTCCTTTGTTTTACTGTCTCTTTCTTTAAATAATGAGTTTTGGGGACTGAGATCATCTTTTGAATCTATTAGAAGTACTTTCAGGCATTGGCATGGCTAAATAAATGAAAAATCAGCAGGTTTTTATCTTGGCCAGTTAACCTAGTTGCTAAATTTTACCTTTATATTTGAATCGGGACTTCCCGTTTTGTCTTCTCAGTGTAAGCAAATTTTCCTTATTAAAAGTTATCCTTAGTTATCCTCAGTTATCCTTATTTCTAAAAGCATAGCAGATCATATTTGGAATTCATCCTTAGTGTGCATCTCTGAACATCTGTTTACAGCTCAAGTCCCATTACTGCCCCAAATATTAATCTTTTCCGACTCTTATTAATTCTGCGCATCTCCTAGTGGGATCCAGGAGCCTCCTACTTACTTTCCTCAATTACTGTAAATCAGAAAGAATGCTGTTGACATTAACGACACGCTTCCAGTTTTCAGCTGGCACAAGCAGTATCAAAATTAGGCCCTGGTTATTTATCATTTGACTACTACCCAGTGGATTATTAGCTCCCCTTGATCTGTCTGCTTCATTTGTATGGAATAAGTTTGCAGAGAGCCAAGGCATCTGTTGCACACATGAAATGTCCTTTGCTTACCTTGCAGAGCTGCTATTTAATGGGTCCCTGGAGGCATCCAGGCAGTGGCTGCTCCATAATGAGACATGGAATGATGGAGGGATCTGAGAAGGAGGCAAACACAGACGGATGGGCTTTGTTTGTGTTGCAGGTGTCCCCCAAGTTTCACAGCAGCAGTATCTGGGCAGCAGCTCCTCCCCAGCTGCACTGGCTCAGGGACACGTTTCCTTGCATGGACCCACACTGGCTGTCTTTTCCATGAGCTGAAAGCATTAGTATTCATGGGGGAGGTGGAAATCCCAAGCAAATTGAGTGTCCTGGAAATGTAACTCTGCCGAAACTTACCCTGCATCTGTAGTCCTGTAGTCATTTAGTTTAAAATAAAAATCTGGAGAGCTGGTGAAAACTCTCAGCCCGCTCTGATAGCAAAGAGGACATTGTTCAGACTTCCACTGACCTCAGTTTCCGAGGATTAGGAAGGTTTCTACCATCAGAAAATATGCATCACATGTGGGACTCAAACTCATGAAGTGTAGTTGATTAGAGCAAAACATGAGGCTCACATATCCAGTGAGATTATATCAGGGAAATATTTTATCTTAGGTAAATATTTATAACATGAGACTCTTGGATGGAGCAGTTTAGACAAACACGTCGTGGCAGTCAGAAATCAAAAACGTGCATGGAGACTAGTGATGTGTGAACCTAAAGAGAATGGCTCCTGATCAGCTTTGTCTGAAAGACCTCAAGAAGCCTGAGTGTCTCTCGTGGGATATTCCCTTGCTCTCTCTTTCTGGTTGGACTGGTACTTCCTTGATACTTAAGTGTTCTTGACACTGACAGCACTTTTGTTTCCTGTCCCCAAAGAAAGCACGGTATGCAGACATATTTTATTCTCCTCTTTACATTTACATTTTAAGCTTTTCAAACCTTACAGTTATTTTAGGGGCATCAGGTGGCATTTTTGAAGGTGGTTCTTCTTTTAGTCTTTCGTCAGCATCTTCCCAGGCTTCGTGTCTGGGCAGTTATGAACAGAGCTAAACTGCACCTTTTTTTTGGCGGTTTTCTGGGCATCCCTCACAAGGCTGTATTGCGTGGGGAAGCTGGTTTGCCTTTGCTTCCAGAGTACAGAAAATTGTATGTCATGAGCTGTTGTTCATTTTCTTTTGGTCAAGGCCCCCCTCTACTGTACTCTACCCTGTGTACTCTAATCGCAAAGATATCGCTGCATTCCTGGGAATCAGCAAGGAGGGGTATGAGAACGATCTTGTAAAGATGCACAGATATGGAGCTTTTCTGCCTTGCACTGAACAAAAGATAATTGTCCTTGTTCTTCATCTGCATCCAGCAGAAGCAGCTGTGGAATGTCCTGATAAGGATCCTGAGCTAGAAAACTGGAACCCAGGTCACGATGAGGAAAACCACGTCGAAATCCGCAATGGCAGGAACCTCCTTCTCTCGTCATCTGCCACTGTCCATTCCATCCACATCACAGATGGAGGTAAAGCACGCTACGTCCCTGGTGGCGAGGCCAAGTGGAGAAGAATTTCTATTATGGCTCTTTAAACCATAATGTCCTGTATAATGCTGAGCGGGCTTCCTGCTGCTTGCTGATAAGCTGGGTTTGTCCAGTAGCCATCTAGTTTAGTTTGGTACAAGCGTGGGTGGTAACTGAGATGATATCGGCTCTTTGGCCACGATAGTTAACCTATTTGTTGCTTTTGCTGGAGAATTTACAAAAATACTTCAATGTATTCATTAGTTCTACTTGTGCAACTTGCTTCAAAAACTTTTTTTTTTCACTAAATTATTGTGCTGATAGCATCATAATGAAATAGTTGTGTTCTCAAGGTCTCAGGACAGGACTGATATGTACGTGCCTCTGTCTGTAAAGGCAGTGTCAGTGTTGCTGTGGTGTTAGCATGTACAGCTTTTATTCCTCCTGCCTCTGAACTTCTGCCTCAGATTTGAATGAAGTCTTTTTCCATTCAAATCTTAATCACTGTCTTCAAGAACTGGGCCTAATAAAAACCATGTAATGTCTTTCGGATTTGGCCTGGGAGCTGCTTTGGGAAGCATGGCCAGCATACCTCAATAGTTTAGATGAGAGCTCAGCACTGGGTTTAGCACGACTGTATCACAACCTTGGATGAGTTGCTATGAATTACAGCAAATGACATAACTTCTTCTATTTAGGAAAGCTGGTTATTAAAGACAACGTACAACCTATCATTTTGCGTGCTAGACATATACTCATTGAAAATGATGGAGAGCTACATATTGGCAGTGAGACATGCCCTTACCAAAGCAATGTGGCCATCATCTTGTATGGGCGGTATGTATGCACAATAAAATATCATCTTAGAACTTGCTGGGATATCTATTCCATACAGGGACTTATAAACTGTTCCTTAAAATTGCTTTGTCTCAGGTATACTTAGCATCAGTGTTGTGGGGGAAGTTCACCAGCTTGTTGGAACTTAAGAAGATTGGCCTTTAAAAATGACAATTTTGTTTCTGGTTTCTTTTCCTATTGATCATGTCTGAAGATGATCATTTACCTTGTCACAAACAGATTACAAGATTTTTCCAGAATAGGTTTAAGGCCTAATACACTGTTTCTTTTTAAGATGTTTTTAAATTCCAAAAAAAATCTCCTCCTTAAATATACTTTCTTTTTATGTAAGAGTCAAAACCAAATGAGACAAAGGATAATAAATTTCTGTGTTGCAGAACACTACAGGATCTCTAGAATTTTCAAGGATGCAAATCCCAACCTACTAATTCCTAATTAGGGTCCGAATTTCCTATGGAAATTGATTCAAAAATGCACATGTGGTCTAGGTTTCAGTCTAAGTTTCATATAATCTATGTTCCAGATTGCTGCTAGTCTTCAGTAGGTTTTAATATTATTTCAAATATTATATCTTCCATGGAGTGTGATGATTGCTGTTTCTTCATGTTGTTGAAATAAATGCATTGAAAATCGTGACACTTCTCTCCCAGGGCCGTAGCAGCATAGTAGGTTTTAATATTATTTCAAATATTTTATCTTCCATGGAGTGTGAACGATTGCTGTTTCTTCGTTGTTGTTGAAATAAATGCATTGCAAATCGTGACACTTCTCTCCTGGAGCTGTAGCAGAACAAGGAGAGAGGCTTCTTGACTATCAGATTCTAAAACAAAATTGGATTCTTTCTCCTCTTGCAGAGCGGATGATGGCAGCCAGCCAAATCCCTACTTTGGGCGAAAGTATATTGGAGTAAGTAGGGGTGGCACTCTTGAGATCCATGGAAAGAAAAAGTTATCCTGGACTTTCTTAAACAAGACTCTGCATCCTGGTGGCATGGAAGAAGGTGGCTATTACTTTGAAAGGAGCTGGGGCCATCGAGGTGTCATTGTCCATGTTATTGACCCAAAGACAGGGGCAGTTGTCCATTCAGATCGGTGAGTCACTTTAAAACTACCTGGGTCTGAGGGTCTTTGGGAAGAGCATCTCAGCAAGATCTGGGACATGCATTTCAGCATTTGGTTTAAAGGGGTCTGATTGCATGTTACTATACAATTCCTTCTAGTTATAAATAATTTTCAGGAGACTGAGTAAGGTTAATGTCTTGCTATACTGTTAACTAGAGCTTAATCAATTCAGTTGGCCAGAAACCTCTCATGTATCTTTTCAAGGTAGTGAACTCTCCTGATCTATCTCATTGTCCAATACATGTGAAAATACTACTCCTGTAAGCAACAGAAAAGAGATGATTTCCTTATTACATTTTCTTGTTAATGCCAAAAGCTGTGGTGCTCATGAAGTAAATCTTTTGGGGTGTTTCTACCACTTTAGGTTTGATACCTACAGATCAAAAGGGGAAAGTATGCGTCTTGCCCAGTATTTGGGCAGGGTTGCGGACGGCATGATCCTGTCAGTTGCAGTGAACGATGAAGGATCCAGAAACTTGGACGACACAGCCAGGAAAGCAATGACCAAACTGGGCAGCAAGCATTTCCTCCACCTTGGGTTTAGGTATGTGCCTGGAGTTCCAGCTCTACCAGCACAGAGGCTCTATTATGCTCTTTGGGTGCCCAAATAATTCCACTCCCTCAAAGGCACAGGGTTCTTCACAAGGAAAAAAAAGGAGGGGGGGAACTTTGCAATATGAAGTCTTAGCAATTATTTGGGTAGTTTAAGATGCACTCAGTGTCTATACTGGGCTTTTTATTAGCAGGTTGAGGAATAACATATGATTCACAGTAGAAAAGATATATTTTTCCAAGATAGTAATCCCACAAGTTACTCATTCCTATTTATTTGCAAGCTGTTCTCCAAAGATTTGAGAAGTATGTCTATATCCACACAGTGGATTGGATGGATTGAACATTAAGGAGGCTAGAAGAATAGCAATATAGCCCTAGCTAAATGTATAGAGACAGGCATGCTCATCTATTACACATCCCGGTTGTGGTGGAGCATAAGATTTAGCATTCATTAAATTTATGCTGTGGACTGTAACTACTTCTGCAGCCAATATAGTGTCTATATTGGCACACCCACTGTTTTTGAGAACATGTGCTTTTTTCCCAACTGTATCTATTTTATTTTTTCTGTTTATCAAAAGTCGTGTAGAGTTTTTTGTTATTTTGGCTTTTTGAGGGTGGATCTTGCTTTATTGATCATAGTCTGTACAGAGCATGGAAAACAAAAACAAAATAAACCCCCCCCTACTTTTCAGGGATAAGTAATTAAAAAAAAAAAAAGCAGTCTTTGGGAACAGACAAGTGTCAGTGTGGAGTGCAGTGGAGACGGAGTGTGTTTTGGGGAGCTGATGAAGAGTTGGTGTAAAATGCAATAGGAACTTCTCTGCACTGGATAAGGAATTTCAGACAGCTTCTCTTAAGTATAACTTAAGAATAATTTAGTCATATGGCTTTCCATTGCAGCCAAGTCTATAGCTAGGAGTAGGGGTGTACACCTCAGCCCTCAGGTGCTTTTCTAAAGCTGTTTGGCCATGTGCTGGGAGCTTTCTGACTGTCAGGGGGTGGTTGTAGCGACAAATGCGGGGCTGTCTCCAGTTGTGTCGCACTCGACCAGATGGCCAAGCCGCCTGGACCCCCCCTTGCTGCAGTGGAGCCAATGAGCAATGCTAATCTATGCAGCTCGGTTTCTGTGCTCCTGGCATTGCTTCCCGCTGCCTATTCCATCTGGGAGATGAGGAATGAAAGGAAAATCTTTGCATTCCTCCTCTATTCTTGCCCCGTTGAAATGCAAATTTGCTCTTTGAGTGAGCTTTTCCGCCCTTTTACTAATAAATGAAGAGCAAGGTTTTCAGCCCTCGATGACACAATTATTCCCCTTGGAATCTCAGCCAAACAGCACTGGTTTGGCTTTTACTGGACTTACTGGTCCTCCCACTTCATATGTCCCAGACAGATGGCATGTGTCCTCATGCATTGAGGATGAACTGGTTTAAAAATTCTGTTAGTGAAAAACTAGCTAGGGGAAACAAATAACATATGGAAATGAGGCCAATGCTTGGTTTACAAGACTAGCTAGTTTTGTATTATTTTAGAATATTTTTAGTCTGTTTTGAAGCCATCATCTTTTTTGTCATTTGTTTGAAATTTGGACGACCAAAAGATAATGCAAAAAAAAATCCAGATTCTTGCCTGTTGAGTGATAAAGTGTCATTCCTCCAGGGCCTTTGTGGGCCCCTTTTGTGCCACCACCACAGGTTTCAGTGGCCGTCAGTCCCTTTTTGCTCCCCTTGGAGGTCCAAGGGCGGTTCATTCCATCGCTTATGCAAACCGATGTGAGGCATAGGGTAACCTGCAAGACTCAAGAGTAAATCCTGATGCTACTGAAATCCTGGGGTATTTTTACTGATGGAGACACAACTTAATCTGTGGGACTACTTGCTAAACCCAGGGTAATGGTGATAGCCTCTCTGAGAGCACGCCTGTTATTCGGTTAGTCGTTGGGAAGAAATATGTTGCATTCTTCAGTTTCAAAGACAGAAACCCGATCAAACACCCTCCTGACACCAGCTCCTTGGGCTCATTTCCAAGTTTGCCAGGGTACCTCAGTGTGTGTCCTCCAGCCTTACTCATCCTCTCCTGTATTGCTGAGACCTCTTGAACCTAGTCAACCAATAACGCTCAGGTAGCTGAGCACTTTTTTTCTGACACAAGATCAGGTCAGAACGGATGATTCAGGCTCATAAGCCTTTGCTCTTATTCAACCTTCAAAGTAAGGAAACTCTATGTTCAGAGACTATCTAGGTATTTTTATTGCATTTTTCTAACCAAATCATGTTTTAGAAATCCTCATGGATGACTCCAAAGAGAAGAGTGATATCAAAGATTTTCATATGAGTTAAATTCATTTAACCTTTTAATGTCCAACTGTGCACCTGGACACACACACACACACACACACACCCCCCTGAACACACAGAAAGATCTTTGGGCTCCCCAAGGAGCTGCCAATGTCCTGTGTTCCTGCCACAAACAAGCCTCTTCAAATACTCGCTCAAGAAACTACTAATTATAGGTGTGTATTAAGAAGGGATTTGTCTTTGGACTTCCCTACTTTCTTTCTCTTGCAGTATATTTTCTAAAGAAATATAAAATGTTAAGATATTTTTAATTTTGACTAAACTGCCAGTCACATAAATTGTACTGTTTTGAGTGTAGTACCTTAAATGCAAAAAATATTGTGTTTTAAAAAATATGCATCTCATACATTAAATAATTCAATCCTCTCTCTTTTTGATTTCCCAGACACCCATGGAGTTTTATTACTGTTAAAGGAAATCCCTCCTCTTCTGTTGAAGACCACATTGAATATCAAGGTAATTCATGTTCAAAATACTTGCTTAACATTATCTCTAGAAGTATTGGAGTTAAAGATGAGATTAACAACCTGGGCCTTTTGAACCCTGAGATAAAAGGCCAGGGCCTGCACCAGTATAAATCCGTGTAGCTCTTTTGAGATCAGTCTGCCTTCTTTGACAGAGAGCTGTGGGGCTGTCCCAGTTATATCAGTTGAAAATATATGTCAATGTATCCTGTGTTGCTAGCCTCAAAAGCTCTTGCAAAACTATATCCTCATAAAAAACTCAAGAGCTATGATGTTTACTGTGACTTTTCATGACATCACTTGCTACAACATGAAATAAAAATAGCAATAAACACGAATTGTTAGGGTCTTTTTTATGTCCCCTTGATTTTTCAAAATTTTTCCTCCTGACTGTCAAAGTATGGACAGTGTGTATAGAAGTGTCTGAAACCTGATTCCAAGATCAAGAGTTTTTTTTTTCTGGAAGTTGTGCAGGACTAACTCTGCATTATATGTCCAAAATATGCAAATGCGCACCTGAATCTTTACCTTTTGAGTTCTGACTTATAATGACTTCAGGAAGTGATTTTACCAGTCATTTTTGTTTTGCAGGCCACAAAGGGTCAGCAGTGGCCAAAGTATTCAAGTTGTTCCAAGCTGAGACTGGAGAACATTTTAATGTCTCTTCAACAAGTGAGTGGGTTCAAGGTAAGAAGCCTGTTTGTCCCTTAGCTCAGAGACAGGGTGCTGACAAACAGGGTGAAATCTTTTTGGAATGGTCCTTTTTGTTGTAATATCTTTCCACTGGGGAACAGTGGCCTTGCTAGCTGCTATTTACATTGCTGCTAAGCCAAGTAACAAATATGCACAGATTCTTTCTCCAGTTGTCTCCGGGTCCCTCGAGTAACCAGGATCCTTTTTCCTTTACTGCACTGTGTATGAAATTCAATCTCTTATGAGGAGATCACACATAACCTCTTATTTCTTTTGACTGCATAGTCATCATATCTACGTTTCAGACATGGAGTAACAGACTGTAACTTGATCTGAAAACCAGAATGGATAGCTAAGGAGAAGAACACAGTTCCAAAAATCCATAACTATTTAATAATATTCATTCTGCATCCTCCAATTATGTACCTTTTAATAATTCCAGTCTCTCTTGGCTGGTTACATTTTGCAGAATCATTAAAAACAGCTGACAGACTGGTAGAAAGAGACAGAAATCAGATCATTGGTGAAGAAACTTGTGAATGATATCTGGGATCAAATTATGCTTTATGCATTTTTGCAGCATTCATTAAGCTTGACTTTCAAATGACTTTTCTTGTTTGCACTTGTCTCCAGATGTAGAGTGGACAGAGTGGTTTGAGAAGCCTGGTAAAGCAAGATCTAAGGACATGGAGAAGCTTTCAGACTTCAAAGCTGCTCATCGTGATAAAATCTGTAGTCAACCCATTGATATCCAGGTAGGCTTGCTTACCATTTGCTTCAGAGAGACGGAATCACTCTTTGGAGAGATTCAGATCAGAACATAAAAATACGGTGCTTGTCAGTGGATTTTGTTTCTAAATAGAATACACTGATTATTTTACCTATTTAACACCTAACTGACGAGATCTAATATCCAACCTCTGTATTTTTTGAGATAAAATGTTATAGAATTCAGCTTTCTTCAGTAAATTGTGGCTTCTGGCATGAGCAGGAGTACAGATGGGGCCACAGACAGCACAGATGTACTAGGTAATATGTGGTTCCCTGTTGGAAGATTAAAAAAAAAAAAAAAAAAGAAAGAAAGAAAATTTCAAAGTTTTTAAATGGTTCTTGAATGGGTCCTACCTGAAAAATTAATCACAGAATGCAATGATATGCTCAAGCTACCAACTGGTAGGTTGGAAAAAATGTTAGTGACCTTGCAGCCATTTATTTGAGTCGATTGGTTTTTCTCTGTGGAAAGAAATTTGAAATCTATCTGAGGCTAAACATTATAATTACACCATCTGGCCAGCATGCTGAGGGGAAATCATATACCTTTTTCAAGACTGCAAAAGGCTCCTCAAGGCCTTCCGAGAAAAAAAAAAAGCCTTTGTTGGTAAATGCCAGCTTATATATGTTACATATCTATTTGGTAATATAACAACAGAAGCAAAAGACAATAAAATGCTCTACATCACTAAGGTTCCTACATATTCTGAACTGGGAGAGCTGTCCTTATTCACAAGAATGCTGCTATTGAAGTAAATCAGAATGCTGACAGTATGAGTGAAAGTTTCCAAGGCTAGATGGTATAAAGAATCTCTGCTTGAACAGAAAGGAAAAAATTGCCCTATAACTTTTTGCCAGGTCTGAGGAAATCCACGTTTATTTCATCTTCCATATGTATATATTTGAAGTGACAATTTAGTTTAGAATGGAGGTCAGATGTTCATTATGAACAGTCCCTTCTAGCATGTATATTAGAAGGAGAAAAAAGGAATACAAGAATCAAAGCTATTTTTCTGTTCTGCTAAATGAGAGCTACCTTTTTTTTTCATGAATATTAAAAGTGAAACAGCATTTTTTAGTTTATCTTCAGAATCCCAGGGAAAATCCTCATGCAGTGTAATCTGGTGTTGCTCATTGACTTCATAAAGTTACACTGATTCGTACCAGCTGGTCTGCTCCAGCTATGCTACATGCAAGAAAACTGAAGATAAAATGATAATAATAGAAGATCAGCCCAGCCAGAGGCACATCCCTGCAGCTGGTGGTGCTAATCCAAACAGGGTAGCAAAGTACCTTCATTAACAAGGAAGGTTGGCATCAATGAGAGATGCGGGGTCAGGCTCATCATTGAAAGATGTTTTATTTCCTGGTGCTTTGTTAAAATGCATGTGCTGTTTGGGTAGTCCAGAGCAACAGGTTGCATTTTTGTGAAAGCATCAGGAGGATTGCAAGCCTCAGAGCCCAAACTGTGAAATCTAACCTGGCCCTGAGGACTGGTATTGCTCCAGCAGAAACATACAAGAGTCTATGTATCCCACTGGCAGCTGGTTCACATGTGTAAGAAAATGCCACATCATCTTGTTTTTTTGGGATAGCAATGCTTCTGTATGGATGTTAAAACAGCTTTGTATTATCTTAGTAGAGATAGCAGCTTTCACTGGTGCATGCAAAGGGAAAATAAGACACTGCAACCTCTTTCTTCTGCAAGGTTCAGACATAGTCTAGCCACAAGCAATGAAACAAATACAGTCAAGAGGCTTGAAAACCTTGAGTTCATTTGGGTACAAGCATCTGTGTTCAGTGTTTTCATCTGACCTCAGACAAATGGCAAGAGAAAATCTAGGGCACCAAGGCAGATGTTAGCAAAGCTCAGAATACTCCTTCCAAAAAAAGCACATGGTCTTAATATAGATATGGGAGAAACACATACACCTAGCAATAATCTACCCAGTTTCCACATCAAATAGCTCTGTTCACCAGCTGGAGTGCTGGCTGGGTAGTACATGTAACAGTCATCCTGTTTTGTTATGCAACTATTGTGAATCCTCTGAAACCAAAGCAATAGCCTGTCCCCAAAGGTGCCAATGTGTAGATGCAATCCATTCACATATAGCTATCATATTTCATATAGCTTTTCATATTTCCATTCTAATTTCAGGCGATGACGCTTGATGGAGCAAGTTTAACAACAGAGGTTTTTTACAAAAATGGCCGTGATTATAGGTTCCTGTGCCATGGTAAGGACCAGACGGATGAAGGTTGCCAGAACTACAAAGTACGGTTCCTGTGCGGCAAATCTGGTATGTGACCTCTTTCTGGAAGCCAGACCCTCCTGTCAGTTGGAGGGCCTCCTCCACCAGCATGGCTGTTAGGAGGACGATGCAGGAGTTAGCCCCAAGAAAGAGAATCCATTTGAGAAACTTGAATTTCATGTAGTATTTTTGTTGCCGGTACCCAGAGACCTGTGGTCTCTTCTGAAAAGCACCCTGCCTGATGTAGGTAGTATAGACCTAATCTAGATCAGAGAAAGGCAGAAATACTGTCCTCTAATGAGTGACTTTTGCTCACATAAGAGTTACTTCAGTAATTTCCCAAGTTGCAGTTTTGGCTGGCATATTGACATGAACACAGATACAACGGCTGAAGATTTATCTTGGAAAAATTCCTGCACAGTAACAGAGGTAACAGGGTGGTGTCTTGAAAACCCAGCAATACTATGGCAAATATTGGGCAAGTCCCTTCTTCACGTATCTTGCCTTTCACTAAAGTATTTTGGAATGAGGTAGGATTACTCATCTAGTGTGCGAAGAGACAGCAGATTTTAAAAGTAATAATTCTTTTTGTAGTTACCACTATTCTAACCTCGTTGTTAGACAGGATTCTTTAGTGTCCAACTGGTGGGACTAGAAAGATAGAAAACAGTTTTTTTTGAAAAAGCAGTTATTATGTTAACGACTGCTTGGCTGCTGTAAATACCAGTGCCCCATGCTCTTGCTAAATGGGTGTGGTGAAAAGGAGTCGCTAAGAACTACATTTAAATTTAGTTGGATTAACTGAAAATCCACCTGTCTGCAACTAACAGAAACCATTTTCTTGTTTGCTTGCTTTCCAAACCAAAGTCACTGAAGAGCATATTTGGAAGAGTTAATTGTTTCGTGTTGCATGAGGAAATCATAATTTTTGGTGGTGTTCAAAAATGGTGCACAAAAATAACCCACGAGCAAGCACTCTGTGATAAGATTAACTGAATTCACACTTGTGCTTTTCAGTGAAGCCCAAGCTTACAGTAACCATTGACACCAATGTGAATAGCACGGTCTTGAACCTGGCGGATGATGCGAGCTCATGGCAACCCGGGGACAGGATTGTGGTTGCAAGCACGGACTACTCCATGTACCAGGCGGAGGAGTTCCCAGTGCTGCCGTGCAGGGCCTGCAGAGCCAACCAGGTGAAGGTAGCAGGTAAGGAATTTGTCTTGTCATGTCAGTATTACGTTAGGTAATTCTGCCACTTGCACTGAGGTAACCCCACTAGGTAAACAGTGGGAGTTTTGAGGTGTTTTTCAGTAACATATGCCTTTCTTTCTTGAAGAATAATCTGTCTTGATTCTGATTCCTTTCTACTTTTCCTTCTTGATACCTGATTTTTTTTTTCCCTGTTGAATTGATGTATGTATTTAAGAGATTAAATCAGTTAATGTGTTTGAACTACTCTTGAATAGAATTCTTGAAGAGAATTCTGCATTTCTATTTTTGAAAACATGCCACTTTCTGGAGAGCAGGGGGTGAGCCTAGCTGAACCAGAGGGGAGCTGAACCAGAGCTAGGGGAGGAGCTGACCATGTGAAATTTTTAAGGCTATGAAGTAATGTGTAGCTGGCTATTCTCCTAAGAAAGTTATATTTAACCAGAAATGTAATCTTACATTTTCAAAACTCTGTTCTGTGCTACTGAAGCTGCTGTTTCTTTTTACTGTGTGTCTAGACTGCATTGCTTTGAGGTGATGTGATGTATTAACCAAGAATTTCTGGAGTCATGTGGCCAACCATATTGTCTTGAGCCACAGTACTTGGAGCAATGGACTGTGTAGAGAGTCGTCTGCATTAATCTGAGCAGAAGGTAAAAGGAAGCGTTGCAGAGCAAGAGATTTTTCTCTAGATGATGACTAGCTCCAATCTGGAACATATTGCTGCTGCTGATCAGACATTGCAGTCTAATGATTGTACAGTGGCCTTCAGCTACTAAGTCCAATTAAATAGTGTAACTATGGTCAATCACAGAGTGTTATTAGTACAAGCACAAAAGTGAGATGAATAATTGGAGATGTGCATCTCCACTTGCGTTTGTAAAGTGGTCTTTTTCTTTCAGAACTAGATTTTGAGGTACTGATGAACAGCATATAGAAACATCACCTTACTGCCTCTTTTGGGAATAGATGAAGTACTTGCAATTGCCATACTTTATAAAAACAAAGCTTACTTTTTAAATATATAAATGTATAATAGCTGAGCCCATATTTGAACACGGTATTTGTCTGGTGATAATTCATGCATATTACATTATCTTTTGCTTAAGCACTGGCAGTTTTTCTAGGCAGAGGTTTTGTGTATATTTGCAGTAAAATCTTTCAGAGAAACCATGAGGGCACTTGGAATGTCCAATGCACCAGGGAGTTTGCTCACTTCTGTGAAATGAGCTACTTTACCATTATCTCTGATGCAACTTCTTCTGGAAGATACAAATCTATTTCCTTTGTAAGTGCTTTTTCACAGACCTCTAGTCATTCATTTTTAGGTGGCCTAAAGGAGAGGTGTTTGTGAAGCCAAGAAAAATGTTATTCTCAGTTTGAATATATCATAGTCTCATGACTTAAAATAACTAGTACTTTCAAGTTATAAAGAAGAGACATCTCCAAACTGAATATTTTTCTTGAACAAGTTTTGAGCTATTGGAAAAACTGTTCCAGACTAGTAGGATACAAGTTACTTCATGAGGATGATCTTGGAAGATAGTCAATAAAAATAAAGACCATAGATTGATATTTCTGTTAGGCTCTTCCCATAATCCTAAGGATCTGTAAAATTCATGTAATTACATTTATCTTCCACAGCAATGGCCACAGAGTTGGTTTAAAGAAATAAATAAGGAGTTAAAAACAACAAAAAATCATGTGGTTTTCAAGTAAAGAAGCAAGTGGAAACACTTGTTAAAGTAATTGGGCTCTTGGTTTCCAATTACTCCTTAGGAGAATCAGGACATTCCTTTTATTACCACAAATAACTTGAATACTGGGGCCAAAGTCTGCCCTTACTTATATCCAGGCAACCCCATTGACGTCAATTGGGATTTCACTGATTATATCAATCAGGCCAGAATCTGGTCTCATAATAAAAATCGTATCCAACTTTCTTGCAGCAAGAGCACATTCATACTATAAAATAAAATGATCTGCCTGATCCTAAGTTCAGCCTAGGTGAAATAAATCCTGTGGATGGCTGAGCAGTCTGTAGGAGGCAGCTGGTCACTGTGCTGCTCTGTGCTTGGCCATCGTATAACCTCGTTCATCAGGGATACGTTTCAGGAACAGGCAGAAGAGGAATTAACAACCCTCTGGGTGGGTGCTCTGCACCCGTGCGGGCGCTCTGTGCACCCACCCTCGTGGCTCCAGCTCCCTGCAGCTGCACCCCTGCCCGCAACGACTGCCCGGGGAGGTGGCCATGCAACGGCACGAGGTTTGGGGCTCTTTTTTTCCAGCAGACTGAAGCATCATGGCAAGCGGGAGTGACAGACAGAAAGCGATTGCATAAAAATACCTGGCAAGCAGCAGGGCTGGGCCTGTTGCGGATGCGCTGGGTTCCTAATTGCAAGCAGAAGACCTTCCTCTTGAATAATGTCCATCTGCCTTTCCCAGCAGGAGATCTTCAGGCTTGCTCTGCTCCTTCGGAGAAAAGGCTTTCATGCCAATGCACTAATATACATGGCCTGGGAGGGGGTGTCATTTGTAATAAGCAGAATTGCCTAATTTTCCTGAGAAGTTAGATTAGCAGTTGAAAACTCCAGAAGTGTGTCCTTTGAAAGACAAATGATAAAACCATTCCTACCCACGATGGGTTATATCCCTTTTAATCTTTTTTTTTCTCCTTTCTATTTTCATTTTTTAATCGAAACCTGAATGTCATATCTGAACTATTTAAGAGTCTCTTTGTTAAAAAAGATTCAGAAAACCTCTGCTTCATGGACAATCTGGTGTGGCAGCCACTTGGCATCCCAAGCTTTAATTATAATTGATGCTCTCATCGTTTAGTAATATCTTAATAGACATGGTTTAGAGTATTGTGCCAAATAAGTCAAAGAGTTAGCTCATGTGCTATTTATATTGATGCTTCCTGATGAAGAGTCTTACTTGCTTTACTTGCTAGAAATGGCTTGATTAGAGGCAAAGATGATGAGTGTTGAAGGAAAGTGAGGCTGGTCTTTTCAAAACAGCTTAAGCAACTTAATACTCCATTCTCATTAAATTTTAGTAGGATTTGGGTTTCTAACTGTAGCCCTCTGAAAAAAATCTCAGCTTTGCAAGCAAGGGAGGGCATCCAGGGATGTATTTTGGGCACTCCTTTATTGGGGCGAGTAATTCCACTAACTCCACTTCACTCTGAAGGTCACAAGTCCCAGTCAAACTGTCACTCAGTCAAATGGAGCCTTCCCCCTCACCTCCTTTTTTTTTATTTTTAACTTTTTCACTTGCCATTTTTCTGTGTAGATTATTTTCTCTGTGGGAACAAATTAAAAGTGTTTGATCTTGGAAGTTCACAAAGCCCCAGGGAGGGACAGCAGTACTGCAGAGCGGGAGGGAGACGGAAGGAAGGAAGGAAGGGTTGTGTTGTTGTGGCAGAACTGGATAGCAGGACAGATCTAGTGTTTTGTCTAGTTTCCCTGGGAAACAAGTCTTATCTGCATCTCGATCCCTCTGTATAAAGTTACTACCAGTGCTGATAGGTTTCGCCATGGAAGAGAAATGCCCTTTTGTGCTTATACATGGCTTTTGATAAAGCATGAAAAAAATTATTTGTGCCTGGCATAATTACACAAATTATCCCACGTATTAGAAAATCTATTATTACAATTACATGTATCTTAAATTAAGCCTATTGGGTTGCGGATATTCTAGAGATATGGAGTTTACAGGGCTCTAGTTCATGCCGGGAACTTGCTCTGAAATGAAAGAAGTTGTAAATATATAATTCTCAAACAACTCCACAGTAACTGTCAGTATCAGCATTTGTACTGTGCTCTAAGAGTGGGGGAAATTCACTGGCAAAATTCAGATACTTCTAGCGATTTGGAGAGGTCTGTGTAGAGGTTGGCATCCTTTCGGCTGGAATTCCTTGCAAACCCTTTTTCTAAAAGCATCTCTGGTGCTTGAAGGTTGGGCAGGAAATATTGTGAAATAGCCCTTTCTAGCAGACTTTCAGAGCTCCTTTTTCTACCTTTGGCCATCTCCAAGAAGCAGAGTTAGAAGAAACACAATAAAGTTTATACAGCAGTTCAAAAGGTTTGTGTTTGGGCTCCATTTAAGAAGTAAGGATTTGATCTGTTTGCCAGCCAGACCTGCTTAATCTTCCCAGCCCAACTGCAAGGACTTCAATGTCAGGGTGAGGAGAGGGGGAAAAAAAAAAAAAAAAAGAAAGGTCAGAGAAGGAAAACTTCTCATTTGCAGAAGAATGTCAGTTTACTGCCAATGAGCTAGGGCAAAAAGAGGGCATGAAGCGGGACAGGAGGAAAAGATGTGGCAGTCACTGGGGTCCCCAAAGACCAAAGCTCTTCCCCGAGGGGCAGCGGGGCCAGGCTTGGCTCCGGGATGCCGGCGGAGACGGATGCTGGCAGATGTTGCCCGGCCTCGAACAGGGCCAGCGCAAGGCCTAGAGCCTCGTTACGCAGCCCTGTGCTCGAGCGCTAAGGCACTGAAGGCAGCACGGAGCAGAGGGGCTCCCGTCCATCGCCATCACCTCCCACGTCGCATCTGCCTGCACCAGTAAGATCACTAATTTCAGCCCTGAAACTAGACAGCTACTAAACAGCTACTGGCTGAAGGCTTTGATCCAGCGCAGCACTTAAGCATAGACTTAATGTTCTGCTTGTAAACTCCTGGCTTTTCACTCTCCTACAGCCAAAGGGTGTACTTCAGAGCTGCACAGAGAGTTACCCAGAAAGTATCGGAGGAGCTTGGGTTAGGGCTGAACTCTTTCCAAAGTTTCATCCTGCATGACTGAAGAAGCTGGTCACTTCTCCCAAACCATGACGTATTACATTACCATTTTGTGGCTTTCGTTTATTCATCATTCATTTTGGTGGCTGGTGCCATCAGTATAATTCAGTAATGAGAATTTGATAGGATGCCTGTAAGAACATTTGCTGGTTATTAAAAACATGCTATAATGGCATTACCACTGACTGGCATCTACAATGAGTTATACTGATTTAAACAAAAAAAAAACCTCGAAGTATTCCATGTCACTGGATTACGTGAGTTGAACAGACAAGTTTGTGTTCAACATTTCCTTTAAAAATTATCATTTAGGAAATGTTAAAAGACCATGAGAAAGAAGGTCTGATCTCCAGCCTGAGAAAGTGCTGAGGAGAACAAAAGACCCTTTGGAGAACTGAGAGCGTTTAAGAGAGAAAAAAAAATCAGGAGAATCTGAGATCCATTTCATCTTAATCAAGCCTAGGCCTCAAAGTGCCTGACTGAATTCTGAAAGTGAGATTTAGGAGTTTAAGTCATTTAGAGCCGAGGCACTTTGAAAAGCCCCTGGGTTCGCTCACACATTCCTAAGGCAGATCTGCACCCAGGTCGCCAGAGCCAGGCACACATCCACCTCTAGCTGCTGAAATAGTTTTTAAATTCCACCCTTTGGAGGCTTGATAAGGAGCGAGGCCCAGGTTTTATGGTTAAGTTCAAGTATGACAGGTTTTCCTGAAGCTTTGCACGGTTTGCGGAGGCTCCACTTTGAACTGTTATGTTGACATAAGCCTGCCCTTGATTTGTGGATCATCTGTGTTTATCTTGATACATACTTCCTTTCAATAGTTGCCTTGCCCTTACTAATAACTGCCCTGACTACTTTAATAGTTGCTGTCTTGAGTAGTAAGCATGGAAATGTGCTCATATTCTGCTGAATCAAGACCTATGTCAGGCAAACCCACAAATTAACTCAATTCTTCCCTGTGAATTTATGTTCTGCTCTCTGCAGGCCCCAGCGTGACAGCAAGAGCAGCAAAACCAGGGGATGCTTTTCCCAGCACATAGAGCTGTCAGGCAGAGACACAACCCGTGTCACTGCCAGGTTGTGTTTGCTTTAGATTATAGCCCGGCACACGTCACGCTGGCTGGTGAGGCAACTCCTGTCCGTGAGGGATGGAGCCAGACCAAGCCCAAAGAAGGAGCTGGTGAATCAGTTGCCCAGCTCTGGCTTGGGAAATCCCTGGGACTGGCTTCACTGCTGAAGAAGCAGATGTTTCCCTCCCTTCCAGAGTTGCAGTGTTACTTTTCTTATCATCAAACCATTTCAGTGCCCGTTCACAAGTTCCTACTTCAGGCTTGCCCATAGCTGAGGTCTCAGGGTTTCGGGTATCTGCCATGCTCCCTGGCATGGCTCAGTGTGCCCCCTGAAAGCAACAGCTTAGCTCCAAATTCCAGTTGCAGCTCCTGTTTCCGGGTGTCCTTTCTGGATGGAGTTCACATCCATTGAGCAGCCTCTTTTTTTTTATTATTTTCTCATACCTATCATCAAACAGGCCCCATGCGCTGCCCGCAAATGCCCCAGGTTTATAAGCCTGCATCCCAGCACTGCCAGGCCCATGGGAATTGCCCAGCGCTGGTGTCCATAAGGAATTTACAGCACCTGAGGGCTCCTGTGCCAGCATCTGTCTCCTGTGAACTGTTTCCATAGCACGGCCCCAGGTGCCATGGGGAGCTTGAATTTCTGGCTGCTGTGAGGAGAGATTTGTTTTTCAAAACTTGGTTAAAGGAGCTATTATTCAAAATCCACTTTTACACTGGAAGGGAATTGCTTTCCCTCTCAGCTTTTATCTTCAAACTAGTCAAGTCAGCAAAAGTGCAAAGTGAAAAACATGCACCCAAGGAGTTATATTTAGAATCTGGTTAGTGCGTGTTTAACATTCCTGTCAGTGCTTACACTATTTTGCATGTCTGGGCTAGTGTAAAATTAAATTAAATACATGCAAGCATGACATTTATTATTCCAGAGCTCAGCACATAAATAACAAAACTGCCTATCAAATTTCAGTGCCATGACTCCCAGAGATGCGGCTTGAAATAAGATGTTCTTATGATTATCTTAACTTCTTCCTGCACTTCAGTAAATCAAAGAAAGGTCAATGTCGGGGACAAACTGAAAATAACAGCTCAAAAAGCAGTTTCAAAATGAGAAACCATCTTCCTTAACAGAGTTGTGTAAGGGTCTAGCATAGAGTTTCCTCATGCAGAAGACACTTGTATCCAGGGCTTTTTAATGTACATGAGTAAGGGAAGTGAAGCTGCTTTTTGGACAGGCTGGATCTAATTTTGGATGTGCACCTGATGAAGGGATGCTCCAGGGACACCCAAGCAAGTCAGGCCCTTCTGCCTTTCAAGCTTGCTGCAATATAATTAATCCCCCCCAAGCTCTTCTAGCCTTCTCCCCAAAATGCTGTCTCATTCTTCATCAGAAGAGGGGAATAAATGGGTAAAAGTGCGGCTTTGCGTCTGCCTGTCTTGCCAATCACCATTGTTTTAGTTAATAGATACTGTTTTTTCATGATATCACTTATAGGTGGAGGAGGTAAGGCAGAGGGCACATGTAACTGCATGTCATGCAGCGTGGCAATCGCAGAGCACTCGCCCTTCCTGAATCCCAACATTATCAGTGCATTACGTTTCTCCGAGGCCCAGGAGAAAAGGGGAGTGAATAGTGTTTGCTTATCTTTGTCATAAAGTCAAACATCATGTTTTGTTTAAAACAGGAATGTTTAAGTGTTCAAAATCCCTCCTACCCCCACAGCTTGGCACCTCTGTTTAAGCACAAAGTGCTCCACAGTGATAGTCCAGCTTCAGGCTTACCATTTGTTTCTAATTACTGCTTTGAACCGTTCCACTGAAATGAAATACATGCAAGTGTAGCATTCCTTGAAGCTCAGTGTTTACTCAAAGAGTTTATTACTTATTTTTACTGGAATAATACAGAATGTAGTCAGTAAGACGAGCCTTTTCCCAACTGCATTCTCTGCAGAAAGCCAAGGCAGGAAGGAAGGAGGATGAATATGTTTGAATGAAATTACAGCAAAGAGATTATTTTGCTTTCTAGACATCCACACTGCCTGGAGTTGACCCCTCTCTGGTCAGGCCAAGGAAGGCTTTAGTGCTCTTAACCCTCCCAAGGAGCCAGGTGTGTGTGTGGAGGGGGACTGTGAGATCTGCATGTCCAGCATGGGGCACACAGATGAATCCCCATCAACTTGACTAAGCCAAGGAGGAGGGAAGCACTGGGAGCAAACTGGAGATGTGCAGGTGAATCCAAAACTGGGCAGTTTGGGAGCTGCCAACAGGGAGAGATCTTGGAGCCCGCAAATTGGACTGGGGCTGTGACTGTTTCAGGCCACAGTTTCCATACAGCTTTCTGCCTTGTCCTGCCCCTGTTTAGATTAACAGCAGGGTCAGATACTCACCTGTGGGCAGTGCTATGGGATCTGAGCATTTCCTAGTATCTCACCATAGAAAATGCTCTGCTTACTTTGGGGACTTGGACTTCTCTGTAGCTACCTCAGCAAAATTCTTTTTACTGGACATTTATACACAGCTGACTGCAAACCAATGTGAAAAGTTCCCTAGTGGTCACAGTCCCTCTTCAAGGTAAGATGTATGTTTTGTCTAACAAACTGCTGGTTTAACTCCCTAGCTAAATGAAGCAATTTAAGACCAAAAATCCCACTTCCTCTGTTGAAGAAATCTCAGCAAGACCCTGGGTAACACCTGTGCTCCAGGCTTCCCTCCTTTGAGGAGTCAGCCAACAGTTTTTGCTGATTCAATTACTCTTTTCATGATCACGCTAACCCCACCGCAGGAAGTATGAAGGGAGACCGGCAGCGTTGGCAGTGTAACTCTGAAACTGGATCTTGTTCCCTCAGGGAAAGCCACATACCTCCACACCGGAGAAGTCATTGACGGCGTCGACATGAGAGCAGAAGTGGGGCTGCTGAGCCGGAACATCGTGATCATGGGCGAGATGGAGGGGCAGTGCTACGAGTACAGCAGCAAGTTGTGCTCCTTCTTTGATTTCGACACCTTCGGGGGACACATCAAGGTAGGGCTGGGGCCCTCTCCCTGCACTTTCCTCCCCACAGAGCCACACCTGCACACACCAAAGAAGCCAGGACGCTAAAAGAAAGAAATTCCTCGCGTCAGCCTGCTGAGCAAACAGCCTCTCCCTGAAGTGCAGCAGGTCCACCCTGCTGCTCTTCCCCCAGGTTTGAAGTGCACCTCACACCTCTACAGATGTTGTGCAGCCAGGCAGGCTGAGATACAGTCTCTACATCCCATCCCAGTTTTCCTCAAATTCTGTGGTGCCCTGACTGAGGGTTTAGATTTGAACTAGGCTCAAATCTAAAGAATTTCATGAAAAATGTTAAATGTGAACAGTTTTCCCTGCAAACCAAAGTCAGATATAGCCATGGCAGCAGTGATGGGATTACAGGGCAGCTGAAGTCCCACTTAGCCACCTTTCCCTCAATCCACACTCATGCAGTTCCTTCAATAAAATAAATTTCTCCATACAATTCTACAACACAATTATATTTATTTCTGTATTCCCCTCCTTCTTACTCCCAAAAGTATTTTATGGTTTCTGACTAATATTCCATTGTTCTCCAGATTGGTCTTGGTTTTAAGGCTACGCATGTTGAAGGTCTAGAATTGAAATATATGGGCCAGCAGACAATGGGACATTACCCAATTCATTTCCATATGGCTGGAGATGTGGATGAGAAGGGAGGCTACAACCCTCCAACATACGTGAAAGACATCTCCATTCACCACACCTTCTCCCGCTGTGTCACGGTCCATGGATCCAATGGTTTGCTGGTAAGAAGTTCCTATGTCTACCTTACAGACCAAAGTACCAGCTAAATTATTTCCTTATGTCATGAATATAAGCTACTTATTTCAGGGTAATGTATTTTACTGCTACATCTAATGTCTGTTTCTTTCCCGCATCCTGATTTGGTGGAGATACATATATATATATATATTTTATATATATATAGGCATTTTTCAGCCTGTGTTAAGAATGAGGAGGTCAGTGTGGGGATGTGGCACTATCTCCTGTGTGTGTCTTTTCTCTTTATGCAGAGATGCCTGCAGACCAGCCCTTCTCTAATGAGTAGTTGAATCTATCTATAGCCGGAGAGTTTGCTATTTAAAGAGGATAATCAGAAGGTTTAAGCATGATTCAACTTGGCTATAGTATAGGATTGTGTTTTCAGTGCCATGCGCAGCATTAAACATTTACAGAGCCAGATTTGTCAGACTTGCTCTCCAGAACAAGAAATCCTTTAAGATGTATCTATAAAATGTCATATACTTGTCAGACAAGTTGCAGTACCTAAGGATGATAAGAACACATTCAGATTATCCCCAATGTTAAGACACTGTCTTGGTGGAAAGGATGTGAGGGAAAACATTTCTGAGCTGTGCTAAAACCCTGAACATCCTGGAGACTGGCATAAACCCCCCCAATGCTTTTCCCTTGTTTCCCTTCCTCTGAAGGCTTTCTCCCAGAACACGGTTGTTCCTTCAGCGTTTCTCAAATCCGAATTAGCTCTTTTGGTTGGATTCCTCTGTTTTTCCGACAACTTGAACTTTCCATTGCTTCAAAATCATGTCTTGAAAGCCCCCCATGAGAAGTTGCAGATAGGGCGTGTTGCCCAGCGCACCCACCTGGCTACAGGAACTAAATCAGGATCTAGAAACTACAGCATGGATGTTTCTAGTGAAACTGTATATCCGACCAGGTCCATTCATGAAATGAATGTGATAAAAGAGAAGTCTTTACCCATTCTGGGGAAATGTACAGTAATCTGTCCTGAGTATATGTATATGTCAGAGTTTTCCATATGTCTGTATATGACAGAGTCTTACCAGAGGACACATTATTGGCAAGTGTAACCTGGATGGTCCCTGTGCATTTGGAATTCATGACCATGTCACTGATCTGAAGTTACTCTATAAAATTGTAATAAGAGCCTGTAAGAGTCTACAGTGTTTGAGCTTTCTGGGAAGGAATATTCATTTTCATCATCTGGCTAAGAGATGACTTCTGTGCTTTACTTATTGATGAACGTTTCCTCCTTGGCTTACTCCAACAGATGGATGACTTGGTCTTACAGTCTTCTTGTTAGCAAGGACCACAGGATGGAGCCTCTGAAAGTGGCAGTACTGGAAAGGGAAACCACAGACATAAATAAAATACACTGAAGTTAAAGAGAGGACTTTGAAATTGCAGTTCAAGAAGCAGAGCAGCTTTTATCTGCTATTTATGAACCTGAGGTTCTGTTTCTGACCTTTGTCCTTCTAAGTTTTTAACATGAACCCAGAAACCTACCAAATGACCTTGACTTCTGGGGGAAAAAAACCAAAAACATCTCCCATAGAAATTATAGAAGGCATTTAAGGTCATTTAGCAACCTCCCACCTGTTGCAAAAGCACCAACACAGCTAATATATAGAGTGGAAAGGCAAAATTGTCAGGATTTATTTGTTGCTTAATAGCAAAGCTGTTAACAGTGGTACCACAAACACATTCTCTGGCTATAGAGTGGTTGCACAGCTGTTGATTAGCTGAAGGCCAACTAAAGCCCTAGTTCTAAACCTAATTTGTGATGTTAGTTCTCTGTTGGCTATTACTTGCCAACCCAAATACCCAAGCTTGGTATTTTTCTTACGGGTCAGATAGTTGAGTTTATATAGAGAATTTGGAAATATTTCTGTCTCTTGTGCCTTCTCCAAATGACAATTGTGTCACTGTGACATGGAAATATTATAGGAATCCATGTTCTCAGGCTTTTCTAGCCAAGATGGCATGGTGAAATTTAGACAGACTGATGTAACTGATGAAAGGAGCTTGGTTCGTCTGCTGTTACTCAACAGCCACAACTCCCTAAAGGATCTTGATTCAACTCTATGTCAAGGCACTCAAAAGACATCTTAGATTTTGGGATATACAATCTGAAATCTTGATCAAGAGTTTAATCTCTGATGATTATAGTGTATTATAAGATGTAAGCTCTAAACTATACCCATAATACTTAACATATTTTTTGATTTTAACCAATTATTGCCTTCAACTGAAAGGAAAGTTCCAGTAAAATAAAGCACCCTTACCAATGTTTATCCAGTTGCATCACAGAAGAGATGCTGTAAAGGTTGCATCAGTTAAATGGCATTTCATTGCTCGGTGATAGACATCTGCAGGCAGCAGCTCCATCCCTTGAATCATCAGACCATCCCATAGCATTCTCCTCACCTTTGTTTTCCTGCTCTATTTTACTTCCTTTCCTCCTCCTCCTGCCCTAGATATCCTCACAGGCACCAAGACAGATCTCTGATGAGTACTGCTACTATTCCCTGTATTTCCCATTAGCCTTTTACCCCCTTACTTGGGCAACTCTCCCTGTTTCTACATGCACAAGGATCATTTGTAGAAACAGCAATGAGCTTTGCATCCCCCCAGGTAACAAATATTCCCTCTGAGTTTGGACAAATCCAGAACATACTTGATGCAGAATAATTTGCCTTGATGATGTGCATGAACCACTCTTTGGAAACAGGCATATCAAAATCTTTCTGGTCTATTAAACTTCAACATAACAAAGCACTTAAGGACATATTTGACTTCAGGTCACTCATTTCAAAGTGGCTGCTCACATGGGTGTGTTGAAGTACCTGTGGAAACAGTTTAACAGATGGAAGAGGGGCATCATTTATTGTTACCTGTCATTAAAGCAGTAATTTACATACAGACTCTTCTGCTTGCTTGGCTATTACTTTTCTCCTGGCGCTTAAACTTTTCATACCCTTTGAACAAGCTTTAGAAATACACCGAAAACACTAGGAGAAATATAATGTCCTATGTATTCCTGATGCCAGAATTGTTTTTTTTCTGTGGATCTGTACAGTGTTGCTAATAGTCCCTATCCCAACACTATTTCAGCTCTATCACTAGACTGTTCTGCACTTGTCTGCAAATTCATATTCACTGTAAGGCATAGGGGGTCCTTCTGGAGAAAGAAAAATGCAGAAATTCTCACCATAATTGCTGTTTGAAAATGTCAATAATTGCACAATGTTTTCTTTATCATACATTGGCCATAAAACTAACTAGTTATACCACTACACTCCCAGCGATCAAACTTTGCTCTGATTCCCACTGTCTCAACTGGATGTTGTGTACAAGCGAAAACAGAGACAGTCATCAGGGAAGGAAATAAAATGAAGGTCAATAAATAGACAGGCAGGATCCAGCAGAGAACTTATTCATGGGATAAGAACCTCTATGAATAAGAGGTTGTGCTATCTAAGCACTACCACTATCTGCTTTTAGTAATCCAGCTATGCTATGTCAGTTGTTTTACCACAGAGGGCATAACCTAGCCATAAATTACTCAAGGCTGAAGTAAGATTCTGCACTATCAGGAAGGTTTTCATCAAATCAAAAATTAAATTCCTTGGAAAAGTGCTTTTGGAATGAGCAGCTCTTTGCTATCCAGCCATTTCAGTACTGGGCTTCTGCATGAAAACAAGCACAGGAAACTAACTTTGAGTTGACCAAAGGCAAAGTTAATCAAACAGAGGGTGGCAGACACATCAGGGCCCAGGTCCCTGGCTGATAAATCAGTGCTGCTCTGTTGCCTGTCAGGGATGAAGGATAACTACAAGTGGTTAGCTGAGGCCCTCTGCCAGTCCACATTCCTCTTTTCCTGTGCTAGGAGGTGCATTCCCCTGTGATGGTGCTCCACATGCACAGAGGTGGCTTTGCCCCAGCTATAAGCTAATCACCACAGAGCTTCATGTCCCAGTCCCGGTGCAGTGCCGTGCTGTGCTGGCTGGAAAGATTCATGGCATTAGCAAGTGGAAAGCATTTCTCCAAGGAGCGCCTTTTCATCACCTAAATGTTACAATGCCATTACTGACATGTCTTTCCAATTGTATTGTTGTTTGAGAGAAAACTAATAGGTTTAGAAGGCTATTTCTGTGCAGCTCTGACATCGCTGTGATTAAAAGACATCCTGCACATGTTGGAATATTTCTTCTGAAAGTAGGTCACTCTTCTGAAATGTTCTCCTATCCCATAAAGCTTTAGAATTGCAAGGCTAGGAAAGTTCATGCTTCTAAGGAAGGACAGTTCGGTCTAGTACTTATATATTACACTTGAATAAGGAAAACTTGACCTCACAAAAGCCATCTAATTAAATCAGAGAAGTCAGCAGCAAATTTCAGTCAGGTAGTTTAATGGAATGCACCACTTTTCAGATCATTTCAGCTGTGTTTAATTTACTGTGGTGACCTATGTTCAGAGAGCTGAATATTTACACTGGAGCATGGGTGATGCATAGTAGATGTGGGTGCAGATGTAAGCTTGTAATGAATTTGGCAATCAAAGCTTGCTTTCTTATGTGAAAACATATCTGTAACCATCTCAGCTCTAGTCCTGGGATTTGATTCAGAATTGGTGCTCCAACTTAGATGACAGTCTCAGTCCTGTTTACAGAAATAATTCAGGCATCTGGAAGTCGAGGTCTTTCAATGACGCCTTCAAGAATATGCTTTATTTATCCAGCTTAATATAGTCTTTTGCCTTTTGCCAATTACTCTTTCATCAGAAGCATCTATAGAAAGATATTGGTGTCAAACAAAACTCTGTCAGAAAGGTTTCCTACGTCCAAGGTTGTGGATGGGCGAAGACAGATGGGAAAAGCAAAGAGAGACTTCAGGAGAGCCAGGACTCCAATGCCTAGGACTTGGCCAGTGCAGACCTGAAATTAATTTTCCACATCCCAGACAAATCTACTAACACCTGACTTCTGAGACACAGGTTGTGTTTGAGGACTGTTTCCTAACCAGTCTTAGCCTTAGTTGTCAAAGTCACATACCTGGTCCTGAAATTGTTTTCTCAGATTTTTCACTGGGCTGATAGCTATTGTTCTGTCAGACACAACAATATTCCAATGTTAACAGCATTCAAACTAAAAACATAACAGCACTGATTAACACCAGCTGATCTGTCTCAAGGTCAGAGAAGCTTCTGTCAACAACTTGGAAAAAAAGGATCAGGTCAAAACTAAAACAAGCCAGCCTGTCTGGAAAACAACTTGTCACCTCTCTGATAGCCTGAAAAAATATTTTTTCAGGTCAGCTGCATTTTTCAAATGCATTTTACATAGCTGCTCATGTAACTACATGTGAAGATGAATAAACCCAGATGTGATTTAATCATCTCATGTCCTTCATGCATCCCCTTTCCATGTTTTTTCCGGTCTCACGCTAAGATAATCTTTGATTTGTGAAATCAAAAGGCAGACAAAAGAAGAACGGAATGAGCAAATGATGACAAACTCTAATTGTTTTGAAGTCTAAGCCATTGATTAGACTAACTACTCTTAAATCAGTAATTGGTCTTGCTTCTGCTTTTGCTTGTCTACCCTTAATTCTAGAAGGTACTGGGATTCCTTTATGTTATTACTACAAGTTTTATTATTATTCCACAGTGCCTGAAGGGTAAAACCTGAACACAGACCTCTGCTTTGTATTTGCAGGTGAAGGATGTCGTGGGTTATGATGCACTGGGCCATTGCTTCTTTACTGAGGATGGACCAGAAGAACGCAACACGTTTGACCATTGCCTTGGGCTGCTTGTGAAGCCTAGCACTCTGCTCCCCTCCGACCGAGACAGCAGGATGTGCAAGATGATCACAGAGGGAGCTTATCCAGGGTACATCCCGAAACCCCGGCAGGATTGCAGGTGAGTGGCAACCTTCCTTTTTTTTTCTTTTTTTTCTTTGCAAGGCTTAGCCATGAAATGCAGCATTATGTGTATATGGTTATATAATCACCTTCAGAAGTCTAGGTTGCTTTCCCAAAAGTTGAGAACGCTGTCTCTGAAGGATCCTTCTGATTGTGTTATTTAGATGTCTATACACCTGAGGGTTAATTTTCCTTTTTAGCATTAAGTAGACTGAGATGGTGGCTGCCTCAGATATTGTTGATAAACACCTTTGCAAAGTTTAGCAATGTATTGCACCTTATGAGGTCATTTACATCCCTAATGGCTGGATTCTTACACTTGTGCTCATGTCAAATAGTAATTAGCTTTGCAAATACACTGCTTACTTTCGCAGTCATTATTTGTGGAGAATGAATATTGCTTAATGATATGGCACTGGCATTATGCATTCATTTGGCACAGTCTACCTAAGCTGTGTAATGAAACTCAAATGGTTATACTAAATGCAGTTTATCACTGAATTAGAATTTGGCAATAAAAGATCAAAGACTGTATATGCCTGTAGGATCTCTAATAGATTATCTCTACATAAGCACATGAAAATGCTTTGATGAGAACTTCCCAAAACTTCGATATACAACAAACCTTGAAAACTGCTGATTGCCTTTCATCTTCCTTCTTGCAAGATCCCTTCCTCTTATGTATCTTTTCAGATCTGCCAACTGAGGTTTAGATGAGGATTATAAAAGCATTTGCGATGAGAAGGGATTTCACAAGTTCTTTTTGCAGTTCTGTTGCCTTGTGAAGTGAAAGAAAAACACGACCAACTTGGCTGCCTAGTTAAGTGTTAGAATTCCTTCTCAGAGCAAGTCATGGGTTCTTCATCAGCAGTAATTTTTAAGAACAGAAATGCAAGTCAGAAGTATTACAGTAATAGTTGGTCCTGTCATAAAACATTCTAGCTCTCCTTTTTCTGATTTTTTCAGCTATTTTCCTAAAATTAAGGAACACAATCTATAGGAATATGGTAATTACTGACTGCTCAGGAAACCTATCCATTTTGTTGCACATGAGGTAGCTAATTAGCTTTCTTGTTCTTCCCCTGCTGTCCTCATTCTTCTTGAGACAGTACTACATTTTTAAAGGAAGAACCTGTGTGCTTAATGGCTCTTTCTGTGACAGACTCACCCTAGCCATGGGTACAATGTTTCCCCAGGATGAAAGACGCCCAGCCATGTATCGTGAAATCCTCCAGCAGAGTCTTTCCGGGTATCTCATCATTGTTTATCATTTGCACCTGGCTATATGCATACAGGAGAGCTTCCATGGTGGAGTTTGTCTTGAGGCCAAAGAGCAGTAGGGCTACATTGAAGCTGCTGGGTGAGAAGATCAATTCTGCCCACAGTCTGCATTTCTCTTCTCTGATTTAACACTGTTATGGTTGGAGGGGGGAAAACGTACTCCATAAAAGCTTAATTTCTGACCAACAAATGTCAATGAGAGAATTTCTGGAATCGGACTTCCATCGTGAAGATGAGACAGATGGAAATTGGTTGATGCATATCAACTACAAATCTTTAAGGGTTTCTTCTATTTGGCAATGAACTCAATCTGCTGAGACTATCAATATTACCCATTCTGTCCTCCAAATAAACTGGGGTTTTGTCCAAAGAAACATATTTTTAGCTTTTACTTTGGCAAGGAAAAGGTGAAATTCATGCAATGCTCTTTTTCACATCTGTGTTTGTTTATAAATTACACTTCATGTCTCCATTCATAAAATAAGAGTTAATCAGCCATTGCGCTCATTTTCCACTGATAATTCATTTAATAGTCAGAGGTCACATTTCGTATCATTCTGAAGACTGCAATAAGAAAAAGTGCTATGAATGAGCTGCAGAGGTATTCTGAAAAAGACGACTTGGATGTGCTCTGTCTATCTTTATAAAAGAATTCAAGGGCTGACAAGAAGAAACAGGTTGTGCCAAATGACACGGGAACGATTCCAGTGCACATGACTCCAAGGAATGAGCATGGACGGGGTTGCGGGACACTGTGGAGACATGACGGGTTCAAGACCCTCGCCTAAGACCTCCGGAAAGTCCTCCACAGATAGTTTAAAATAGGCATAAGGGTTGGATAAGTTCATTTCTGACAGGAAGGTGAATCTCACCCACAAGATTTAGGGAGCAAGTCTGCCATCTTTTAGCACTGAATATTTTCCTCTTGAAGTTCATTTGCCCATCAGTTAATGAATATTGTATGTCACAGGATGGACAATGATGGATTGATCCCTCTTCCTTGATGTGAGTCTTTCAGTTAAGTGTCTTTTATGTGCATTAGGCAAATGGAGTCCTTTTGTCCTGAAAAAAAAAAAAGCATAGGGAGTGGAAGCAAATGAAGATGATGAATCACAGCAGCTCCTGGATAGGGCATACTTGGAAAGCCCTTGAAAACAATTCATGGGGTCCCTTGATTAAACAAGTCTCTAATGAACCTGAGGGCTTATTTGGGGGCAAGGTTCTTTTCTGTAGCTTGTGCAACAACATATTTACCTTATCGTAAAATATAATTGACATCTGACAGCTTCATAGCAGGCTTGGAATTGCTGTAGAAATTCTTTATTTAATACCTGGGGTTTTAAAGATAAGACTATGTTCTCTGTCAAATACAGAGGACAAATGTGGTGTGAGAGGAGAGAGAAAAGAACCAGTCCCTTTTCCCTTGAGGCAGAAACCCTTATCTGGGGAGTTATCATACCTGCTTGTGCCACGTGGGGTTGATCATGGACTCTTGTGTGTGTGCTCTAGGTGCCATTGACATGTTATTCTTTGTGTTTAGTTTAGTTTTGTTTTGTTTTGTTCTGATCTGCAGTGCTGTATCCACCTTCTGGATAGCCAACCCACACAACAACCTTATAAACTGTGCGGCTGCAGGATCTGAAGTGAGTGCAGAAATTTCTTAATTGGTAAAAAAAATCAGAACTGTAATAGCCCTGCAAGGCTGAGATTCTTGCTGGAATAAAACTTGCAACAGCTCAAGCATTTTTGAAAGTCCTAGATCAAGACACATGTTAATGTAGCCCATGCTGCCAATAAAAAATAATACTTTTCCTTCTGCTCTGTACTTCCTGTCACTTGCTGTTTCTAGACCTGGCCTGCTTTAACAAAAATTCTATATTTACACAGGGTGCAGCCTGAATAAATTAAATAAATTTGACTGCATAGTCTCAGTGAAGACTTTGGCAATGATTCTGTTGATTGCAGTACAGTAATGGTGCTCTGAAACGTCAATCAGCATTAATGCTAATTCCACAGGAATTCTTGGTCACGTTAGGAGCTTTTATTTTTCTGCTAGGACAAATAAACAAGCAAACCAAGCCTTAAACAAAGAGTCTTTCCAAATCAGTGATAGGTGGGCGTCAGTGTATGTCTGCTATGAATTTTGAAAGACTTGCTTACAGCTCCAATACAGATGATAGAGCTTAAAGCATCTTGAAAACACTGGTCAGGTTTGTGCATCATGTGTATGTGTGCTACCCCTTCCATTGCATGTGATTATGCAGGTCAATGCTGCTAGCTGTGATTTGACCTGAAATCGTTTGGCTTTTGCTTTGTGTACTCACTGATAAGTCCCTTGGCTCCCGTAAACTGGTGAAGTTCAAGTGAAGGCTCAAATGTGTGTTTTTTTTTTTTTTCTCCCAGGAAACAGGCTTTTGGTTCGTTCTGCACCACGTGCCCACGGGACCCTCGGCTGGCATGTACTCCCCTGGCTACTCAGAGCACATTCCGATGGGGACGTTCGCCAACAACCGCGCGCACTCCAACTACCGGGTGAGCCTGCACGCAACGGGAATGTTTCTCTCCAAAAACCACCCTTCTCTCACTCCAGCTTTTTGCGTCTGCAAGCAATTAATGCCTGGGCTTTTTGTTTCACCCAGAGTTCCTGCAAGTTCATTTGTGTCTGCGAGCAAAGCAGCTAGTATCTGGCACAGGAGCATCGGGAGCCAGTGCCGGGCTCATGGGCACTGAGAGGAGGCTCTTCCCTTCCTTCGGTTCTCTCTTTGCTTCTGCTCTCTTGAAATAGTGCCCCAGTAGCATCTATTGGCAGTGTGTCTAATTACAGACCTCAACTGCCAATGTTTGCAATTAACTGAATGGCTTCCAGGGGGATAAATAAGGGCCAAGCTGCCTAATCACCTTCTCCAGCTCTTATTTTTCCTTAGTGTGCCGCATTGTGGTGCTGGCTGGGAAGAACTTGTGCTTGCATCTGTTACCCAGTGCTTTGGACTGCTGCAAGCTGTTTATGTGTATGTGAATAAGCAGAGCTACAAGAAAGGTGCAATTTTGGGAAATCTGAGGCAGTCTGGATGGGCAGGGGATGCCATGGCAGTGTGGGCAGTTTTACATGTTGCTAGTGGAAGCAGTTTTTAGGACCATGTGAATGATTCTGGTTCAGAGCAACTGGAAACAGCACCTGGAAAGAGAACTGCAGCATATATAAACATACTCTAACATTGCATTTCTCTTTTTCTTCTAGGCTGGGATGATAATTGATAATGGTGTTAAGACTACTCCAGCCTCAGCCAAGGATAAAAGACCTATTTTGACTCTGATTTCTGGGAGGTAAAGTGTTTTGCACAATTTGCTTTGGAAAAAAAAAAAGAATCTCTATAGCAGCAAACTGAAAGCTGTGAAGTTGCTCCCAAGGAAGCTGATAAGAACTGTTGCAATGTCTCTGTGGTGGGACCATATCAAGCTTTCAGTGGGGAAAGGTCTTTGCTTAGATTTATCACTTCCTAACTTGTGCCTCCCCTGTTCATAGAATCATAGAATGCTTAAGGTTGGAAGGGACTTCCAGCACCCACACTCCTCTATTTTCATCCTTGGTTTTTAGTTCTGAGCTGGGTTGAGCTGTCATGGATATTATATCTGATCTAAGGTGGTCTACTAATTCCTTTGTAGATGAGCAAGAAAATTAAATGTCTGGTCAGCAGCCCTGCTGGGCACAACTTGCTGCAAGAGTTTCCCAGGACTAGGAAATTAAATACTTCTTGGGATAACTGTAAAGCTTCTTCATTTCTTCAGGCCCTGCTTGGACAGGGAATGCTTTATGATGGAGCTTACACTTTAATGCCCAGTTTCTGCTTAGTTCCAAATCTGATGCTGTAATAATAATTATAATTGTGATTGAAAGCTTAGAGCTTAGAGCAGCCCTTCATCCCTGGCAGGGCCTCTGTGCACCATAACAGAACCATTCAGAAATACTAAAAACTACTCTCCAGAGTGTATCGCATTAGTGTATTATATTAATGTATCACCTTGGTGGCTCCCAGGAATTCCCACTCTCCTTCCCACGCCGCTGATGCTGACTCCAGAGAGCAGGCTGATGTCAGCAAAGGCCTTCTTGAGAGCAAAGTTTAATAGTGTACGGGTTCCACTTGTACCCTTTTATCTCATTAGAGGCTGAGTGTGCTTCTTAGCTAAGATACTGATCCCAGAGAGAGAAAATGATTTAAACATTCTCATGTTTCATAGTTTTCATTCCTAATAGGCCAGTTATCTGCAGTGACATCCAAGCTGCGTTGCCCCGGCATTGCTTTCAGGACAAAGCCCTGTAAAGAACAGCAACCCGTTGGAGATGTCTGTGCAGAAGGAGGGAACAGCTGCCTCTTCTTCCCTTTCCTCCCTTCCATCCCTGGGGCTCGGTGTGCCCTCATGGCTGCAGTCACACACTGCAGGGACACTGTGCTGGTGGGATGTTCTCCCTCCCAAGGGAATGCAGACAGCCTTTAGGGGCCACTGGTGCCCTTTGTCCTGTGACACACGTCACCCATGTGCCCAGCTTCATTGCTGATGCTAACAGGCCTTCAAAAGTCAATATTATTCATATTATTCTAGTGTTTTAATAATTATATAAATTAATTCAATAATAAAAATCTGCAGTAAAATAATAAAAGTAAATGGTAAGAAATTAAATTATTATGAGAAGCCTGCTTTGCCAGCACCTCCAAATGCTCTTGGGAACCCCGTGCCACTTTTCCCCAGAGCTGAACATGCGCTTTGGGTAACTGTCTCTGCCGTAGGCGCGGTAAGTGATTACAAAAGGCCATTTGTGCCTTGCCATACAAGGGCAGGAATGACCCCTGGAAGCTAAGCAATTTATAATACAGTCATGTTTATGCTTGGCAATTACCCTGCAGGTTGCAGCTCAGGTTATTTATACCACTGTGCACTTTTTGTATGTCAGGAATGAAACAGTGAATAGCTGCCCTGGCCAGGGCAGGCTTTGAGGAAGGCTGGACAGCTACAAAGCTGGTGAGATTACTCTGCATTCAGTTATAGCATTAAATACCTGGGCTATATTCTGCACCCGGTAGCATTTATCTGGATTTACATGTGTGTGACTGAAACTAGAATCCATCTCAAAATATCTGTATTTAACAATATCTGCAGAATTCACGAGGGCTGATACTAAATCTCTCACTAGAAGCAGATTCATCCTGATGAAGTTGCCAAAGTAATATTCATTTACTGGAACACTATCAGCCTGATGCTCAGTTTTATATTGATATGATGGTTTATTAAGCGTAGCAAAATGCTATTGAATATCTGTTAGCAATTTGACAGCTTGGCCTCACTACCCATTTGTTAGGAATGAATTTTAATCTCTGGACTATCCGTTGCTGGCACTGAGTTGGATACTCATTTGTCAGGTTTTCTGAGATGTGTTGTATGGATTTAAGATGCACCTTGAACAGTGAAAGGGAGAGCTACCGCTCAGGACTGAGGAAATGACAACCAAATTCAGCTTTGCTGCGGAGCACCAGCTCCTCAATGAGGTCCTGTCACTCAGTGGTGGCCGACAGGCAGCAGCTGGGGGATCACTGTGTGGCAGCTTCCATTCCTAGCTGCCTTTTCCCTTCATCAGGCCAATGTTTCATCGCATGTGAGAGCTTCAGAGCTAATAAATCTCATGTGCGTGTCCTGGGCAATGCGTAGCAGGAATAGTGAAGGAGGAGGAAAAATTGCTAGTGAAGCTCATTGACACAGTATAGCCAAGGATAAGGGCTAAGAATGCTCAAAAGGGAAAAAAAATGAGAAGATATTTATCTAGAAAACATGAATATGCTGAAGGATAACAACAAAGGATTAAAAAAATATCCCAGTGTTTTGGGAGCAGTATAAACTTCCCACGCGCTCAGCAATTTGTCAGCCATACAATAACGGAAAGGCAAAAGGAAACTTGGAGCAAGTCTCCCACCAGCTGCCCAGCCTGGCCCGTCCTTCCCTTGGCGTTTGTGTCTGGCCGTTGCTCCCCCTGCTACCTGACTGGAGGGGCTCTTGTCCTGGAGCTGCTCCCGAGTGAGCAGAAACCAGACGTTCAACAAGTGGATGTGGAGCAGGGCTGTGCGCTGAGCGTGGTTGCCTTCCTTCACCAACGGTTTCTTCTCCTCTTCTGGTTGCAGGTACAGCCCACACAAGGATGCTGATCCTTTGAAGCCCAGGGAACCTGCAATAATTGAAGGCTTTATTGCCTACAAGAATCAGGATCACGGGGCCTGGCTGCGGGGTGGAGATGTGTGGCTGGACAACTGCCAGTGAGTTTTGCCTTATTTCAACTCTAGCAGTTCAGCCTGGTGTTTATGGCAAGCACAGTAGTTGGTCAGACTATTAATATGACTTTGCACCTTTCACATGGACAAGATTCCAGTAAAGATGAAACATTAAGTGGGCACAGGCATTATTTTACTCAAACGAAACCTGTTTTGTCTGAACCAAAGATCCCTCATACTGTTTTTCTGTGTAATTCTGACCAGCGTTCAAAATTGGCAACACACATGCACACACACGTGCAAATACCTAAATAGTCTTTACATGAAAAATGAGGTGTTTTAAAAAGAAAGCAGCAAAATCAACCACCTGCCCTAGCTAAGCCTGGTCACAGATAAATTTTATGTGGCTTACTGTTGTGCTGAATAAGCTGGTCCTGACGAAGCAGACATAAAACTATGCATCACAGCAGCAAGTGAGGGAACCTGGGCAAAGGCATACTGTGCACTCTTTGAAGGCTGCATCCTGGCCTGGTCAGAACGGATATTTGCTTTACACTTGGAAACAGCTATATTCTACAGTTTCTTTCCTTGAGCCAGACTATTGATATCAACCTTGAAGAAAGAAGAGGAAAGAAAGGGAAAGGCTACTTTACAAGGCATGTTGTGATAACCCTAGTAAGAATGTCTGTCACACCACTACATAGCGTCCAATTGCAGGCCCAAGGTGGTGAGCCAAGCCTCTTGAAGCACCCAGTGGCTAGAAGCTGGTTTTAGCAACCTGTCAGGTTGGCAAGAATGAGGAACGCAGCAAAGTGGCCAGAAACGTAACACCAAGTCGGCTTTTTGTTTATGCTGCCTGTGAACTTCTGAACCAGAAATGTCTGGCATTCCACAGGCACCGAGCGCGGCTCCTGCAGCTCCATCACATGGCATGTAGACATCTGTGCTGCTCTGAGTACCGAGGTTACTAAAACACTGCGTACATTGCTCTATTTTATCAGTTTCTAGCAGTAAACCTGAAAGCGTATCTGAATTTGAGGAAGCAGCCATCAAATTGTAATTGTTTTTATAGTCACAGTGATTTCCATTTCTGCTGCTGCAGTAAGACTTATGTATTACATTAACAAAACAAATGTTCATGTCATGTGCAGAATATAAAGCACACCGTACGTTTGTGAGGCTGGAGAAATAACAAGCAATAACATAGTGTGTAATGGGGCTGCCACCTAGAGACAGAAGCAGGACAAGACAGCGCTGGGTGGGATTCTGCTCCTGGCTCCACACTGAGGTTTTGGCTGTGCGGGAAAGGGCAGTGCCGGAAATGTAAGAGCGACAGCGCTGTGCAAATACCATCAAACTGGCACAGACTATCATATTAACTCAAGCTTTCCTGTAAGTCGGGGTTGGATCAGCATATATATATACATAAGTTGGAGCTGCATTTGTGGTTTTTCTCCAGTAAAAGCTTTGGAATTTCAACAAAACCAGAATATTTTAATCTTTTATTTTTTTTAAGTTAGGAATCGCTGACATCTATCTTCCTGACGGTAAAAGAGAAGCCAGACTCAACCGCTTATGTAACATTTCCACTTGTGAATTTATTTCATGGAAGTAGTAGTGTATGATACATAAACACAGGGAATCATAAAAAGATGTGCCTAGGGCCAAGCATTATGAAATAAAAGAAGTCAGTTGGAGTGAGAGATAAGCATTATCTACCAGTGAAAAGAGCATTAACATTAGATACAGCAAAAAGGCCTTATCAAGCAAGTGAACTATGCCCAGTAACCCAGACTTATCCTCAACTGGGAGCTAGCAAACAAGAGCAAGACTGCGGCTTCTTATGATTCATACTGCAAGATCTTCCAAAATGGATCTTCCAAAGCTGTACAGAAACAAATCTACAAAAGCCTGAGATGCCCCGTGAGAAGTCTTTTGAATTAAGCCCTGATGCTCTCCACAGGATTACATTGGTTGCTCTATCTGGAGATGACTTAAAAAAAAAATCCATCTTTTCTCTTCTCTTTGCAGATTTGCTGACAATGGCATTGGCCTGACCCTGGCAAGGTAAGTGTCACACGCCGTTGTCCTGCAAGCCTGTACATGCCAATTCGGCATGGTATGAGCAGCCCCTTCACCTCCAACCCTTCCCTCCTAGTGGTGGAACCTTCCCTCATGACGATGGATCAAAGCAAGAAATCAAGAACAGCTTGTTTGTTGGTGAGAGTGGAAATTTGGGCACAGAGACTATGGACAATGAGATCTGGGGACCTGGAGGCCTGGATCACAGAGGAAGGACCCTGCCCATTGGCCCGTAAGTTCGGCTCAGCACACCACAGCATTCGCTGTTTCTACTCAGTTCAGACTTTAGCCCAGTGTGGTGGCTTCCTCAGAGCTGTTCTATTTAATAACAACTGCACACAAAAGATTTGGTTTTATATCTCCCATTCCCAAAGTCCTTGCTGTGCAGCCACTGCTGGCAGATACATATTTGTAGTCTGCCAATACAGTGTCAGAATCTTTTCTCTCTCTTCCCATTTGCAAACAAAGTTCATAAGCCAGCAAAGGAAGTATGCCCTAGCTGGGCAGGTTTGTACATGTTGTCAGCAGTGACTGAGTAAGGCAGCAATCTCTATCAAGATTTGCTGCCAGAAAATCTTGTTGAAGCCATACCCTGGGTTTGGGCTAAGCCAGAAGTGGTGCTAGGGGTCCTTAAAGTGATTCCTACTATTGCTTCTGTGCTAGAAGACTCCAATGTCTTTGCTAAATAGTTTAGATACAGCCAGCACATTCTGTGGGTGCTCTTCCTAGACCTAGGCAGATTGGTCTGCAAGTGCAGTAATGCTCTGTTGTTATCCCTAAAAACGTGGTTATCCTAACAGTAGCCTTACATTGAACAAAAAGCACAGCTGATATTTTTCTGTAGAATTGCACTCATCAGCTTTGCTTCTTGGTGCAGAAAGCCTGTTAACCACCTCACTAATGGAAGGATGATATAGGATTTTGCTTCTAACATCCATTATGTGTATCTGTGTGGGTAGCTACATATATTGTATATAGAAGCTCAAAAAGACCAACACAGATAATTCTTGTCTAGGGGAAACCATTTATATGAGGAAGGGATCAACCTCTGATTGATTGTAGGTGAAATTTGAAACACTGTATATTAGTCTGCAAAGAAGTTTAAGCATCATATTCGTTTAATGTGTCAAAAGTGACAAAAGTACCGACGACTTTATCTTGCGACTAATACTAAAAAAAAAAAAAAAGGGCTCGCTGGCCTGTCCTCCCTCAACTGTTTTCCATACAATGGATTGCAAGATCTCTCCTTGTGTTTGCCTTCATTTTTATTGCAGATGAGTTGCTCTGCTTCTCCCCAGGTTCCTTTGACAGATGTGCTGGGACCTCTTTCAGACCTGCCATTACTCAGTCCTAGGAGCCTGTGCAGATCTGATGAGTTTCAGGTTTCACTGCTGCAGAACTCATTTGTGATGGCAAGCATGAATTTATTCATTTTTAGGTGAATGCCTTGGCATTGCTGTAAGTTCCTTCCCTCGAGGAGTACAGACTAAATAAAGATGATCTTTTCAGATACAATAGAACTTGAACTGAACTCACAAGGATAAGAGGATTCCATACACCTAAAAAGAAGAGAAATCCCTCCTCTTCCAAAACATTAACTCAAGAGTCATCCTAAGGGCTGAGAAAAATTATAGCAGCTGAGAATCAAATGCTACGGGACTGTCTAGAATAAATTCTCAACCTCATGCTAATGAGTTCTTACCAAGTCTGCTTCATCCAACTGTTTTTAGGAATTTTCCCATTCGAGGGATTCAGTTCTATGATGGACCCATCAACGTTCAGAACTGCACATTCCGCAAATTCGCTGCCCTGGACGGCAGGCACACGAGTGCGCTGGCGTTCCGGCTCAATAACGCCTGGCAGAGCTGCCCCAACAACAATGTCACCGACATTCGTTTTGAAGACGTCCCTGTGAGTAATTCTTCACACCAAGGCTTTTGCCATTTGGTTTTGAGCACAGTGCCATGTGAAAAGGGTATAGCAGCCTTTGGAAAAAAACAGCTAAGCAGTAGGAGCCCATTGTCTTGGCCAGTTGAATGAAGAGGGCATTAGCTAAGAAAGATAAAATTGGATGGATGAAATAATGAGCAAATCCACATCTCTGACAGGTTTGTAGCAAGCCCGAAGCAGGCGTTAGTTTCAAAACACATTGAAGTCCTGATTGTTTAAATCTCTGTGTCTCAAAAACTTTTGAAATAAGGAGAAGAATCTCCTTCAACAGGAGCATGATATGAAAGTGGCAACACAGGAATGTCTGTTGTGGAAGGTCTAACCCAAACAGAAGCAGAAAATATTGATTTGGAGAAACAGTCAGTGAAACTGAGCAAATGTTGGGTAATCCTATCATCCTTCAGAATGGTAATTCTGTGGGTAATATTTCACTTCTACAGACATAAATGAGAGCAGAACCCAGCCAAAAAGAATCTGCCAGATTTTGAATTATAATAGAAACTTCTGGATGGTTGTCTGAACCCATCCTGGCTTCTTTGCTTTTGAGTTATTTGGGAATCTTCTTCTTGTGCTAAGTGGTTGCTGAGATTCACCTCTAGCAGTTGTTAAATCCAACTGTCAAACATGATAAACAAATAAATACAGTGGTTGGGACTGAAATGATTTGAGTTGCTTAAGTTAAAAAGCTAGTAGACTTGCTCATATGTCAGGAAAAATGCTGACTAGCAATTCATGTACTAAATAGGATGGGAAAGGCAAAAGTTCCCTAAAAGTGTTGCCAGTCACTCTCTCACATTGCATCAGGCAGGCTGGTGACATTAGTTTTATTTTCACTGGATAAAAATATCATTCAGAAGTTGCCTGAGCAGCTATTTCCCAGGGGATGTCATTGATTGTTCCCAGCAACAGTTTGAATTTATGTGGCTTTGCAACCTTAAAAATATATTAACCAACATTGAGTGAAGTGGTTTTAATGAAATAGACTTGTCTCCTGAACCTTTCTCCAGAATTTTAAAAGAAGCCTCTCACAGCTGAAG